ACAAATAAATAACAAAAACACTGCCTGTAAACAGGAGGCTTTCATATAGCCATTGAGACCTATTAGTTATGCTCTCTTCAATACTATGTACACTTATTTCAGTTTTTCCAGAAGAATATTCTAGATCACAAGTATTGTCTGTGAAATATTTTATGCAGATATCTCGGTCTCAACATCTAGAGATACTGAGAAACTTTAGCATAGTCGAGTAAAAAATGTTCACTTATATATAATGACCAGTGTTTCTCCAGCTTGAGTCACTTCTGCTCTAGGCATTGGCACCAAGACCAACTGGAGGCCTTTCTCATGCTGGGTGGGGGCTCTCCTTTTCTTCTCCCCTCCCATTCATGATGCTGGAGGTCTGTTTTGCACATCTTCTCCCAAACCCTCCACATCATCCAAGCAAGGCCTCATTCAGCCTAGATAGGCAAGAGCAGATGGACTCATTCTTGGTCCTTGGTTTGGGTTGGCTCCTGTTCCCATCACTAGAAGTGCTCTACTCAGTTTTGCAAACTCTAGCACAGGTGCACATGGCTCTCGCTGGCTGATCCAATCTCCTCTCCAGCCCAGTGCACTGCTGCCAATCTCACTGCCTTTTGCCACTTGAGCCTCTTCCAATCTCAGCTAACTGGTTCACTGTTCTTGTGTTCTCCTTGCCTCCAGCACCTTCCAGCTGACAAGCAGCAGGTCTCTGGGCTTCCCAAACCCAAAGCCTGCTCAGGTAGCTCGAAGTTCTAAAGCAAACAAGGCAAAACTGAAGCACCTGCTAAAAGTAATACTGTAGAGAGAGAGAGAGAGAGAGAGAGAGAGAGAGAGAGCGAGCGAGCGAGCACACGAGTGAGCACAGATGAATGGGAGAGACAGAGATGCAAAGACATAGTTGGAAGTTGCCAGTGGCCCTCAAGCAGTGCAGTGAAGAATGTTCTGCCCGGATATTCTAACTATACCAGGCCATGGCTTTAAGCAAAGCTATTCAATGGCAGTTCTCATAAATAGGGAGGTATTGTTTCAGGAGAGAAAGATATACAAGCAATTCCAAAAAGGTAGGATGCTATTGTAGCCAAAATTCACTAAGCATGAAGGAAAGTACCGATCTCCAAAGCAGGGCTCTCAAGCACAGGCCAGTTCTTATGCAAGAAGTTACAGAACAATACCAAATGCTGTCCACTATAGGGAGGCTCTCGGGTGGGAAGTGTCAGGGTTAAGTTACTGTAGGAACACCATGTCATTCAGAAGGTTCTGGGATTCCCATAGAGGGCCCTGCACAGGGGAAGGAGAACAGTGGTGGCATTTTAGCAAGGACTGAATTGGGACCCAAGGTTGGGAAAGCGATGCCACTAAGTTACGCTGTTTTTTCCTGCAATCCTTCCAATATCGCACGAAGAATGGCTGCAACTGCTACAGCACCAGGATCTGCCTGCTCTAGATGGGCTGAACCAATGTAACTAGCTCTGCCTGCAGCAGCTTCCATGTGCTTTGTAGATTCAGCAGCGGTCTCTGCCTCCTGTGGAAAAGAGCAAAAATGACTCCATGTATTCATCAGAGGCAGGGATGAACAAACGCTTTCATATTCTTCTCAATCTGAAACCATAAGCCATCTCTAGGAATCAACACTTCCTGGTTTCTGCTACGCTCTCTAGCCTTCACACTGTGAGCAAGTCACTGTGGGACTATGTCGAATGATTTTAAATGTTTGTGGATTTTATCAGATTCCCAAAGCAAAACTCTCGAACAGTATTACAAATGGCTGAAATCTGAATGCAGAGCCAATTAATTGCCAAGGAGAAAACAACAGAACTACAGGTCCTGGATACCCACTACATGCATACAGCCCCAAGAAAACTTGCTTAACAAACTCACCTCATCTCCCCAAAATATAGAAAGTTAATAGCTTTCTGTTGCATGTGCATTAAAAACTCACTTTTACAGCTTTGGTCAGAACCTGCAGATAATTAGCTTCAGGGTTCTTCAGAGCTCTGAGTTCTTCAGCAGCAGCACAGAGTGAATCCAGCTAGTCAAGAAATAAGAATTATTCTGCTAGTCAGACAATATTATTTGAAAAAAATGATAAACCGCACTTTCATCCCAAAAGGTTTATAAAACCCCCCCAAGGCAAGACGTTATCTAACTTTAACCATAAAAAACCAAGAAGTAGAAAATGATTTTAGCCAGGTAAAAAGATAAAAAATTAAATATTAAAAAACTGGAAGTTTTACAATACCTATGCAAATGAGAAGATTTTCACCTGGCACCAAAGAGAGGACAAGTGATGGGCCCAGGCTGATCTTCTATGAGAGAGCAATGAAGCGTTGGTGCTCTACCACATAGTAGGCTCTTTTTTATAGATATTTAATATCCTTGTCTTAGAAAAGGATAGAGAAAGACCTCCTCTGTCTATCTTAACACATGGGTAAGCTGATATGGAAAGAGATGCTCCTTTAGGTAACCCAAGCTTGTTAGGGTTTAAAGGTAAATACCATTTGGGCCTGGAAGTGAACAGGCAGACAATGGACCTCCTTTGCTAACTTAATATGGCTCCATTAGGCGCACCCACCTGTGGAGGTGGCAATAAAGCTGTTTTGCTGCCTTTTCCACCACAAAGCAGCCATGATAATGTGCACTTACGTGTGTCCAATCATACTTGCTCTGAGACTCACACTATTTGCATTTTAATTGTTTTCCCTTTTTTCCTCATTGCCCCCAGCTCCTAAGTAACCCAAGGAGCTGGCCAGGCTCTACACTGCTGGAGAAGACACCCTGTTGTGTTGACACCAGTGGCTTGATAGGAGCACCAGCTATGTCAACCAGAAAGTTCCCTAAAATAATCAGGAATACATCAGATTCCAGAAGTCTCTGGAGATGAACCAACATTAACCCATACAGAAAAGGAGAGCTATCATTATTCTAAATTTCCTGAGAAGTGGTCCAACAATGATAATAGGGTTAAGGAGACACCCCTTCCCCAATTCCAAAGCAACAACCTCTTACTCAGCTAAAAATGCCAATTCAAGAGTGCATCCTGCAATAAAATGTGGACCAAAGACATACTGCAATAACTCCACAGTTGTCCTGGCAGCTGTGATCCTGATCAGGTATTCCTAAAGCGTCCTAATGAGGTTATTGACCTTTCCCAGGAAAACTATTTTCCAGCACCATGCCCAAGCCACCTCAGGCAGACAGAATGATGGACAGCAGACCAGCAGAATCATCAGCATATCTATTTGGCCCAGTGCTGGGTACAAACACTTGGCAGTTGACCAAACTGGTGTCCTGGTAAAGATGATGAAATCATTACAGGGGATAGCAATACTCCTTCCCTTGCCCTCCAACTGATGTTATGTCCAAGAGGGCAAAACTGGGAAATATCTGCTCCTCTCAGCCCATGCCAAGCATCTGGTATATGTGGTTGCATGAAATTTTCTAAAATAACTACTGTGATTTTATGCAAGCCATGATGGTTTTTGTTTAGCATTGTGGTGGTAGTGGAAGGAATCTAATGAAGGTCAATATTGGGATACATTACTCACCATGGTTCTGTCTCCAGGTGCAGCTCCTCCATACCTGTCAAAGGAAACAGTTCTTAGCATAAGCTCTACATCAGGGGTCCTCAAACCTTTTCAACAGGGGGCCAGTTGAAAGATAGTGGTGGTGGGCATAGGCCAGTGAGGCAGGGTTGTCTGCGGGCACGTGCTGGTGAGGTGGTGGTGGCGGCAGGTACCCATGCAGCAAGGCAGCGGCTTGCTCACTCAAAGATAGTTTTCTCCAAGTGAGTCCGAAACGATCTCCAAGCGAGCAAGCCACCACCTCGCTGCGTGGTGAGTCGGGTGGCGGAGGGTGCGGGGAGTCTAAAACCTCTGAGGCAGGCTGGATCTGGCCCACAGGTCATAGTTTGAGGACCCATGCTCTACATGAAGAACCCCACGCCAAAACTTGCATTTTATAGAAAATGTTAGTGTACTTATTTACTCATTAGTGCAAACTGTTAAACGAACCAGAATTCAAAAGTTTACCATGAAGTTCAAACCAGGACTCTACTTTGTTGTGTTCTTTACAAGCCAGGTTTATAAGTCAGTTTGTTCTTGGCTTACAAAACATATATTGTTTGGGAGTCACCTACCAAGTTCAGATATCACAGTAAGCTTTCAATTTCTGGTCAGTTTGGCCACTTATACTAGCAGGAGCAACTAGGTAGGAATGAGCAAACTAATGCAGCAATGCACAGTTCATTTATAGTAAGTGGGATTCACCAGAATACCAGCTTACTGTTCTGCACTAAAGGAATCAGTTCCACAGATATGGCCACTGTCACATGCAGTAAGGACAGAAATAGCATGGAAGCAAATTACTGGGCTACAGCCAAGTGAGGGTCATACTCACCGCATCATGGCACTAATACCAGCATCCATGGCTGTTGACCAGGCTGCTGCATCATCAGCAATCTGTAGGGGCTGAGCAGCTGCTGTCAGAAACAGTCCATACAGCTGTAAGGATATATGAAGATATTTCATCTCTGATAAAGATTAAGGTACTAACACCAGCACCAAGTGCAGCAGTTCACTTCCGTGTATTATTTCCCTCCTACTTGCTATTTGCATGAGGCACACAGTATCTTAACTAGGTGTGTCAGAATGAGTTGGATGCAAGAACCAAAATGGCCCCTCAAAACTAGCTTAGTGGGTGGGGTGAATGTCAGAATGCAGGGCTCTGCCTGATGCCCCTCCCCAACCTTATCTGTCCCTGTCCTGTCTATTTTCCCTTTCTCCATGCTGAGAAGGAGACAAAGGAAGGGATTCAGACTGCACCTAGAATGGTGCCTAAGTCTCCTTCATACACCACGGAATAAGAGACTGGCTGCTGCCTCCACAGGGAGTTTGCTTCTCTTTGTGTGTTCTACAAGGTGAATGGAGAGAGGGTATACACATTATACACACACACACACACGAACGAGAAAGAAAATGAGGTGAATGTGCACATCCACAGTTTCGCATGGACAAGCTTGCCAGGGGGCCATGTGTCAGCAATATAGATGAACTTGGCTATTTGGATGGTGGATCTTACCACTGCCAGGATGCGGCACCGAACAAGTTTGCCCAAAATCAATAATATGCTTAGACTTAAAATATGCTCTACTCCATGCAGGCTTAACTGAGGCTTATCTTGAGATAGTGATTTATAAGATAGCACTGTACTTTTGGTAAACATTGCTCACATGTAGCTTGAAACTACCACAGGAATTTAATTCCCTATGACAATGCTGGATCCAGTTTAGTAAAGTCTTCATTCTATTATTAAGGACATCTGCTGATTCTGTACTTTATTAGGCATGAATATGAAACTTAAAACCTGTGTACAAGGAGAGACCATTTCTTAATGATAGAGAATAATATTGCACTATAAACAATCTTTCATCATTGGTAGGCCCAGTGCCCTTTTCACAGCTAGGAAGCTCTCAGATTTATCTGTAATCTGTTTATTGGGTTTCAAATGGTTTTACCAACTGTAAATCAGAACATATCTTGCAATACATTACATAATAAGAGCCCTAGCCTTAGATTTCAATATTTTCACACATTTAGACATGACTATAAAAATGCTTGTTTGACATCTCTTCTGACTCATTGCTCTCTCCATATCACACACCCACCCACACCAAAGCTAGCAGTAACATTTCCTTCAGATTACACTCAGTGAGGAACATCTTAAGCAAGGTACCCAAAACTCCTGTCCAGCACTCACCGCTCCTGAAGAACCCCCCATCTTCTCCAGCAACAATTTTGCTAAGGCAGAGAGGACCTGAGATGGGTGCCCTAGTAAAGGCCTTGTATTTAGCCATTCCTGGATTGCTAAAGAAACAATAGTTACTATTAGAGATGACAACCTTCCAGTAAGGACTCACTGTCTCAACAAATTCCATTTATGTAAGCAGCATAAGTAGAACTAACAAAGTGGTGCAGGCTGAAGGTTATGTTTGTAATTTGGGGGAAAATTAGCTTTCCACTGCTTAAAGTGCATAAGTGCACTGGAAAGGTGTCATTAAAAGGTGGGGGAGTTAACATCTCTCTTTTCGGGAATAACCAGAGAAGTGTTACTCCAGGAAGCATGTTAAGTCCATGAGGAGCCATTTAGCAACAGAAAAACAAATCAGAAAGTCATTTCACATAGGTTAACAAATCTGATCTTCCCCCTCCCAAAAGGAATTATTTATTTAAAACATTTGTACACTGCCCAATTGTGCCACAGCACCTCTGGACGACTCAGCATGAAGAGCAACAGCTTGCTGTTTTCTGCAAGCCCATGCTGATGTTTGGGAAAGCATGGGCATGGGGTTATTTATTGAAGATCAGAAACCCACAGCAGCAACTGAGTATCACCTCAGCCTAAGTTCTTCGGGAAAAGCAAGAGTTGGAAGTTAACTAACCTCTGGCAGCTCGTGCATGTGTGCTGCCACAGTCCCCATCACCTGAGGCACGATCCAGAGCATTGAGCTCCTCCTGTAGGCTCAGAAGTGTACTGCATACCCTTGCTAGAACTGGTCTCATCTGGGGGTAGGCTGGTGCAAAAACAAATGAAAAACAGCTATTTCATTTCAGTGGTGGTGCTCCTAGTTCCAGCTGTTTTGTCTTGCTAAGCAATGCACATTGCTATGCATTTCCCTTTCATACAAATGTGTGTACAAGAGAGTAATCAAAGAGATCAGTTTATAGGAAGGCCATTTCATATTTTGTATTGGTATTGGATTAATTGAGCCCTGATCAAGGAGCTGAATGCTTGAAATGATTCAGCAGAAGAGTTCTATGATGCGAAATAATTTAAGAATTCTAAATGTGCTGTTTGTTCCATGATGGGACAGTCATAGGTCAGTTAAAGGTTTATGTTGAAGTTCTCCTGACAGACATACATACATTAACTAGTGCACACCTATCACATTTCCCCCAGAAAGGTCAGCTCTGATCCACTGGTCTCTGGACTATCTGGACATAAACGCCACAAGCACTACTACCTAAGAATGTTTTCTTCTCACTAACATAGAAATGGAGAAACTGAGCTATGGAAGGGTTTTTGTTCTGTGTAGTTGCGAGATGGTAGCAGTCAAGAACAGACACCAACATCTCTGTCACACTGGCTCAAAGTCCTGTATCACTTTGACCAAACCCTCTGCTTGTTGAGTCCTCTGAACAGAACACAATGTCTCCTACTGACACTGATTATCCCCCCAGAAGTCGCCCCCCTCCGATGCTTTCTCTTGAGGAAAGGATAAGCTGCCATGATCAGGCCACTATAATAACAGTAGTAGGAAATGCTTTCACCTGTGCCTCTTGTTGAAGGAGACAGCTGTTCTTCAGGACGTTCCTTTGGTGCCATCAATTCTCTTTTGTGGCCTGACACATGTAGCTTGGCGGGCTGTGACCAAGCAACTGCTGTAGTAGCTGCATCTAGGAATTGGAATATAACCTTGAGCTACAGCTGTAAATAGTTTCACAATACAGCTAGCTCACATTCATTATAGAGGTATGAAACAGGCTCTTGAGAATCTCCACCATCTCTTTCTCAGCAGAAAGCACCAGTCTGACTAAGAACCCCAAATAGCCAAACCCAGTATAATGGAAGGGGCCAATCAAGAAAGACCTTGTTGGATTGTGTGTTCCCAATTACCTTGTAACCAGTTGTAGACACATTCAAACCATTGAGAATTTGATCTGAATTATGTATTTTGATTACATTTAACCACAGGGATACATTCATTATTAGGTGAAAAACAAAACTACTACATAAAATATATTCTCAAAACATATGCTACACACACACACACACACACACACACACACACAGAGTACTGAAAACACCACCGACCTTCCAAGTTAGAAAGTATGAAAGAAAACAGGCTTCTAACCAAGGAGACTGATGAGCTCATCATCCACAAGCAGGAGCGTAAGGGAGACACCTGCCATCTCCAGTGCTGTCATAAAGGAACCAACAAAAGCTCGGGCAACATGAACACCTCTACTCTCTGCAATGAAAAAGGGAAGACAGAGAAAGGGAGGGGTCTGATGAAAGAGCTGATTTAAGAGAAATTGAGAAAGAGGCTGATTTTCACCTTTATGTGAAAATCTTCTACCTTATTTATTAATTAGATTTATATCCACTTTTTTCTTACAAAGAACTCAAAGGGCTTACACCATTCTCCTCCTGTTCTCAGCCTTACCCCCACAACAACCACCCTGTGAAGTAGGTTGGGCTGAGAGGCTGTGACTGGCCCTAAGTCACCCAGCTGGCTCCATGGCCAAGCAGGGATTAGAACCCAGATTTTCTGAGTCCCACCCAGGCCTATGCTCTTAACCACTACACCACACTGGCTACATACACAGATAAGTAAGTTTTCCTTTGGGACCTGGCAAAAGATTGGTTTTAAGCAACTATGAGAGTTAAACCAGAGCTAAATGAGGTGACTTGTCTGTCCCAGCATGCTCCCGTTGTGCTTCCAAAATGCTCCCCCAACAATCAGCAGTCACCTAACCTATGTATATGGCGCCCTTCTACTGTTCTTTATATGGCTTTTAATGTTGCTGCAATTTAAACACACTTAAAATAGTTAAGTAATTTTAATATTTGCTTATTAACCACACAGCACTGTTATTAAACAGGGTACAAATATTAATAATAAAAATAACTGGTGGTAGATTGCCAAGGCTACAGTTTGCTGGTAACCAGTAGGTTCTTGATTGGAGATGGGGGAGAAAGGAGGGAAAACTGGGCAGTTGTACAGTGGCACCTTGGCTTACGAACTTAATCCGTTCCAGGACTCTGGTCGTGACCAAAATTTGTTGTGAGCCAAGTCAAATTTCCCCATAAGGTTCAATGTAAATAAGGTTAATCCATTCTGTAACTATTTTTTTTAATTACAAAAATTTGTAGCAGGTGCACTCAGAGGGAGAAAGGCGTGTTCGCGGGCACGCTCGGGGGGAGGTGGGTGCGCTGGGGGAAGGCAGGCGTGATCGTGGGTGCACTGGGGGAGGTGGGTGCGATTGCAGGCGCGTGGGAGAGGAGGTGGGCACAATCACGATTGTCACCCAATGCCGAGTTAGTGACCCAAGGCAAATTTTTTCAGAAATTTTTGTTCGTGACCCAATTTGGTCATGAACTGAGGCATTCGTGAGCCGAGGTATCACTGTAGTACCTTCTTCCTCTGCTTGAACCTGATACCAGTTTTGTAGGACTACTGCTTGCTTTTTGCGAAATAGTTTATTGTACCCAAACAGGCAGGTGGAAAACCGCAGTTCAGAGAACCAAACACAGTAAGACAGGGTTGGAAGCAGCAGCTGCTTTAGCCATCATCTCCAGCAAGCTCCTTCTGGTAAACTGCACCCCTGCATAATTTAGACAATCTCCCCATTCTTAGCACAGAGTTTTACCTAGAGAACGCACAGCAGATCCAGCCATTATACCCAACTCAAGGTAGGATAATCCACCCAGGTTGTTCACTACCAAGACTACAGAAGCACCTGAAAGCCAAAACAGAACAGTAAAGATTGAAAGCCGTTCCCAGGGACTATGGAGTTTGAGCTAAGTACAAATGTGTACAATATACCTAATATGCAAGAGGATACCATAAATGGACTCCACATGGCTGCTTTCTCACATCTGGGCTAATACATGGATCAACTCAGTAGAATGACTGCCCAAGCACATAGTGAATTCAATCACTCCAGGGATTACCAGTGTGAGGCAGAAATTTGACACATGACCGGACTTATCATTTTTTCTTTTAATGTTACAGTTCAGTGTTGAAAGCCAGATAGCCACAGTTCTTTGGGCAATGAGAGTAACATGTACATCCGCTCCAAGATTATTACTCACCAGGAGTGAGTGGCACATGGGACTCATTGGAAAGGTTGGTCATGTGATCCAGCATTATTTTTACTATCTGATCTGCTGAAGTCATCTGTAAAGAAGGCATGTGTAAGAGGGTAAGCTAGTATTCCTGAACCAACAAGAGGGGGAAGCCAGCCTACCTTCATCCTGCGCACACCTGCTTCACCATGGATTCCTGCAGAAAGAGAGAATTTCAGCTGAGGCACTGCTCATGGCCATCTTCTTTCTAAACAGAAGTAACCGTTTATGGGTACCAAGTCACAAAACCCTAACTTCCCCTGAATTAGGAAACAGAAAGATATAGTTAATGAATTCATACAAGAGAGAAAGAACAGTCTTGCTTTGTGGATGGCTGACCCAGGAATGGCTATTCATGCACCACAGACAATGATGCCTCAGATTCAGTACTATGCCTGCAAATTATGAGTAACTGTCATGAATGGCGATGGAGATGCACAAGCAGAGTTTTGCAAGACACAGTGTATACATGCAGTCTCAAATAAACAGTGCTCATGATGCCATCCCAAGAAAACAGATAGAAAAAAGTGGAGCGCACATCTTTACCTAAGCCTAGCTCAAACTCATCATCTGCAATCTGGAAGGTGGGCCTGGATCCAGGGACACTGCAAGGGGACAAGCATATCCCAAGAGTGCCTGTGAAAACAAAAGGAGCTTTTAAAAATGGCTTTACTTAACAGATTGGCATTTCAACAATTGAACAAGAAAACAGGTGTACAAGAAACAGGTGTACAAGCAAAATAGTTTTATCTAAGCTCTAGGGTAAAGCGCAAAACTCTAAATGGCACTAGAATACCACCATGTGGCATGGGAAAGTGCCCAATTGAAAGAACAGCTGCCATATAATAAGTAGAGAAAGCAATACCATTTATTTATAGTTACTACTTTTATGTTCCACCTTTTCCTCCAAGGAGCTCAAGGCAGTAGACACATTCTCACAACTTTATCAGTTATGTTAGAGCTAAGAAACAGTGACTAACCCAAAGTCACCCAATGAATTTAGCAGCCCAATTTTGATTTGAACTTAGGTTTCACTGAAATCTAGTGAACACTCTAACCAGTATACTGGCTATCAAGAAGAAGAGTAGAGGCTTGACCTTGAATTTGGGCCTTTGTTTCTGCAACGGTCACTAGTTTTAAATTAGTCACTGCAGTGAAAAAGGCCACAATTCCAAATAAGAACCTAAGCCAGCAAGCCCTTCCTAGATGGCTTTGTCAGGTGGAAAGGAATTATCTCTAGAAGAGTAAGGCACTCAAACACTTACCCATTGCTCCTGCAACAGCATTAACTCTTCGAGAAATTTCATTCAGACCTACACCTGCCTCAGCCAGAGCCCCAGCCACCTAAACACAAACAACTGTAAGGAACAACTCTACAATGACCCACAACACAAGGATTACAATGATCACCATCCAATCCCTCCCCTCATGCTACAAAGAATGGACTAATAGTTCAGTCCTTAAAGGAGAAGCAAAATGGTTGTGAATAGGGTATAGTTGGCCATAGTTGTGGCTAAAGAGTTGGCAGCATTCCCCATGCTTCACCCCAACCAAGTCACCTGTATATGTCAGTACCATACTAAGTTTATTCAGAAGTCAGTGAAATTGGTTTTAATGGGTTTGATTTCCAAGTACATACATACTCAGGATTACAGCCATGCAGTTTAATCTAATCTTGGTTTACTCAGACATAAATCCATTTACTTCAATGGAGTTTATTTCCAAATGCATTTGGGGCCTAATAATACTGTGCACCTGACAAAAGGTTTCTCACCTAGAAATATTACAGATATTTTGGAGTTTTGAAAATGTTTAAACTCAATTCAGGCAAGTTTTATATTGGATAAAAGAACAGACCTATCAAAAAAAAAAAGGGGGGGGGCAGAGTTCTAACACAAAAATGGCCTACTCTCTAAAATGTGTAAAAATCAATTTCAAGGAAGCTCAACATAGCAGAACAGGGTTGTGACAAAACTTCATTTCATGAAATACTGGAAATCTGCCGAGGTATCAATAACCATCATGGTTGTGAAAGGTATTGTCCACCAAAGCAGAGCAGAGGCGGAGCACTGAGGAAAGAAAAAAAGAGATCCAAGACTTTACACATATGCATGCATATGAATAACATGCTTGCAATCTTTTAAGAATAGCAATATTGTAACTTCTTAAAAATCTGAGTTAACTTTTTCCCATTATGTAAAAGCCCCACTCACTGTGGTCCAACTATAAAGAAACTATTCATCTTTTATTTTTCATAAGCAGAATTTAGTGCCAAATCTAATTCCTACTAAAAAAGTTTTTAAAAAGTTCATCTCGGTTGTAAACAGACAGCTGAAAATCATTTCAAATGGTTTAAAGCTTTAAGCCTACTGGGATGTTTAATCAAGGCAGCCACAGACTTGAGTTTACAAATGATATGCAGGGCTGTGAAAGACAAGGCTTTTTACAGGGCGTTCTTTTGCAGGATTGCCATAAGTTGGAGATGACTTGACAGCACATAAGAACAGCAGCAAGGGGAAGACTTCTGGTTGATGTCGTGGCAAGACAGCTGTGGAGAACGGGGATCCCGTACTTCACACTGAAATCTGTTTTACTGAGGGCCCCGAGAGGCCCATCCAAGCCCCAGCATACTTCTGCCTGGTGGGAGGTGGTCCCCACTCGCAGGGGGAGGGGAGAAATTCGGGTAAATTCTCAGTGAAGGGACAGAGAGGGGTGCACCACCCCACACAGAAGCTGCTGGCACCGAATTAGTAGCAAAGAAAAGAAAAAGAAGCTTAAAAATGGGCATCGGACCTGCTGGGTGAGCATTTAAATCTTTTAAAACACTGCCTATGAAAGAACCTGTGAAATAACTACCAATCTGAATAACAAAAGGCCCTCTTGACGGAGGGAGGAAACTTCTTCCAGTGGAGTTTAAGCTGTGACAAATCTAGGGGAGATTAAGTGAAACTGGGGAAATTTGAGACTTGGAAGAGATTTTTTTATGTTTAATCTCCCCAAGGGTGAAGAATTAAATTTGAACTTGTTGTATAATAATTGGTAGAAATTCTGTTTCGTTTCTATATACATGGTGATTTGATGTTCTAGTTTCTGCAACAAATAACCTTTTGCTGCCACCCTGTGGTCATTATATTCCTCTCTTTGTGATTTTTTGACTGCTATTTAGTGGCCATTTAGTACCACAACAGGTTATTTAAAAATTGCTTTAATTAAACTCTTCACTTTCATCATGGAAAAAACTCACCAATCATCTTTGACACCTATGTCTGCTTCCCAACACCCAATGCATCAGTTAAAAACTGTGGATTTGGGAAAATCCCCAAAAAACATACAAATGACACTTATGGCAATACAAGCATCTCTAACATCTATGCAAGCATCTCAAGAGTCTATGCAAAATGCTATACAAGAATTTGCTTTGGAACAAAAGGAAACGCTGGATAATTTGGATAAATTGGACGGTCTTGTCTTGAAGATAATGAACCAACTTGCAGGTTCTGTATTAAAATAAAACAAAATGAACAAAAGACACAAGAGGTGAAAAAGGTGGTTGATGATTCTGATTAGAAAATTGAAAAGATGGATCAAGAGAAGCAACATTTAACACAAACAAATAAGTCATTATGGGATCCGGTTGCTATACTGGAGAGATTTCAGAATACACCAGAAGCAAAAAATGAAAACCTAAGTGGTTTAATAAACATTATGCTAGCAGATGCTCCTGCTTTGGAAGAGACTGATCAATAGCTTGACCTAGTTTATAGAGTCAACTTAAGCTATGTTAGAAGTCATAAACTTCCGAGGGAGAATGGATAATTCTAAAGTAATTTTATATATTGAAGGGCATGATTTATAAATGGGATGGCATGCTTATGTGTGGTAAGGGTATTGACATTTCTTGGTGGCACAAAGTTCAAATACGATTGAGATATGTGAAGACTATAGAATGTATGATTTTGTAAAGGAATTAGCAACATTTGATTAATTGATTTTAAAACAGATGAAAGAATGGTTAAAGGATTGTACAATTTTCTTTTGGGCATAAAAATGAAAGATGAATGAGTTAAGGAAACTATGATAATATGGGCATAAAATGTTGGATATAACATTGAGTTACAGAAATGGCAAAAGCTGTGGGAAAGAAATATTAAGGTAACCTTAGCAATTTCACATAAAGAAAACCTATATAAATGTTTTATAGTTAGACAGATAGACAGATGTAAATGTTTTATAGTTTTTATTGCTAAATAGATTAGCAATAATGTTCTCAAATATGTCAAATAGATGTTGGAAATGTAAACACAAATTTAAACCTGAAGACTTTTCCCTTTTTTGTTATTAGATATTATTCTTAATGATTTTGATAAATAAGCTATATATTGTGAGCCGCCCCAAGGCTTCGGCGAATGGGGCGGCATAAAAATGTTTTAATAAATAAAATAAAATAAAAAATATTAGATCTTACATGTAATTACTGTGGTGAGGATTCTATTTGTTTTTACTGGAGGAGTGAAGAGCCACGCACCAGAGTTGATCTTAAAAAGGATTTTAGATTGCACGAAAGGGGACAGATTGATCTTGTCTCTGAAGGAGAAGGAGGATGCATATTTCTACCAAATTTGGAACTCTTTTTATTATTAGTTGGAGAAACGGGACTATGTGTAGATCTGAATACGGCTACTGACTTAAAATGAGGAATATGTTAACCCAGTATATCCGATGTCTTAAATAATTGTTGTTTTTAATATTAGTTTGTAGAAAAATAGTAAAATTTATTTTTTAAAAAAGAACAACAGCAAGGGTACAATCCTAAGATGGGGCTGGGACTTGTAGACCTTCCTTCTGTCTAAATATACATAAGGTTGTGACTTTAAAGGACTTTTTAGGCTCACCTCCTTTCTGTCTTGTCACATTGCCCCATTTTAGCCAAAGGGCACCCTTCTCTGCTTTGTAAAATTTCTTCCCTTAGTGTCACCTTGATATATAATGTTTATTATTAACAACCTCTACATTTTAATGGTGGAATTCTAAGTAATCTAAGAAAAACAGAGAACCAGTGTGGTGTAGTGGTTAAGAGCATGGGACTGGGACTCAGGTGATCTGGGTTCTAGTCCCCGCTTGGACATGGAGCCAACTGGGTGACTCTGGACCAGTCACAGACTCTCAGCCCAACCTACCTCACAGGGCTGTTGTGGGGATAAGGTGGAGGAGGAGAATGATGTAAGCTGCCTTGAGCCCTTTGTAGGAAAAAGGCAGGATATAAATCAATAAATAAATAAATGAGTACGTCAACTTTGCCCAACACTCTCAGAATTAGGTCTGATTGTCACAGCCACCAAAATGCTGATACAGAATTATTTTGCTATGCAGCTGGAGAAAATCAGAAGTGACTGTGCATACAAAGATCAGCAAATGATAACTATGGGTGTCTCACAGTGAACAAATGTTCTTAGGCTTCAAAGCAACATTTGTTTTGAAAGTACTACTCTGGAGTAGGGGGCCTATCAATGACCTCTGAAGTTGCTGCCCCTGAAGTTGTGGACAGAGGATTCCTACCTTATGTATGAGCACAGTACCACACAGGCCTCTGCGGCCAGTCTTCTTCTGTGTGGTAAAAGCAGAGTCATCACCAACCACCACCATCTGCACAGGAATCCTTTCCGCCTGTGCCTGCTCCAATGCCAGCCCAAAGTTCAGGCGGTCCCCAGTATAGTTCTTCACTATTAGCAGGGTTCCAACTGCAGAAGAAAGGAGTTGTGAGTTCCCTCTGCCCTTCATTCAGAGGAAGGGCAGGCACTGTTATAAACTGCCCAGAGAGCTCTGGCCATGGGTTGGTATAGAAATGAAAATAACAACAACAACAACAGAGGTCAGCCCCCCAGAAATGTAGTCATACCTGCTCCAGCTTGTGTCACCGCCCGAATTGCTGCTAAAATGCTACCCACTGCAGGGGATGTGAAGACTGGACCTGCCACCACTCCAGTGAGCATTCCCCTCCCAATGTATCCTGAGCAAAGCAGACAGACAAGGCTTTATTATATCCCATCTAGATGTAAAATCAAAGCACTTTACCTCTAACTTACACTAAACATTTGTTGTTGTTCAACAAAGCTTTAGCAACTGCATCCAACTTCAGCCCGAAGAACTGTGGCAAGAGTTTTTTTCAGTTTATGCTGTTCATACATATGGGATACAAGATGGCCTCTTCTCTATTTATTGATCAAACACCACAGCATTAACCACAGGGGGAAGGGGAATCAAAACATTGTCTCACACCCCCAAAGATCCCATAACTTTGATCCTGCTAACCTGCATGCGCAGGCTCATGTCCTGATCCACCTCCAGAAATAAGTGCCACTTTGCCTTGCACATTCTCCAAATCAGAACGCAGTGCAACTCTGTGTCCATGTAGGAGCTGGAGATTAGGATTGCAAGCCACCAATCCAGCCAATGACTCATCTGCACAACTCATAATTGTATTCACTAGCTTCTTTGAGCCCTAAAATAAGCAAAACATGATGGTTTGTTCACACACACACACACAGACACACACAACTTTTCTATTTGGAGGTAGCTCTAAATTTGTGGCTGTTTTTGGCATTATAGCAAGTGCTTATAAGTAAACATACATGCAAGTTAATCTGCTATCATTTCATTCGAAAAGCAACACTTGCAGAAGGCACAGGCAAGATGTAACCACTAAATGAGCAAATGTATCTCTTCTGGAGTTGCAAAGTGGAAGTGCAAAACAAAAAGCAATAGCTACTTGCACAACTGCTTGTTAGCACTAGCACCCGAAATTGCTTTAAAAGAAAAATGAATCATAGATCTTCAAGCATCACTAATTCTTTCAACCAGTCCTCAAACATTGAATTTTAACTGAAACCAAAGTTCAAGAAGTGATCTAGTCTTTTGAACTTTGTTTTTAGCCAAGGGAAAAGATAGTAGCATTGAGTAATAGTAGGTAAACCTAACAATCATTAAATTGTCACAACCTCTCTGTTTAAACATCCATAAAGGAGCTGCTCCTTTGCAATGGCCATGTTTGCACATCACACAATGCAACTAAGCTACACTGCATGTGGTATCTGTAGAACAACCCACAGTGCGCCTAATACGTGACTGCATTCGCTGTGGCTAGTTTGCTCCTTCCTCCTTGGTCCTCCAGCTGTGCAAAAGAACTCAGGTCTCTGTAGGAAAGAAAGTATAATTTGCACACATGTAGTTCCCCGAGTATCTTTTAGTGGACAAGAAAGTGCAACACACACATTTTAAATAATTTCTGGAGAATATGGGGTGACCAGCAACAAATGCATCATGCAAAGAGCTTGATGTTCCAAAGCTCATGGCAACAAAAATCTGGCCTTAACACCGTAGTTTAAGGTTTGGAGATACAGGTCTGGATGTTGAATCAACCCTTCCCTTAATTTTCAATGCAAGTGACTCCATAACAAGCAGCCTAAGAAGTGATACTAGCAGAAACTCATCAACTCCTTCAAAGTAACAGTGTGGTTGCAGATGAGGAAGCATGCTGCAGAGAACCCTGGATGAGGACCAGGAGCCTTTCTCAGGCATAATCCTCGCTGGGTGAACTGAGGTCAGCCACGCCGGGTTGTTCACTGGATAGATTTTGGACCCCCACAGAACTCTTGGGAGGAGGGCTGGGATAAAAATGCGGTGGCGGCACTGGAGAGCTCTAAGGGCTCCCCTGCTCCTCCCCAACCCGAAGACCCAGATGCTTGGGCCTCACCTGCATGCTTGCCGGCGCTGCAGCTCTGGGCTATCAGCGCAGGGTCCAGCGGGATGACCCGAAAGCCTATCACCGAAGCAGGGGCGCCGTCGGCTCTGAAGGAAGAGGCAGGGTAACTCAGACAGCAGCGGCTGAAGGCTGCCTGGAGCCACAGCGGGGACTGTTACAGCCTCTGCTGGCACCGGCCTGACGCAAGCGGAGGGCGGACCCGGGAGGTCTGGCGAATTGAAGGCCACCACAGACTCTGCCCGGCGATCCAGACCCCGCCTGGCTGCAGCATGAAGCACGCGCGGGGCTCCTGGCAGGGGTGGGAGGGAGACGCCGATTGGCGGAGAACAGCTCGAGCGCTGCCCGTTGAGGCGGTATCGCGTCCAAGGGGGAGGGAAGAAAGGCGCACGCATCACCGAGTCGACACAAAGCGCGCTTGCGCTAATCCCTCTCACACGACTCCCCCCCCCATCCTTAAGCCGGCGCGCAGAGCGGCTTCAATTCAAACACGAGTTTAGCTCTGCGCATGCGCATCCTCCTCTCTCGCTCTCTCCCTCTCGCTCTCTCCCCGCCGCCCGGAACGCTTCTTTACATCTAGGAGTCGCTAGAGGCTTCTCATCACTTTCCGCTTCCCGTGGCATCCCGCGCGGAGCGGGCGCTCTAGCGGTGGCACCGCTTTGTCGTTGGTGCCGAAGGCCATCGAGTAGCGATCGCGGCTGTACACCTCCCGCAGCCCTCGCCTTCCGTGGCTGTTCACCTGCCCCGCTCCCGCCATGTCGTGCAACTACGTAGTGACGGCACAGAAGCCCACGGCCGTCAATAGCTGCGTCACCGGTAATGGCGGGGGAGGGGCCTTCCAAAGAGGGGGAGTCTCGGGGGGGCACCACTGTCCGCGGCGTAGGCGGGAGTGGGGAGCCGCGCGCAGGAGGCGGGGGCGGCGAGCGTTGCGTGCTCCGCGGCTCCGCAACTTCGCGATGTTTTCCTTCCACCGTCTCCGCAGGGCATTTCACCTCCTCGGAGGACCTGAACTTGTTGATTGCCAAGAACACCCGCTTGGAGATCTATGCGGTCACCGCCGAAGGGCTGCGGCCCGTCAAGGAGGTGGGCATGTATGGCAAGATCGCGGTCATGGAGCTCTTCCGGCCCAAGGTGAGCATGGTCTGTCTTGCGCCCGCGCCGTCCCATTTTAAGGATGCGCAGTGATCCTTTTGGAGCCGGAGCGGCGGGGTGGATTCCGTGGGTGTGCGCTCCATGGACTTAGGGCTTCCGTGCTCAGGCAGGCGTTTCCCCTCCTGGAAAGAGGGCCTGTGATTGTGGTGCTTTCGCTGTTCTTTCTGTGGCATAGCTTTTCTCACGGAATGTATTGGATTGCAACTCCCAGCGTTCCTAGCTAGGCAGCCGTGGCAGTCCAGTACTTCCAGTTGGGAAAGGTTGCTATAGCACTATTGTTTGACTCCTTCCTACTGTGAGTCCATGCTTACTAATCCACCCACTGCTGCATACCTCTGTGTGGTTTCTTAGATTGCCACAGCGTAAGGGTAGCATCCGCTTGTCCCTTGCTTGCTTGCTGGAATAGGTATGTTTTGTTCTATTGCATGAGCAAGACTGTTTTGCTGAAAGCAGGAGCAGCTTGCTGTGTCTGTATCTGCTATTTTAGTGGAGACTCAGGAGCAACTCTTTCTTGCCACCTCTGCTGGCCTGAAATGGCTGGTGAGAGTGATTTCCCCACTGACCTGCCTGCTGTTTTGGACTGGTTGGACCAAATAGGGAGGGAGGTTCTGTGCTCTGTGTGGCCTGCTGTAGAGGAGGCATAGCAAGAACCCCGCTCAGCTCCCATCTGCTGCATTGCCAAGCAACTTTGCTGCTGAGCACCATGGCTTGTGTGATCTGCTTGTGAGTTATGGTGAGGGTGGACATGGATTTTATATGGTACATAAAATTCACGTGGTTTACATTTTTAGTTCTGTTTACTAAATCTGAGATGTTTTGTGTGCTTATAAAGAGAAAATGTGTGCTGCAGAGTCAGAATGAGCCAAGCAGACATGCCAAATCAGTTAATGTGCTTTAGAATATTGGATAATTTTCCACCAAAGCCATATCACAGGAGATGTCTTATTTCTTTGTCATATGAACCTGTCCTTCATTTGAAAAGAACAGTACCCATTTGAGGACAAATATATTTAATCCATTTTGCTGCAGTGTAATACTGATGGAGCATATAATGGCTTTAGTAATTTCTGAGGGATTTCTGTGATAGTTACATGAAAGTCACAAGCCTGGAGTATGACTTTCTGATGGCATTCAAACTAAAACAAGTGCTATTTGCAGCAGTTGAAAAAAGAAGAAATGCTAACTAAAAACCAACAGAAAGATATGAAAAACTTCAAACTAACAATTTACATCAACAGATCCTGATTTTAATTATTTATTGTAAACTGCTCAAACCTTGTAAAAAAAGTGGGATATAAATCTTACGGTTGCTGTAATTGGGTTTAGGAAGTTCAAGGTGGTTCAGTGGTCTTTTTCCAATTAGAATGTCCATTAACCTTCTTTGTATTGTATTGTTTTCCCTAAGGGGGAGAGCAAGGATTTACTTTTTATTCTGACTGCAAAATATAATGCCTGCATCCTTGAATACAAACAAAGTGGAGAAAGCATTGATATTATCACCCGAGCCCATGGCAATGTGCAGGTAAGTGGGGGGAACTGAATGTAGTCAGTAGAGCATGGCTCAGGACCACAGAACATTTGGTATTTTTGTGCAAATTTAAAGGGAACTGATATTCCAGAAACACTTTAGTGCTTAAATTTTTTTGAAAAAAGAAAACCAGTAAAATTTGAGTAGAAGTGGCTGCTTTGTTGCATGTACCAAACTGTTGAGTGGATGTGATTTGTATGTTCCCTTGTTAAGTTTTTTTCCAATTACCTTTGAATGTTGGGCTCCCTCCAGAGATGTGTTAGCTATGTGGTGTATTTTCTCTTTTAATGCTTAGTAAGTGATCTCGTAGCTCTGGTTGTGCACATTCTTTGTCCCATTCAAATTCATCTGTGCCAACTTCTGCCCCACTGATTATTTGTTTCATGTTGCTCAGTTGTTATGCAGTTGGGCTGTATAGTTGTCTTCCACACTGCACAAGAGGTGTGTGTTCAGCAGGAAATGCCAAGGAGGGGTGCAGCCTTCATACTGTCTTTGTGGGCTCCTCAGATGTATCTGATGGGCTGCTATGGAAAATGAGTTGCTAGAGCAGGTGGACCCTTTGGCCTAACCTAGCAGAATGTTCTCAAGGTTCAGCTAAGTTCTGAGGACCACTGCTGGATTCCTTCGTTGTCAAGAGTTCCCAAATGTAGGCTCCGTAGCACATCAAAAGTGTGTGGTCTCCAGGATCCTGGCCCTTGCTGGAGCCTTGTCTCTGATCTTGTACTGTTCTGTTGAAACTCCGTACAAGGGTGGAATCCTCAGCCTGGAGCAGTCCAAGCAGTGCTTGTGGTAACTTGGAAGTACAAAAACCACAAGATTCAGTGTTTCACTCTTGAGGCTGGAAAGGTAGGGCAGGCATCTTAAACACAGTTTCATTATTCTTCTGAGGTCTGCCAAAATCTGTTGGGCACTGAGTCCCAGCACAAATGCAACTTCCCAAGCAACATTCAACCCTAATTCTTTAGGCTCAGGATAAGGGCTGGGGCTTATGTATGTCACATTGTGATATTGATGCCCCTGACTGTCAGGATCACTGTTCCTTCTCCATCCTACTTGCAAGGCTGAGAGGAAGGAATTGGCTTGTCAGAGTTGCCAGGTAGTAATAAATGTATAAAGTACACTTACTGCAAAGTTTAACAATGTAGCACATTTGGGCACAATATACAAAGCCACCTAGTGTGTCCACCGGGGAGATCTGCATTGTGCACCCCTCCAGTCACTCTGTCACCTTCTCATCCACCTTTACTTTGCTAGGAAGACCCTTGGAAAATGTAGGGAAAAAAGACTGTTGCAGCACTTAAAGGGCTAAAAATTTATTTTAGTGTAAACTTTTGTAGACTGTACCCTACTTTATCACATGCATGGTTTTTATATGGTACATACTATGTGGTGTATGTGGAGGTTAAAGAGTGAGATTAGAGGGAAATTCAATAAAGGTAAATAGTCGTACTTTCACCGACTGCTTTACAGTCCTGTTCCTCTGCCCACCGCACTGCATTTCCTTAAAGACAAAACAGCCTGTAACGAGCTAAATAACTACCCTGGACTATGGACTGTGTTGCAGTGATTCATTACACTGCACTTCCTCCCAATGATACGGCTATAGCAACTCTCTTACTGCTTGTAATATGACATAACCCATAGCCAGACACAGCAGCAAGTTTCCACAACATTCCAAAATGTTGTTACAACAACAATCTGAATAATCAAAAAGTACTTCTTTGAAGCCATACTTATTTGCATTCCACATTGCACAAAAAGGGAAACTGAATAAACCATCTTTGACATCGGTACCACATGTGTGCAGAGCAGCAGAGAAGGGAAAAATTGGATAAGCTAGCACACATACACACAAGTCTCAAAGGATTCATGCACAGAGGCACACACACTACAAAGCATCTGCCCATGGAAAGAGGGAGGGAGGCAGGGAGAGACACTGACACTTGCACAGAAAGGAATTTACATAGAGCAGTATGTCTGTCCCCTTTCCTTAAGACTTCAATCCTATGCATGATTACATGGGAGTAAGTACCATTGAATTAAGTGAGACTTACTTGTTAGGTAAGGTTTGCTTTACACATCCCAGCAACCTCTCTCCGTTCTTTCTTGCACACACACATCAAATTTTGCAGTGTATTATACACCACAGTTACAACGAATTGTGGCAAAGTTCAAATTTAAAGCAAAGAGGGGTGAGAGAACAGTAATCATAATGAATTATATGTCCTTTCCCCTCCCGTTTTAAAAAAGTTACATACTTGTCATATCTATTAAATTGTGATGATTGATACTGAGGTACCAAGAAAATATTATTGCTTGTGGAAGTGTAGTAAAGCTGAACAGGGTATGTCATAATAAATAAAATCATACTTTTTCAAACATGGAGTGATCCACAAAAGCACATTTGATGGGTTTTGGACCAATTTTTCATATTTCATTGAGGCTGCAACTTATTGTCAGAAATGTAGCTTGCTGATATCATGTTTTTCCTTCTACCTTCTAGGATCGTATTGGTCGTCCCTCAGAAACTGGTATAATTGGCATAATTGACCCAGAGTGCCGAATGATTGGACTAAGACTCTATGATGGCCTCTTCAAAGTGATTCCTCTGGAACGGGAAAATAAGGAATTAAAGGCATTTAATATCCGACTGGAGGAGCTACAGGTCATTGATGTCAAGTTCCTGTACGGGTGCCAGGCCCCAACCATCTGTTTTGTTTACCAGGTATCCATATGGGACTGTGTGTCACAGTGTAAATGCTGGTCAGGGCCTCGTGTCTCTGAGTGTAATTGGAGTGCAAATAGTGGTTGAATGTGACTCATTAATTCAGGCTATTCTTATTATCTGGGTTTCCATGTTGCTCAAAGCACTACAGCTGACAGCAGCTTTAAAAAAATCACAGTGTTTAACACTTTTAGACAGCTGCACTTGTTCCTTCTATGTTGATCTTTTGTTTCAACCGATAGTGCCCTATATCATCATGGATTTCCCTCCAAATGAATTTCTTGTTTACCCAACAGTCCTGTTTTAAAAGCTTTTAATTGTGGTATCTTCCTATCTTGAGTTGATTTCTTGTGGCTTAGTCTCTATTCAGCTTAAAAAAGCTCAAATGGCAGCAAGACAGTGGAAAGAACCTCCCATAATAACTCCACTTCAAGATAGGGATTATTAATAAAGAAATGAATGTATAGAGATCAAGACACTGAATTTGTATCACTGTGTTGTTCTTTGTTTCATATGAACAAAGCAATCTGAACAACCATTGAGCTTTATTAACAGCTATATCTCTCAAAAACTGTCTAATTAGCATTTTTCATATAGTAAGAGTTTGCTTGTTCATTCTTATATAAACTATTTCAGTATAGTTTTTGAAAGTAGTATTTTTTCATCTTGCCTTATAACAGTATTACATGTAGTTATCTTGCTTGGGTTCAGATCTTAAAACTACAAATGCTTCTTTTTTATTGTGAAAAGTCCGATGATTTTGCTTTGTACCTGATCTGCTCTTCAAGCAGGACTTTCTTCATAGATTTGCTCCTCATTAGAATTTCTCTTTCTTCCTTGACTCTTTTGACATTTCTGCTAATCTAACTGCACCAGCCTCTGGTGAAGAGAGAGCAGTCTGGTTCAGATGTAACATTCCTGGTCCAGCAAACTACTTTGCTGAAGCTGTAATGGGCTGTGTGATTGAGCACCAGCTGCAAAGGAGTCTTCCTGAATTTTTAAACACAGTTTCCTGTGATGACCTTCCCCATGGTTTGATCTTGGTTTGCAGTCTTGAGTGAAAAGGCATCACATGGAAACTGGTTTAACAAGCCAAGTAGTCTGTCCTGCCATTCAGTATGCAAGCACGCCTTCTCTCCTCCCCTAACCTGCTGTGTTAGAGCTGGATTCTATGCATCTACAGTTGGTAGCAAAGGGTCAGGAGCCATACATCTGCTGCCTGGCCACATGGTTCAAGTGCTTGGATTGAAAGCCTGGTGTGTCCATTCAGTACTGAAACACGCCAGGTTGGTAGTGAAGGGATGTCATGGGGTGGGTGGAGCTAATTTTTAGCCATAAGGGGAAAAAAGCCAGCGTTTTTAGTCAGAAGAGGACTGGGCAGAGGACGAAAAGAGTATTTCATCTACCCTTACCCCTTTCCTCGTATGAGTAAAAATCAGGTGAATAACACTTTTTGCAGGTTGCTGCCTTTGTCGAGCTAATTTACAAGCCTTCCTTAGTCCAGAATGCTTATCACTTTGAGGTTCCATATTTATGGAATGAGGATTTTAAAAAAATCTCAGATTCCAAAACATTTTCTCATGCCACATGGGAGGAGGAATGTTGTTTAAGAAACATAAGTCCACAGCTCCCTTGAATGGATAGAACTATCTGTGTGGTCCTTGGTGTCTGGACCAGTGTGTTTTTTATTTTAATTTTGAAAACTGGACCACATCTGCACATTTTATCCAGTGTTTTTACCAAAAAAGGTAAAAGACATTGAAATCAGTGATGCAAATGGCATCAAAATCATATTAACAGGATCATCCTTTAAACAGAATGTTTTTGTTAAAATAAAGGAAGTCAGATTTGGGTCTTCAGATAAGGAGTCAAGTTTACTCATTCATTTTACTCAGCGATAAAAACTCGTTCCTTGGGTTTAATAATATTCCAAGTTACTTTCTAACTCCTATCAGCTGCATGGTAAATGGTGGTGTTCAGCTGTGGAGAAACTTCTGCTTTGTTGAACAAAGGTCATCCTTGGAGTTTTTCAAATTTAGTTAAGCAGAGGGTATATTTTGCTAGTAACTTTGGCAGTGTGCAATAACTATACTATGTTGAGGAGTCTAGGCAGCTCGCCATTAAAAAGGCCAATTATCTTTAAAGCAGAGAAGGGAAAGTTTGAGGTGGTTACAATCCTTGGCTCTAGTTTGTTCATGTTGAACAAATGCAACTGTACAGTGCCCTGTTTGTTCCAGTGACAGCCATATCTGTTTCCATCTCTCTAGGATCCGCAGGGCCGGCATGTCAAGACATATGAAGTGTCTTTACGTGAGAAGGAGTTTAACAAAGGACCCTGGAAACAGGAGAATGTTGAGGCTGAAGCCTCTATGGTGATTGCAGGTTAGTTCATGTTCATGAAATTTGCAGCTACCTACGTCGATGTAAAAATCAGCAGGGTTTTCTTCTCTTACGTAGCAGGCCACCTGTTTTTTCCTCTTTACCAAATGTTGGCTGTATCGTCTTCTGTGGTTGTCTTGTAGTACCTGCTTCTCATTGTGCTGATCGCATTTGTGTTACGACTGAGAATCTTACTTCTCTATGTGTTCCTCTTTCTTTTGCAACAGTTGGCCATAAGGCTGTCCATCCTAGAATATTTTGTTTAAATCCTAGAGGAGTATCTCTAGTTAGTGCTTAAACTTAGGTTTGCAGCTCCCTAGAAATAAAAAGAAGCAGCTGCACAGGAGACAGCAAAATACTTAAACAGCTTATAAATTGCCTGTTCCCTAAAATGGAACTGAAAGCAGTAATCAAACCAAGATTGACAATAGTTTGAATAAACACCAGTAACCTGTAGAACAGCCATCTTAAACATGTTGCCATAAAACAACATTCAGGGACTATTAAAACCTCCTAATCAAATGTCTTCTTAAAGTGCCTTGTGTACTGGGCCTTCTGGTTTCTTTGATTATATTGCTGCATCATTGTACTTCCCTTCACATAGATATTATAAATCTAGCAATCCACTTGGGAATGAGAGGTGTACAAGTAACCCTGCTGTAATGCTGTCCACTCCCCTGTGCAGTCTTATCAGTGGCTGTAGCTTTTTATAGCTTGACTCCTCAGCATCACATGCTGGCTTTGCTTCCCTCTCATTAACAAGATATTCCAAGGGCTGCCATACTCTTGAGACTGAAAGAGGGAGAGAGGAACAGCCGTGTGTGTACCTGAATCAATAAAGGGCAGAACAGAGATAGTTGTATGCATGGCTCAAGTTTTCTTTGTAACCTTAACATCCACCCAAATGCTGCATTCTGTTAATGTAATGTGGTGGAGCATGCACCAGGCCTCACTGGAAGAAGATGCATCCAGGTTTGCCTGAATCAAGAAGTTAAGTGACCAGTTACAAGCCTGTACCTGTGTAGTCCAAATATATCAGCTCTGTTAGTTCATGAATCTTCATCTTTCAGGTTCTCTGTATTCCATCTCTTTTATTTTGAAAAGTGGGATAGACAAAGGAACATAAGACATAGAGGCTGCAAGTTGATAAGTTTTGTCAGGACAGGTGAGGGTCTGGGTTCTTTTGGTAATTCTGTGAGAGGCCTAACACGGAGAAAACTTCTTCTGTTCATTCATTCATTCATTCTTCTGACTATTTAATTTGGAGTAATAACAACTATCCATAACCAAATTCAGATGCAGGATTAGAAAATAGATGAGAGCTCTTCTTGCTTCTGTTAGTTAAGGATTCAAAAATGATATCACATTATATGGTCAACATGCTGATTGTAAATTCCACTTTTGGCTTGTTTACTTCTGTCTCGGTTATTGATGCTTTTTCATTCTACTTACAAACTGCTTTGTTCCTTTGAAAAGGTGGCTGTCTTTCTGTGATGAACAGGAGATTCTGTGTGTATCAAGCAGCAGTTAGGTGAGAATGTAATTTAGTATACAAAAAGCAGAGATGGCAGGATTCTGCACAGAACATGAAGAAAGGGTGAAGGGAGTTCATCCATTTATTAGAATTGATCCTTGCTGCATGCTTCTTTCTTGCATTGGTAATCCTTTTTGCTCCTCATGTGTATGCTCCCAACATTTTTCTTATAGTGCCTGAGCCATTTGGAGGGGCTATCATTATTGGACAAGAATCCATCACCTACCACAATGGTGATAAATACCTGGCTATAGCTCCGCCTATCATCAAGGTGAGTGCATGTTTTGGAACATATTGGTTGAAAGCTGGAACAATTGCATGCTTCACATGTGCTTAAGATACTGAAGGTGATATTTAAGGATTGTATTGGAGCTGAACCGAAATTGTGGTGAGGGATGTTTTCATGAATACTTTTATCTGTGTTGTAAAGCCTGCCCATGTTAATTGTATGATTAAATAAGCCACAATGCTGTACCATTTGATTTAAGCCATAGTTTTAATCCCTGGCATATGCTGAATGCCATTTCCTTAATTACCTGCTCAAGCATCACTTGTCTGAGTGGGGGAAGAAGCCTCGAATGAGTCTGCAACAGTTGTTCCCCCCTTTCAGTAAGCTGTGCTGCTCAGGCCTTAATGCAGTGCCCAGCCATGCCTGGGTCAGGAATTAGGGAAATGGCACCCAGGATTAAAACGAGGCACCATGGGGTTTGAAGCCAGGGGAGTTTAGTAGGCAGAAGAAGAGAATTAAATGCTTACCTCTTCCTCTCAGGGGAATAAAATAGACATATTTTCTATTGCAAGGTAGAACCAAAGTATTCAGAAAGTTGTTCAATGCTAACAGCATCTTACCTCTGCGATATATTCTGAATGCTGCCTCTTTTGTGAAACAGCAAAGTACGATTGTGTGTCACAATCGTGTGGACCCAAACGGTTCCCGTTACCTTCTGGGGGACATGGAGGGCCGCCTATTCATGCTGTTATTGGAGAAGGAGGAGCAGATGGATGGTGGTGTCAGTCTGAAGGATCTGCGCGTGGAGCTGCTTGGAGAGGTAGTTCTTATTTCCCTTCCTGTTTCTGAAGCATTGGTGGCCATATGAGTTGGAAGAAGCATTTGGGAAGCTAGGGAGACAATGCAGGGAGACCATCCCCTGCAGAGGCAGGAAGAGATTGAGAACTTTCCCAGGAAGTAATGTCCATTGCTTCCATCAGGCATTAGAATCTGGATGGCATTAAGAACGCCGAGCACCATTATGTTCAGGAGTCTTTATCCAGAATATTGGTTTTGGGAATACACACAGAGAAGAGTTCCCTCAGTTAGGGCCCTCCCTCCCTTAAGATTTTCTCACAGATCAGGTTGGGCTTTAATTTTCTTTAGATCTTTTTATTATTTGTAACATTTGTATCCTACCCTTCATTAAGGGAGGTATAATACCTTTGTGACACTCCTGTGAGCTAGATCAGGCCACAGTGGATGTGGCATGATGGAAGCCGCTGTCCACGTTCTATAGGCAGGACAGTTGGAATCCTGATTCCCTACTTAATCTTTTGGATTGTGGCTCCTGCACTCCCTTCCATACGTAAGGCACGACTTGCATCAAAAATTGATGACAGGTAGACTTTATGTTCCGGTAATAGTAGATTGTGTATCTTTTAAACTTATTTTTTAACAAGCTTGATTTAAATCTCTGTTTTTGCTTTCTCCACATGTAGACATCCATTGCAGAATGCCTGACTTACCTAGACAATGGTGTTGTGTTTGTTGGCTCACGGCTTGGGGACTCCCAGCTTGTAAAGGTAAACAGTAGCCCTTAATGAACTTGTTAACTCTACAGCCACAAGTGGTTTGCCAATCTTCTGCCCATGATAAATATGACTAATAAATAAAAGTATACTTAAATGGCCTGGGTGGGGGAATTCAAAATGTATTTTCACCATCCCTTAGAGCAGAGCTGCAGAATCTCAAGCCCAGGGGTCAAATATGGTTCTCTAGGGTGCCCTGGAAGGCTGCACCCCCTTTCTCCATCCACCAGTTGTTTGATTGTTCCAACATTTTAACATTTGGCCAATGATTCCAGCATCTTAACGTTTAACAATATGGTTTTTGAGCAGGTTTCCTCCCATTCTGAAATGTTCAAATGCCTCTCCTAAGGCTTAGTTACTGTAGCTAGAGCTTTAAGCTGCAATATAATGGGACTTTTATAGTTCTGTTTTTGTCCCTTTTGCCTTCATGTCTACCCACCACTGGAATGTGGCCCATGAAAATTCTTCAGAATGGAATTTCACTCTCGGACTGAAAGAGGTTCTCTACCCTCTGCCTGAGAACTTTTAGTCTCATACTTGTAGCAGTCTCATCTTTTTCTTTCTTGAGAAACTTCGTAACCTTATTTTCATTCCTAGCTCAATGTGGACAGTAATGAGCAAGGCTCATATGTTGTGGCCATGGAAACCTTCACCAACCTTGGTCCCATTGTGGACATGTGCGTGGTAGACCTTGAGAGACAAGGCCAAGGGCAGGTAAATTTGGCTCTGCTTTTCATATGTTTAGACTTCTCAGTTGTACTAGGAGAGTCAGTTTGTGTGCCTTCTGAGTTAATAGTGCATTTTCATCCTTGCTCTCCCCCTTGTTCTGAGTTGTATATATGGCTCTTTTCTTCTGAAATGCACATTTTATCCTCACAATAGGCCTGTGAATTAGGTTAGGCTGGAAACAGCATCTTGCCCCTGGTCTCCTAACAGTAACCATCATGGTTTTGCACACCTTTGAACCTAGATCTCTTTTTTCCAACTATAACTGATTGTTCACTATACCATACTGCCTCTTGTTTATCTTATGACAAATTAGAAATGATTATAGCTGTGTACCTGATTACATGGAAAAGCTGTTTCAGATAATGTTGACTAGAGCAAAGACTATTTCTGCTGTTGTATGAATCTGTCATTCTTAAAACTTTTGTAGTAAAGGATTTATTGTCTCCAAGGACTGAATTAGATAATTGGGGTCCATGGTTATATTTTATGTCCAGTTAGAGGGAGCTAATGGCTATCTCCCCTTTCCACAGCTGGTTACATGTTCTGGTGCCTTTAAGGAAGGCTCTTTGAGGATCATCCGGAATGGAATTGGAATTCACGAACACGCCAGCATTGATCTTCCAGGAATTAAAGGTATTTTGTTCTGATATAAATGGATGATCTGTGGTTCTCTCTTCAGTTATTTTAGTGCATACTGTAAGCTGTTTTGCTTTTGATCCACAGCAAAGATAAGAATGATATGCATATGAAATTTTGTAATGAACGTTTTTCTAGCCCTCATGAGTGTATAGAAAGGTTAGGAAATGTAGTGTTTGAAGACTTAAGGCAGGTTCACACGACACAGCAAACAACCCTGCATGGTTACCACAGTTCATCCTTTTTTACCCATCTTCCCTGCCCAAGCCTCCCTTTGGCTACAGGTATCCATCAGTTACTGTACCTACAGTTGACACTCTCAGGTGTACCACTTCCAGATTTCACCTGCCTCTTCCTTATTAGTTGTGTCCATGCTAATTCCCTGTGTGTATTCTCTGTTTCTCCCTCCCTCCTCATTTATCCCTATGTCCCTAAAGCAAAGCTGCATGTCAATGAATGGCTTTGCCCATAGAAAGCAGTTTTTCCCACTATGATCCTTCTCCATGTTGAAGCGTCTTTACCCACAGCTCCTCCTACCACCACTGCCCTTCCTTTGCTGGAGATTGACTGAGGCTTGGCTTTGTACACAAACCACAAACATGTTGTTTCCCTCACATGCATTCATTCCCACAGAGGGCAAGTGCTTGGGCAGGTTTTGCCCTCCCTCTCTGCCACCATGCTTGTACCCACCATCATTGTCTTCCCTGCACCACCACCAAACAAAATGTCTCCCACCCCCCACGCCCATCAAGATCAGGCATGGAGGCTTGTTACTCTGTTAGCCCACCCGGAACCCCCTCCTCTGCACCCTGCTCCAGCACCTTTTGCCTGCTGCCATCCCCCATGCTCTCCCCACCTCCCTCCCTCATATTGTTGCCCCTGCTCCAAGCTGCCTCAGGGAGCCCTATGCCCACACAGGCCACCCTCCAAGCCAGTCCACCCTGCTTGAAACCCACCTGCCCCCTTGCCTTCCCTTGGCTCCGTTTCTGGCACCAAATGTGTCCTGGCTGCCCATCCCACCTCCCCCTTGTCTGCCTTGTCTCACTGATACGGGGATCTCCCTCCGCCATGCCAGTCCCTGCTTTGAATGTCATCTTCAGTGACGACAGCCCCCTCTTTGTCTGCAGCCACCAATCTGAATTCTACATTTCTGGCTCTGCTCCTGCTCTCAACTCTTTCCTTCCTTTTGAGTTAGCATCAAGGGCCATTGTCCACCTCCCTCTTGGCCCAGAAATCCATCCTCATAGACATCACCACAGTCTGCATGCTCACGTGCACACATCCTACCAACCTCACACCAAGCCCTCCCCAGCCAGAAAGAAGCATCCATAGCAAAACGTATTTATTTCTGCTGCAGCACAGAGGGATTCTGGTTATGGAAAAAAAACAGATAGAAAGTATAGTGCAGGTGAGCATATGGAAAATACTCAAAACATTCTTCTGCTGGAGTGCAAGCTCTGTTGCCCAAAAACGGAGCCCAGAATCTAAGTGTCTCCCCACCCGCCCACAAGGTGTCCCTCCTCACACTCGCATGTGTCCAGTCTCCGGATGCAGGTCTACTGCTTCTGCCTTACACTAGACCTGACACTTCCAGTTCCCTAACATCACAGAACTCCACCTGCACATCTATGCACCGTAGCTTGCATGCAGCAGTGAGCTAAGGGTCCTGAGAGCTGCAGTCTCGTATCCATGCTAGGATAGAGATTTGGACCTAGCAGTCGTATTTCTAAGAGTAGCTCTCCCAGATTCACTGAGAAATAGCTGCATGGGTCTCCCATGCCTCATGCCTGGCTAGAGTGGGTGTAGATGGGTTCAGAGAAAGAGGCTTAGTTGGGGCCACTCTTGACTGCCACAGCATCATTCTCAGCCCCTGGGCCAGGCAATTGCAGGTTCTTCTCTAGCATGTCCCCCATGGCTCAGAAATGTGCAGGCTGCAACACAGCATGGATACATCTGGCACAGTGTCCCTTTCTGCATCGAGCAGGGTGTACCGGGAATGCCATCGCACCTTCTGTTACCTGAGCACATGCTCTGCAGGGCTGTATGGCTGTGGTTATAGTTGAAGTTCTTCTGCTTAGCTGTTTTGGTGAAGCAGTATGGCGCTGATAGCCAGGACTGCAGTGCAGAAGCCTGGTCAAGCCCTGTTTGGAAGAGTGACCTTAAAGAGAGGGGAAAGATGCTTTTGCCTGAAAGCAAAAGGCCTGACAATTCAAAAGTGTGTCTATGAGAACCAGAGCAGGGAGGTAGGAGTGAATAATGCAGCTGACTCCAGGGTCGCTGTTTCAGGCAGTGCGCTGTGCTTCTCTGCTGCTGGAAAACAGCAACAACAGGTGGACCTCTGGAGGAAAGTGGAGAAGCCTGAGGGGAATAGGAGCATAGAGCAGTCGGTAGAAGCAAGGAGGGTGGTGACGCCTCTGTTGCTAGGCAGAGTGGGTTGGTAGAGGCTGGGTGGCTGGAGCAACTCCAGCAGCTACTGCTCTTTCCTGGAACCTCTGTAGTAGGTGTGCTTCTCTACCATGGAAACCACCATGCCAGGTTCAGACATTATGAGGGCTCACAGTGAGATGGAGAAATCATAGGTCAAACTGTTGTTTCTTACTGTTATTTCTAAAGACTAAATGTACCACAGTGAACTACCATGATTTGGTTTGAATGACATGGTAGCCAAACAGTGTTAAAAAACCACCATGACTTTTTCTGTTGTGCAAACCCAGGCCTAGAGAGGAGGCCAGGCAGATAAGATTGCAAGGTGTCAGTATTTCATACTTTTCTGTTCCTCCAGCTGTGACATCAGGGTGAAAAACCGGTGACCCTCCGGACTGGGGTTACTGGACTTCAGTAACATTCAGCCCCAGTGAACATAGTCTGTGGCAAGGAATGATGAGAGTAATTCACTAATACCTGGAGGATTACTGGTTACTCAGCTCTGCCATATATCTTCCCTGTCGCCATGCTTTTCTCTTCATTCTTTGCCTCCCAGCAGTCTGTTTTCTGTTTTGTGAAAACCTAATTCTTAAAATTGGAGTAAATTGTACAGGGTAAATATCTGCATAGTTATTAGACTAGATTATGCAAATCTTAGAATTGAGAATTATTGCTAGGGAGTAAGCACTAGTCTATTGCTTCAGAAGAAATGAAACTGGATATGTGCTTGGTTAGTATTTTTGTGGATTGGGTTATGAGATCCTTTGGTCTTTGTGGGATATTTAATAAACAATATTCTGTCTCTTTGTCCTGTAGGATTATGGCCTTTGAGATCAGACTCTCACCGTGAAACTGATAACACCTTAGTATTGTCCTTTGTGGGACAAACTAGGTAGGAGAATGATGATCTGTGTAGGGTTAAATATGGCCTTGAGGGTTAATATGTGTTCCTTGCTAAGTTTAATTGAGCCTTCTCATGCTCTGCAGGGTTTTGATGCTGAATGGGGAAGAAGTAGAGGAAACTGAATTGACAGGATTTGTTGATGATCAGCAAACATTTTTCTGTGGGAATGTGGCCCATCAACAGCTAATCCAGGTAATGGCCACACTTTCTTGACGTTAAACCTTAAATGTATGGCACCTTGTCATGGGCTCTAAAGGGGCCTTTGAGCTCAGGAGACATACTGAAGTGTGTTTCTCCCTTTAGATAACATCTGGTTCAGTACGACTTGTTACTCAGGAGCCCAAGGCCCTTGTAAGTGAATGGAGAGAGCCAAACGGGAAGAACATCAGCGTGGCTTCCTGCAACAGCAGTCAAGTGGTGGTGGCCGTGGGGAGAGTGCTGTACTACCTAGAGATTCACCCTCAGGAACTGAAGCAGATAAGGTCAGTTTGAGCCCCCCACCCTGGGGCATCTCGCACCGAATCTTCGTCCTGTGTGTTGATGTGTGAGCTCTTTTTCAGTTGCACAGAGATGGAGCATGAGGTGGCCTGCCTGGATATCACCCCGCTGGGAGACATCGGCGGCATGTCCCCTCTGTGTGCCATTGGCCTTTGGACTGACATCTCAGCTCGCATTCTGAAACTGCCCTCATTCGACCTGCTGCACAAGGAGATGCTGGGAGGAGGTAGGAGTTGCTCGTGTGTTCTTTGTTGTGGCCTCTGTGCATCACACATATGGGTACTGCGCCTGCGCAGTGCCTTTGGCCGGAAGATTGATAGCTAACGGTTTTTGGCGGGAAGTTCCGCTCCCCCTCCCCCTTATGGCCTATAAAGAGCGGAGCGTCTGCCATTTTGTTCAGTCTTTGCGACCACCGTTCGCTGTGCCTTGTGCCTCTTTCAACTTTCGCTTTGGCTATTCTTGGTTCTCTCCTTATATATTGCCCTTATACTACTTTCCCCTTTCTTCGTTCCCGCTTCTGTGTAGTTTTTCTCTTGTTATTTCTTTCTTCGATCTATCAAAAAAAAAAAAAACCAAAAATATATACTTACCCTCTGCACTATCTCTCTTCTTCTTCTTCTTTTCTTCTGCGATGGCGCAGCGAGCGGCTTTCCGCAAATGTGCGAATTGCGGGTCAAAAATGGCACCTACTAACCCGCACAACCTATGCCTCCTCTGCCTTGGAGAGGGGCATAGGACGGATAAGTGCGTTCATTGCCTAGCCTTCTCAAAGCAGGCTAGGAAGAACCGCGAGAACCGGCTTTGGAGGCTCCTTTGGGATAGGGCTCTGATGCAATCAGACCCGCTCGTCTCCATCCCAAAACCTGGCTCCGCTTCTGTGGCTCCACCCTCACGCCCTTCGGATGAAGGTGCGTCTGCTTCAGTGGCCCCCTCTGCTTCACCAAAAAAGAGGCATGAGAAGCGGAAGCATGCCGAAGAGAAGCCAGCAGGCCATAAGAAGGCCAGAATGGAGAAGGCCTCTAAGCCTCCAAAGAAGGCGAAGTCCACGGACTGTCCCCGACATCAGGACTCAGCCGACGGGACCCTCGGTACCGGTGGCGGTTACGATACCGACCCCGCCCGAACCGATCCTTCAGGAGGCCATGCGGGTTACCCCTCAGGGGTCTCCCCGTCGTGCGGTCGACCTCCCGCCTGCACCCCTTCCAACTCTACAGGGGTCTATCTCGGATGGGGAAATCCAGGACTCCCCTCCTAGAGCGAGGTCACCGACACCGATGCCCACGGTGACACTGGAGACAGAAGCTGGCCTGTCCCCACCAGGGAATCGGAGGAGCCGCTCGGTAGAGCAACGCCCGGAGAGTTGGCGTCGTCCCTACTACCAACCTTGGGGAGACCTGCTCTCTGTGGGGTACTACCCTGCTCCCAGGGCGCGATCCTCACCTCCGCCCCGCGACCAACCGCGGTCAGTGGATCCAAGGAGGGTGCCACCTCGATCCCCGCAAAGCGGAAGCAGCCGCTCCTTCTCACCGGCAGAGTCATCATCTTCTGCCCCACCATACTACGGTGCTGATTTGGATGACTCTGAAGTAGACTCAACCTCCCCGGACGTCGTGGTGACATCCCAGGATCCTGTGTCACCCGATGAGTCTCACGTCTCCTTCGCGGAGCTGATGTCGAGGCTTGTCCAGTCCCTGGACATCGACGCTGCCCAGCGCCCGGGACCGTCGACGGACAAGTTTTACGACGTCGTCCGTGGGGAGCAATTGACCTCCATCGTTCTGCTGCTTATAACTACCCTGCGGCAGGTGATGACGCAGCTTTGGGACCTACCTTCACATCCTCAGCCGACGTCCAGGAGGTATGAGTCTATGTACAGGGTCCGGGAAGAAGACATCCCCTTCCTGTTAAAGCACCCGAAACCAAACTCGGCGGTCGTTGAATCCTCACAAGGCAGAGAGGCGAGAGGACATACGGTGCCGAGGGATAAGGAGGGCCAGAAAATAGATTCCCTGGCCAGGCAAGTCTATGCTGCCTCGGGCTTAGGAGTTCGCATATCCAATTACGAGGCAACGTTGGCGCGATATCAATATTTTATTATGCAGCGCCTCCGCAACGTCACCTCCACCCTCCCAGACCACCAGGGTGACCTTATGAAGGTCCTAATCAAAGAAGCCATGCAGGTCGTGGTGCAGCAGTTGTCCACGGCACGTCACCACGTGGACACTGACTCCCGGGCCTTGGTCGGTACTGTTTCCCTCTGGAGACACGCATGGCTCCGGAATTGTAATTTCCCGGAGGAAACCAAGCAGTGAATAGAAGAGATGCCTTTTGATGGTTTCGGGCTCTTCCATTCACGTACCGACCACAAACTTAAGAAACTACGTGAGTCAAGAATGACGGCACGCAGGATGGAGATCCAGTCACACAACAGACATAAGTGGTCCTGGAATCGGCCATCCTACAGGCAGTCCTACCAGCAGAGACAGCAGCTGCAACACCGCCAGCAACAACAGCACCACTGCCCTCAGCCCCAACAGCGCTTCCAACAGGGCCGCCATCGTTTCGACGATCGGAGGCAGCGCTGACGGGACTGGCGAACCACTCCTCATGCTCCTCTAATACCCACCCCCCTCTCATCTGGGAATCGGCTCCGAAGCCGACTCCCCATTTGGGAGTCTATCACATCTGACCGGTGGGTATTATCCATCGTTCAACACAGCTATCAAATAGAATTCGAGATCGTTCCTCCATCGAGTCCGATCCGGTCTACTTCATGTTCGCCGGTACTTCTTGACGAAATACATCAACTTCTCCTTAAAGGAGCGATTCGTCAAGTATTTCCATCTGACGGACTTCACGGATTCTATTCCAGATACTTTACGGTCCCGAAGCGGGATGGTGGTCTACGTCTGATTTTGGATTTATGGGACTTGAATAAGTTTATTATACCGAGAAAGTTTCATATGACCACCCTTCAAAACATTTTGCCGTTGTTAAGGAGAGGGGATTTGTTCACCTCACTGGACCTGAAGGACGCCTACTTTCATATTTCAATTCATCCAACTTACAGGCATCTCCTTCGTTTTGCTGTTGCAAACCAACTTTATGAGTTCACAGTTCTACCCTTTGGACTGGCTACGGCTCCGAGAGTTTTTACCAAATGCATGGCTCCTGTCTGTGCCTTCCTACGCCTTCAGGGCATACAAATTTACCCGTACCTCGATGACTGGCTGTTGGTCTCGCAATCCAGAGAAAGACTCCTAGACACCATCCATACAACCCGTACCTTACTAGATAGTCTGGGCCTACGTATTAATACAGAGAAATCTTCTCTTCTTCCAACACAGATGCTCACCTTCATTGGAGCCCACTTGGATTCGACATTGGAGAAAGCCTTCCTCCCTCAGGACAGACAGCAGACTCTCGCTCGCCATATCCATCGAATCCGACGAGAGAGAATGGTTACGGCAAGATCCATCCAAAGGGTCCTGGGGTATATGGCCTCCTCAGTTGCCGTAGTTCCACCTGCCAGACTTTGGCTTCACCCACTACAACTATTCTTCAACAAGGTATATCATCCACAAAGGGACCCACAGTTGAAACGGATTCGGATCCCGTCTTCTGTGCTCCACTCCCTGTGCTGGTGGCTGAAACCGACCAATCTCGTGATGGGAGTCCCCTTCAGGGCACGACCTCCTTCGATAACTCTCGGTACCGATGCGTCTCTCCTAGGATGGGGGGTGATATGCTCTGGCCTGTCTACCCAGGGAACGTGGACTCGTCTAGAATCCACGAATCATATCAACTTCCTAGAGCTGCTGGCAGTCTTCAAGGCCCTTTGTTCTTTCGAAGACCTCCTTCATCATCGTTCAGATAACTTCGGACAATATAGCAACCGTTTTTTATCTGAACAAGCAAGGAGGGGACGAAGTCACTGACCTTCGCCAGGCTTTCTATGAGAATTTGGGACTGGTGCATTCAGAGACACATTACTCTGATGGCCGTTCATCTGGCTGGCACAGACAACGTGCACGCGGATCTTCTCAGCAGACACAACTTCACTTCTCACGAGTGGGAACTGGATCCTCGTACGCGCAACCACCTTTTCAGGTGCTGGGGGTTCCCCGATGTGGACTTATTCGCTACTCGACGGAACAGGGTATGCAAGACTTACTGTTCCAGAGCGGGAATCGGACAAGCATCCCTAGGGGACGCATTCATGATCCCTTGGGACAACATCAACTTCTATGCTTTCCCTCCGATCCCTCTTCTGATGAGGGTCATAGCAAAGATAGTGAGCGACCGTGCATCGGGGATACTAGTTGCCCCTTGGTGGCCACGTCAAGCGTGGTTTGCGAAACTGCTTGACATCTCCCACGGGGAGTTTCTTCATCTTCCAGCATTTCCATATCTTATAACGCAAATGGATGGCACACTTCGTCACCCGGACTTTCTCTCATTGAACCTGACAGCGTGGCGGATTCGATGATTGACCTTCCATTGGGGCCGACGAAGGATTCGAGAGCCTCGAATCCGACAGCTTCTACTAATCCATCAATACTGACGATTACTTCGACCACTTCGGTTCCGATTCTCGAATCCAACCATGCGGGTGCCTCTCACTGCCACGGTCTCTCCGTATCATCTGGTTTGAGACAGGCCCCATTGAATTCAAACCCAATGCTCTTGCACCCTGAGATTCAGCATATTATCGACTCTGCCCTAAAGCCGTCCACAAGGAAGTCATATACGGCTAAATGGAAACGTTTTTCCACCTTCGCCGAGTCTCATTCGTTCTCCCCACTTGCCTCATCAATCGAACAAATTCTTCAGTTCCTTCTGGAGTTGCATCACTCTGGACTGAAGCCGTCTTCTATTAAAGTGTATACGGCCGCAATAGCCTACCACCATGGCTTAGTCGATGGATCACCTCTATTTTCTCATCCTATCCTCAAGAGATTTTTGAAAGGACTGTATAATCTTAATCCATCAATTAGACCGGTTATGCCCACGTGGAGCTTTTCTGTAGTTCTACAGGCCCTTATGAAGGCCCCCTTTGAACCTTTGGTGACTGTGGATCTCCTATTAGTTTCTTGGAAGACGGCGTTCCTTGTAGCTGTCATGTCAGCCCGGAGGGCCAGTGAACTTTGTGCCCCCCGCGTCAACCCTCCTTATCTAAACTTCCACAGAGAAAAGGTCGTTTTACGTGTCGACCCATCTTTCTTGCCCAAAGTCTCTACACCTTTCCATACAGGACAAGACATTGTACTGCCTGCCTTTTTTCCATCACCGTCAAATCCCTTGGAAAGATCCTTGCACTCCCTTGACATTCGGCGTTGTTTAGCCTTTTATCGATCGCAAATGGAGTCTATTCGGCCATCCAATAAACTGTTCATCAAATATTCGGCTAGAGATCAGGGCAACCCAGTCACTCCACAAAGGCTTTCTAAATGGATAGTCCACACTATTGTCTTGTGTTATCAGTTAGCTAAGCTCGAATTGCCCTCAGTTCCTCGAGGCCATTCTACTAGAGCTGTCGCTACATTTTCTGCATTCGCATCTGGGGTTCCGATTGATGATGTCTGCAGAGCCGCTACTTGGGCGAATCCCTGCACTTTCGCCAAGCATTACCGTTTCGATGTTCAGGCTCGACGGGACTGCTCCTTCGGTAGAGCTGTTCTCTCCTCTGTCCTTCGATGAGGACACCTTCCCTCCTCCTTTTGATGGTAAGCTTGTTAATCTACCCATACGTGTGATGCACAGAGGCCAAGACGAAGAAAAGCAGGTTGCTTACCTGTAACTGATGTTCTTCGAGTGGCCATCTGTGCAGTCACACAACCCGCCGCCGGCCCCGCTCGGTGTCGGTGAGTGGATGCATTGACAGCTCAAGGTCGATGAGAGAGGGCATCTTCGGTACCGACCATCTCCTTTACGGTACCGACCAAAAAAAAAAAAATCTATTAAGATACCGTACGTTCGGTCGCAAAGACTGAACAAAATGGCGGATGCTCCACTCTTTATAGGCCACAAGGGGGAGGGGGAGTGGAGCTTCCCGCCAAAAACCGTTAGCTATCAATCTTCTGGCCAAAGGCACTGCGCAGGCGCATTACCCATATGTGTGACTGCACAGATGGCCACTCGAAGAACATCAGTTACAGGTAAGCAACCTGCTTTTCTGAGGTGGAAGGGTGATTATTGTGAGGAGCGGTGCTAACAAATGTTGTCTCTCTCTCTGCAGAGATCATCCCACGTTCCATCCTGATGACCACCTTTGAGAGTAGCCATTATCTGCTTTGTGCCCTGGGGGATGGGGCTCTCTTTTACTTCGGGCTGAACGTTGAGACAGGTGAGGTGTGCATACCTTGTCTTCAGACCTCCGTTGTCTAAACTGGTCGTGGGAGGGGCAGCCCAGGCATCACAACTTCAGGGAGAATTTTCCACTCTTACCCGGAATGAGTTTCTGTGGGAAGCGTGCTGACATTGTGGTGATCTGCAGACGAGTGATGCTCATGGCTGCTTGTATATGGAGAAGCGAGGCTCGCACAGCAGCAAGTGCCTGTGTTGTGCCTGATTTCTTCTGGTGGGTAGCCTTTAATGCTGTCCTTTCCCACACCAGGTTTGCTGAGTGACCGGAAGAAAGTGACTCTGGGAACCCAGCCCACTGTTTTAAGGACCTTTCGCTCCCTCTCCACCACCAACGTATTTGCCTGCTCTGACCGCCCAACTGTGATTTACAGCAGCAACCACAAACTGGTCTTTTCCAACGTCAACCTTAAGGAGGTGAACTACATGTGCCCTCTCAACTCAGATGGCTATCCTGACAGGTAGGTGTGCTCTGTTCTTCCTCTTGAAGGGTCCAGCTTTCCAAAAGAGCTCATCGCATTCCCTCCTGCTCTCTCCTGCTCATTGTAGGAGATGCTGCGTTTTTTCCATGGACATTTCAGGGCAGGTATGAGGTGGCAGGGTGGGTTTGGGATAGTCATCCAAGCTGTTGCATCTGTTCCTTTAAATTATGCTATTTACTCAAGCCCTACAGAGCACAAAACATGTATTCACTTCTGAAGCCAAGTAGCAAAATGGCAGAGAATTTCAAGGGCAAATGTCATCCTATACAGCAAGATTTTTCTTCTTCCTATTGCTCTTCAGAGTAATTTTTCTAGCTCCTCCAGTGTGAAGGAAAAGCTTCTGTTCAGCGTCTTGTTCTTCTCTTTCCCCTTAAACACTGCTCCTGCTTCAGGATGAACTTGGGCTGCAGTCCCCGTCACCACCAGGGTAACTTTTCTGAAAGCAAGCACAGATTGCACATTCCTTTTCCTTCTTTGCAGCAAATGTGCTTCCTTTCGTGCTGTTTCTTCCTTCTTCAAGGGAATTTGGTTTCAATCAGCCTACCTCATGCTAGAATGTGCATTTTGTTTATAAATCTTCTGTCATCCTTTTATGTCCATCTGGGCAGACAGATGATGGAGCACGACAAAGATAAGTAAAGTGTCCAATGAATAATTTCTCATTCTTTCAGGAAATCCAGACATTGGCACATATTTTGAACTGTGTGTTCTTTTGCTTTAGCTGTGTGAAGAGAAACCCTGTAGACACTTTGCATAGTGTGTTGGGAGGAGAACTTTACATACCTTTATTTGTCCTAATTTTGCAGCCTGGCTTTAGCCAACAACAGCACATTGACCATTGGCACCATCGATGAAATTCAGAAGCTGCACATCCGCACTGTTCCCCTTTACGAGTCACCCAGGTGAGCAGAGCTAGGAGCTGCTGCTAGGGATTGTTTAGGCCAGGAAGCTCAGGGCAGGCCTTATTGGTCATTCTGCAGCCAACAGCATCACAAAGAGCGAGCCTTCCCAGGAGTGGTACGCACCCTCCAGAGCACGCTCCTCTGTGCAGCGTGAGGGGCAGAATCAGGTGAGCCCCAAGCGCTTTTCGAAAAAGTACTTGTTTACAGAGGCTTTCCATGATGAGTGATCACTCTGATGCTGCTCTGTTTTTACTCTTTATCATTCTTGTTGTAAGTTGTTAATTGCTTGTATTTAGATTTTAAATATGGCTTAATAGCAATTTATGTGTAAACTACATAGAAATGCTTCTGTGTTAGCATTAGGTAAGTATTAAAACTAACTACACCTTTTAAATTACAGAAGGTTGATAGAAAGTATGTGTTGCCTTTCTAATTGTTCCAGGAAGCACTCCTTGCTCTTTCTGGAATGCAGAACTGCATGGGTTAACAAGTCAGTGCAATGATGGATGCGGCTCAGAGCACCTGGGAATCTCTTGAGAAGGAGACTTTGGGGTGGGGTCAGAAGATACTACTTCTCTGGCCAATGCTGAGACTCAGTTTACCAGAGAGTCCCATTTACTGTGTTAGGTACTTGTGTGCATGTGTCCTTTCTCTCTTTGCCCATGTGTCGCCTTTCCTTGTGCAGGAAGATCTGCTATCAGGAAGTATCTCAGTGTTTTGGTGTGCTGTCCAGTCGCATTGAAGTCCAGGATGCCAGTGGAGGCACAACAGCTCTGAGGCCCAGTGCAAGCACCCAGGTGAAAGGAATCTGCATGAAGATACCTAGGTTCAGGGTACCAGGCGGTGGCTGGCATCAGTAATATGATTCTTGGAACTACATCAGGGGAACATATTTTGCTTAGCATTCTGCTCTTCTCTGCTTTCATAGGATTGGGCATTTTTGGGATGAGTGAGAGCCATCTCCTCCATCCCTTGCCTTGTGGCCTGGACTTGGTGGAGTCTAGTGTGACCCTTCTGTTTTGGGATTTAGATATTTCTCTTGCGCTATGATAAAAATAAATATTTCACTGCCGGCCACATTAGGGCTTCTCCAATGATGTGAATCCTTGTTCTCATTTTTTGGTGTTTCCTTAAGTTTCTCCCTCTCCTCTCTTGAGGAGGAGATCCCCAGAACATTTTGGCATTTCTTCTTCTCTAGCCCAATTTCCAAGTGCCTCTTCCATAAACAAGAAACTTGGCAGGACAGGTCTTGCTGCTTAATGGTGCTATAACAGAAATACCCTTCCTGATCCTTTCCATTGCCTATTTCCCCTTGATCCAAATATGGTCTTAGTCATTAGAAGCTTGGCACATCGTGAGGTGTGATGCAAGCACTGCACTTCCTCTGGTATACATTGACCATGGCGTTGCTTCATTCACAACGGCTAGGTTCTTGCCTTCACCCAGCTTTATGTTCCTGTTTTCTTTCTTCCTGTTTCCATGGCCCACAGCTTACAGGAGATGCTCTTCTCTCCATGTTCTAGGCCCTTTCCAGCAGCGTGAGCTCTAGTAAATTGTTCTCCAGCAGCACAGCCTCCCACGAGACATCCTTTGGGGAGGAGGTGGAGGTGCACAACCTGCTTATCATAGATCAACACACATTTGAAGGTACAATTCCCTTGGAAGGTACATATCAGCATTTATATAAGGTCCAGTTTTTGAGAGGCACGTGGGGTGTGAGAAGAGAATTTGGGGAGGCATGTGAGGATTACTTTTATTTCTGATAGTACTGAGAACTGTCAGAGCATCTTGCCAGTACACTGAGAAATGTATTTTGCAAAGCTCTAACTGATTTTGCTTTTTATCTTTAGTGCTTCATGCTCACCAGTTCCTACCCACTGAGTATGCGCTCAGCCTGGTCTCCTGCAAATTGGGCAAAGACCCCAACACGTATTTTATTGTGGGCACAGCCATGGTATATCCTGATGAGGCTGAACCAAAACAGGGCCGTATTGTGGTGTTCCACTATTCTGATGGTAAGAACTGGGGATCTAAATCGATTTCCACATTCCCACTACAGTTCTGCTGAGGTTTATAGACTTTGTTGCATTCTGTGCTTCTGCTTCCCTGTAATTATTGTTCTGCCATTATTATTTTGCTAAGCAAATTGTCCCATGCTTATGAGAGTGCTTTGCTCCTAGGTTCTTCTAATCCAGAAGTCCCGGAAGTTGTTCTCAATGTTCAAAGAACTGCCATCTGCTTCAGATTGGGGGTGAAACAAGCATATCAGGAAAAGATTTTTTAAATCATAGCTTCCTGAAATAAAACGTATTTACAGTATTTATAAACTGCTCAATGGCAATGTTCTCTTGGGTAGTATACACTAGCAATAAAACAGAATTCAGCAATAAGCAGTAAAGCATAATGCAGCACAAAAAGCTCCAGCAACAGAGAATAAAGCCAGCATGCAAACTCTAAGACAATACGAAGAAATAACACAGGTATTAGATTTAACTCTGAGGAATTAAAATCCCCTGAAAAATAAAGAGTCTTTACTTGCTACCCAAAGGATCACAAAGTAAGCTCAAAAAGGACATTTCCCCTGGAGCCACCCTCCACATACTTAGTGGGGGAACTCGAAGGTTTGTGACAGTGAACTCACAGTCCTGGAAGGAGGTGATTCTTCAGATAGAGAGGCACAAATTCATTACAACTTACCCTACTGGCCTGTCCAGTTGCTTCAGCCCTCTCCAAGCAGGTCCCCTCCAGACATGTTTGACTACAACTTCAGATTGCCAGTCAGCCTGCTTGCTGGGGATCCTGGGAGTTGTAGTCTCACACATCTGAAGGGATCTACCTTGGGGAAGGCTGCCATGGTTCCTTTCCTTCCCTGCCTTCATTAGTGAATAGCTGTATACAAACCTGCTTCCAGAAGGATTTTCACTGGGAAAATGGAAGCTTTTAACAAATATGTCCTTAGAAACATAGAAACGGAGTGAGTCAGAAGGGGTCTCCTGGACCATCTAGTCTGACCCCCAGCTCCAGCTGGCTCCGTTCACAACATGGCCACAATGTCACTGTCTAGTCTATTCTTGAACGCTTTCACTGATGGGGCCTCAAGCACCTCCCGTGGAAGCCCATTCCATACCCTTGGGGTCCTAACTGTCAGGAAGTACTTCCTGGCATCTAAATTGAACCTTGGTTCCATTGGAGTGCGTCTTGCCCTCCTCTTTAGGGGAGAACAGGTCTCTACCCAGCTCACTGTGACACCCCCTCACATACCTGTATGTCATCAACAGATCCCCCTGCGTCTCCTCCAGCTCAAAAGACCCAGTTCCCTCAGTCTCACCTCATACAGCTTTCCCTGCAAACCAGCCACCAACCTTGTGGCTCTACACTGCACTGACTCTAACCTGGCTATATCCTTCCTGTAATGAGGGGCCCAAACTGAACACAATACTCCAGTTGCGGGCGCTCCAGAGTCATATAGAGTGGTAGCAATACCTCTCTCGATCTAGAAGCCATGTTTCTAGCTATGCAACCAAGAGTGGCATTTGCCCTCTTGACCACCGCATCACACTGCTGACTCAAGTTTAGCCTACAGTCAACCAGCACCCCGAGATCCCTTTCACAAGTGCTGCTCTCCAGCTACTTGTCCCCTAACATGTATGTATGTATTTATTTAAAACATTTGTATGCCGCCCCCATCGCAACAAAGCCTCAGGGCGGCTCGCAACATAATTAAAACATATAAATAACAATTAATACCATTAAAGATTATAAAGCCCAGTAACATCTCGGCTTAAAAATTTAAAATCCTATAAATACATAATAAGTTAACAATTAAAATAAGTTTTAAATAAAAAGGTCTTAGCCTGGTGCCGAAAAACAAATAACGACGGCTCCAGGTGGACCTCTCTGGGGAGCGCATTCCATATTATGACACCCATTCCTATGCCCCAAGTGCAAGATCTTGCACTTATCCACATTGAATGCCATCCTGTTGTCTCCTGCCCATTTCCATAGTCTGTCCAGATCCTTCTGGATCTGGAGTACCTGCTCCTCAGTTGTGGGCACTGCCCCGTTTTTAGTATTGTCGGTGAATTTGATCAGCAGACTGTTCACCCCTTCTTCCATGTCATTGATGAAAAGATTAAACAGGATCAGCCCCAGGACAGAGCCCTGGGGGACCCCGCTTGTCATTGTCCGCCATCCTGATGATTCCCCACTAATGGTTACCCTCTGCTTTTGGTCAGTCAACCATGCCCTAATCCAGTGGTCCTCAAACTTTTTCAATAAGAGGCCAGTTGAAAGGCTGCAGTGACCGTCATGGGCCAGTGAGGTGGGGGTGCCATCGGGCACAGGCAAGGCGGCCTCGGACACACATGGCAGTGGCTTGCTTGCTCGGAGATCTCCCAGCGAGTCCAAAACCATCTCCAAGTGAGCAAGCCACTGCCTCCCAGCCTGCACAGCAAGCACGCGTGGTGAATGGCAGCGCGGGCCAGATGGATGGCCATGGCGGGCCGGATCCATCCCGCAAGCCGTAGTTTGAGGACCCATGCCCTAATCCATTGGACAGTGCATTGGTCTGTGTCAAATCTCAATTTCTCAACCAGGATATCATGGGGCACTTTGTCAAAGGCCTTGCTGAAATCCAGGTAAACCACATCCACTGCATCCCCTCCATCTAGTCATCTCAAAACCTTGTCATAGAATTCCACAAGGTTTGTCTGGCAGGACCTGTTATTGCGAAAGCCGTGTTGTGTGGCTGCCAGCCTCCCTTCCCTATCTAGCATCACTAGATCTCTCGCTATTATCAGCCTTTCCATTGTTTTTCCTACAATGGACATAAGATTCCTTGAAGGTCTTCTGACTTCTACAAATGAATTTTAAAAGCGCTCTTAGACAAGTGACATGCTTTTTACTGTTGCAAGCATGGGAGAGAAGCTTCAGGTCAGTTTGCATGTCATGCTAAGCCTCAGTGGGTTAATGAACCCATGGGGCTTAGTGGGGCATATGGGCAGCCATTGTAATTATTCAGGCCGCAACCGTGACCCGTAGTATCATATGAACTTGCTAGTGGTGGGCTGTTGGTGTGATTAACAAAGCACCCAGAATCTATGGACTGTTTTAGGAGTGTGGGTGGTTTGTTAGCCAAGCCAACACTTCAGCCTGCCAGGGTCGCACAGTACAGCCAGCTGCAGCGGTAGCTTGAATATTCCAAAGCTGCCCAGCGTGTGCTGGCACTCCCCACAATCCACTGTGGTTTAAGTAACCCCTGGCGGGCTACAGCGATCATGTGAAACAGGTCGGTAATAGTTGTAGCAGATTAACTGCGCACCTGGGATAATTACCCGCCACATTCTTGCTACAGCACCTCGGGTAGGGCTTCATTCCCAACCATGCAGGTCCAGTTCCCTGGATGTACCTCTTCCCACTTTGGTAGCCCTGTGCATTTGATACAGCAGGATGCTATTATGTAAAGTGGGAAAGGCTTTGCTTAAATGATGGGGAGGCTACGACTGGCATGGATCTGCTCACGTCCACCACTGAGCCGTGCCCCCAGCGACACACTAGGCACATGTGGCACTGCTACAGCCTCTTTGTCTTAAGGATGCTTTGGCTATGGCTGTTCCTAGCTACTCCATGACATGGGAGGAGCACATGCATTTTTCAAGTACTGTTGTATTGATGTGTATCCTAGGTAAATTGCAGAGTCTGGCTGAGAAAGAAGTGAAAGGGGCTGTCTATTCCATGGTGGAATTCAATGGAAAACTCTTAGCCAGCATAAACAGCACGGTAAGGCTTCCAAGAGCTCTCACATCCGTGTTCTCCAGAGCTGGGGTGATTAGTTAATTTAGGAGGAGGAGGAGGAATGTTTCTGACCCCGTAGAATTGTCTCTGACTGTGCTTCAGCTCTGTCCTTACAAGTGTCTCATTCTGTCAGGTGCGGCTGTACGAGTGGACAGCGGAGAAGGAGCTGCGCACGGAGTGCAATCATTACAACAACATCATGGCGCTCTACGTTAAGACAAAGGGTGACTTCATCTTAGTTGGCGATCTGATGCGCTCTGTTCTGTTGCTCGCCTATAAGCCCATGGAGGGGAACTTTGAAGAGGTATTGATTCTGCTTTTACCTCTATGTTGAGGTCAGATTGATTATAAATTTGCAGACTGGTTTGATGGATACAGTGGGCAAGAGAGCCCCCGGTAACAGGCCTCAGAAAAGCAAAATCATTTGATGGGAGCAGACAGCTGTTTTCTATGCCATTTGCTTGTAATGAACTCATCACAGTGTATTAGGGCAAGGACTTCAAACATGATTGGTTAAGTGGACGTTCGGGGCTGCTCCTACCATTAGACAGAGTGAGGAGCATGCCTGAGCTTGCAGTTCTAGGGTTGCAGCTCTTAAAATCTGGCAAGTGACCCTTGCAGTGTGTTGCTATTCTGACTTGGAGATGGACCATCCTACTCGTTCTCCATTCAGACACCAGTGGCTGGCCTTGTCCACTTTACCCTGTATTCAAGACTTGTTTGGATTCTACTACTAGCCAGAGAAGCCGGATCTTTATAGAAAAGGGAGCGCCTTAGTAGGTTAACTTGAGTAATCTGAAGAGTAGGTTCACTGCAGAGTAACTACCCTTTAAATTTTTGAGGTGTGACTGTTTAAGGAAGTTTCTTGCAATTCCCACCAAGATTAGAACCATACCCATCTTTTGCTGAAGCGATCTTGTTTCCACTAGACGTCTGCTTTTTCACCCTTTTCTGATTAGTTGTCCTTTTTGCAGCAGGCAAAAGTTCAATGTTGCAGTGCGTTTTGAATGGGGGTAAGATACGCAGCTGTGCTTGCTACGAGAACTTAAACATAATAGCAAACATCTTTCTTCTTCTAGATTGCTCGTGACTTTAATCCAAATTGGATGAGTGCAGTGGAGATTTTGGATGATGACAACTTCCTTGGGGCAGAAAATGCCTTTAACTTGTTTGTATGCCAGAAGGACAGGTGAGATGCTCCTTCAAAAAAGATGCATCGAAGCAGGCAGGGAGTGGACATGAGCTGTTCGCCCTGTCCTTTTTCCTAGTGGATTTTCTGTATTGCAGTGCTGCCACCACTGATGAGGAGCGCCAGCATCTGCAGGAGTTTGGACTGTTTCATTTGGGCGAGTTTGTCAATGTCTTCTGTCACGGGTCCCTTGTCATGCAGAACCTGGGCGAAACATCCACCCCAACGCAGGGCTCCGTTCTCTTTGGCACAGTCAATGGAATGATCGGTATGGGTTAAACCCACAAGGGATTTCTACCATCCTCCCCACCTCCCCATCTGAGGCAAATAACCTCGTCTCAGTTTGCACAGATTGGATGAGAAGCTTAATCTTGTACTTCCATTTCTGATAAAGGCAGCATCCTCCAAATCTTTTAGGCAAAGTGAGCACTTAAATGATACTTCCTGCATTTTCTTGGGAATTGTAACACTTGTCCTTCTTCTGTCATAGGGCTGGTGACTTCGCTGTCAGAAAGTTGGTATAATCTCCTGCTGGATGTGCAGAACAGGCTGAACAAAGTCATTAAGAGTGTAGGCAAGATCGAACACTCTTTATATCCTTTCTCCCATCATTGTGCTATTTTATGTTTACAGTGCTTTAAAATGTCTTAGGCATTCTGCTGGATGCTTTGAAAGACCAGTCCCTGCCCACAGGTTTGCAACCCAAAACACCAATGAGTGGGAATGGTGGAAGGAAGTGGCTTGAATATAGTCTGAGCCCCCCATGATAATAACATAGATAAACATCTAAAAGGAGTGTAAAGGAGAAGTCTGAAAGTTCAGTAATGGTAGATGACAAGGGCAAAGGGAGCCTCATAGGGTGGGGCATCCCAGTGGAGGAAACAGTCAGAGGAAAAGAACAGTGCAAGATATGGCTTAACCTGAAAGTTGGGTGAACTGTAATGACTATTGTACTTATTATTGATTTCATTTCTAAATCTATAGCCAAAGCTTTCTGGGTAGTTCATAAAAGTTTATCCTAAGCACAATAATAAAAAAGATACAATAGCATACAGTATAAACATCTAAAATGTTTTCATTTCAAAACTAGACCTGTTAAAGCAGCTGACATATCCCACCATATGCCATTAAAAGATGTAGAGAAAGACATCAGAGAGAAAATGAAAGTCTGAAAATTAAGAAGAAAGAACAAAGGGGATCAAAAAGACAGTCCTGAAGCTGTCAATGGGGATAGGCGGCTGAGGTGAGGTATGCCACTGAGGACAGCAAGAAGAGGAGCGTGATGGAAACCAGGAGACTTGCAGGCAAAAATGAGGGGTTGAATACAAAGAGAGATGATCAGAACACTTTTCGGTGGGGTATTCCTGGCTCCTTCCTATTCAATTACAGCCCCCTGTACTTCCCCCAAGAGACCCTCTGGAATGGTCTGTGATGGGGCACGAGAGGCTGCAAAAGAACTCTGGATCCAGGCCAAGAATTTTCATTAATTGCTTCGGAAATGTTAACTCAGTCTTGGGGATACTATATAACTGTCAAATTTTGTGAATTGTTTTTCACACTAAAAGGTCATTAATAAATTAAGGTAACCCAAGGAAATATGTAGTATCACTTAGATTGCTGAGATATTTTTTTTCCTGCAGAAAAGGTAGTTTGAGAAAAATGGTAATTGGAGAATACAGATGGGGGTAGCAGGCAGGACAGGTACAGAATTAGAAACTCAGCTTGATTATAGGCGGCTTAGATAGGATGTGCAGTGGAAGGGTGCAGTGGGAGAAAAGACCAGAACCTGATAATGGAAGGACTTTGCCAACACAGGTGATGATGCAGAGACATTCCTACTAACTTGAAATGAGTGATTGAGTGGGACAGAATCTTTAAATTCAAGGAAGCCCAAAACCAAAGACGTTCTAGATGGTGGACATTTTTTTAAACTTAAAATGAAGAAGAACATTTGCTTTAAAAACCCTTGAGGGAAACAAATCAGATTTTTTTAAAAGACAAGAAGGAAAGAGAATAATTTTATCCTCACTGTTGCCTGTTCTAAAGCCTGCAAGCTCTAAATAATTCCCAGGCAATAGTTGTGGAGATGGTACACTGAGACTATAATCCTATACATAGCTGAGTGTAAGTACTATTTAATTCAGTGAAGCTTACTCCTAAGTAGATGTGCAAAGTGCATTGCATTGTGAGTAAAGTTGAAAATGGTACCTGAGGGTTTGATCAAAAAAGGTGCATGTAAAGGTTTATAGGCCCTTGGATTTATTTTGAATTTTGGAAAACCTTCTTTATAAACTCTGTTCATAACGTGTATAGAAATGAATTTGGCACACAGACCAGAATTTGGACAAATGCACATTTGTAATACATAGTGTTTCTGTTCTAGCATCATTCGAGGCAGTTACTTTAAATTGTGTCTTTATGAATGGGCAAGGCCAACCAAAGTAGATTATTGGGATGTGAACAGGTAGAGTTTTGAGCAAACCACATAAATAGCAATGGTCAACAAACCTAGTGCTGTGTTGCTGGGCATGGAAGGATCCAGCTGCCAGTTCTGTTTTGATGGCACCACTGTGATGGTTCCACTAGTATAAACAGGAGTTACTGCTTTTCCACTCAAGTTAGTGCTCTTTGTGGTGTGTTTTCCAACTCTTGCCCTTGGTTACCACAGTCAAAACAGCTCATCATGGGTTGTTAAACAACACTCACAGAACCCACGGTTCGCTGTACAGTTATGTGGAGACAGGATGTTAAGCATTACATAACCCACAAAGGCTGGCTTTCAATGCATTGACCAAGCCTTGGGGATCGAATTTGCAAATGGCAGTCAGTACACACTGCAGTTCACCATGGCTTAAACAACCCATGATGGACTGTTTGATTTTGTGATCTGGGCCATTGACTTGGGGTTTGTTAGCTTGAAATGAATGAAGAATAAACCCTTTAATCTGAATATGTGGAAGGTAAATTGTGAAATGTAGCAAAGTTGTTGTTACATTTATTTTTTTTTCTCTTTTGAGAAACCTAAGGCAGCTTGCATAGCTCCATTTTATCCTCACAACAACAACCCTGTGAAGTAACCACCATGCCAGCTCTCAAAGGTGGCTTGAAAAGCACCTATATAAAGGGAAATCTTCCATGTCATATAAATCTGCTGATTTAAACAGGTATAGCGTTTAAAGAGTCCATTCAGAGCTGCTATTTGCTAGATTTAATAACCCAAATCTGGATGTACTATCAGTAGTTCAATTGAACTATACAGTAAGCTTTCTTGTTGCCATTAAAGATGTAAACAGGATGTTTCTGAAGGTTCATACTGTAGTAATATGTTTTGCTTTGCAAACGTGACAAAATCCAGGTTTGAAACTTACCATACAGAGAACATTTTCATTAAAAGGCTGATAGAGTTGTAGTACATTCTGGGTCAGGTCGTGTCAGCAGTCTTCTACCCTTTATCAAATCAGGTGCTGTTTTTTCCCCTAATGATGATATCCCCCCCCCCAAAAAAGTCTAATTAGAAAAGCCCTTTCAACAGAAATTGCAATTGCATGAATGACAAAAGCTATTGATTACAACTCTTAAGAATTTGTTGCCAAAGAGAAGATTGCATTATATGTGATACAACATCTGGAGCCAGAATTTCGTTATTGAATGTTATTGGGCATCTCTAGAAAATAGGTGTCTTAACATCCTGAGAGGATTCTCTTCTGAATTCAAGAGCATTTGTAACAACATGGCTATTGTGTTTCCTTCACTTCCAAACAAAGGACTACTGTTATTTCTATACAAATGTATTCCCTGCCTTAAAATCTGCCTCTCTAATCATATATGAAGGTCAGTGAATGTTGTTATCCTGTACCATCATTGTGCATAAAAACAGGAGAACCAGTGCTTGTGATAAGATACTTGTTCTTAGAAGGAAAACCTGAGGGAGCTGTTTCCTTAATTCTTAATTGCACCTGGAGATCATTTCATACAGAACGCAAGACAGAGCCAGCTACAGGATTTATTGATGGAGATCTAATTGAAAGCTTTCTGGACATCAGCCGACCCAAGATGCAAGAGGTGGTGGCTAACCTACAGGTGAGCTGAGAAAACTAACTGCAGTAGAAGTCCTTGAGGCAGCCCTTCTCATTCTTGAGTGAGACTGCAGTCCTGGGCACACATGTGGGAGCAAGTGCCGTTAACCTCTGGCTCACATCTGGGCAACCAGACAAGAGATTGCACCGATGGGTAACTAAGCAGAGGTATGCATTCCCACTGTTTGGTCCTCAGAAAGGCTGCATTTCTCCTGATGCTTCTTGCCTCCTTGTTTTCAGATTGATGATGGCAGTGGCATGAAGCGGGAGGCCACAGTGGATGACTTGATCAAGATTGTGGAGGAGCTCACCCGTATCCACTAGCCGGATGAGGAGTTATTTCCTAGCACCTTCCTCCATGCTAGCACATGGAGTATTTCCCAACCGCAGCTGGGTCCCCTAGCCAGCTGCACTGTAATACTAGAGGCAGGAGCAATGTGCCTGAATGCAAGTGGGGAATCCCCGGACTGAAGCCATCCCACTAGGGACCTGCGGGCGCAATGTCGGCCTTCGGTGACATCACATTCTGCTTGGATTCACCAGTCGTGTGGCTCCCATCTGCCATCCTGGTCCCAGCCAAATGTTCCAATTGAGTAACTGCTAGCAGTTGGCAAAGGTGCACCCCCTGCCTAGACCCTTACGACCCTGCCTAGACCCTTACAACTCATTCACTGTTGTCCTTTAGTATCTTTTGGGGATTTTGTTTTTGTTTTGTTCCTTGTGTTTTGAAGTGGGAGTCTTTTTTTTCCTCTTCATATGTTTGGATGAGGTGCGGCTGCTAGCCGTGTCTGGTGTTGGAGTGACGGAAGTGCTGCCTGCTCTGGCCTCTGGAGGTGCCTGTCTGGGGAAGAGAACCCACAAGTGGGTAGGTCTCTCTACTTCCAGGCCTGGCTTCTCATTCAGGGAGAAGGGGTTGCAAATTTGATTTTCTGCTGTTGGTTTTGGAATTTTACCAAATAAAAGTAGTCCAGGAGGAAAGGTTTGGCGAGTGTTTTATAATACTCCTTTGCTAAGGAGAAAAGAAGCTTCTGGTCGGATACCTTTGTGTGCATATGTGTTGTGGAATTCCAGTTATTTGATCTATGTTAAGCTGGGTGTTCTTTAATGCTGTTTCATATTTAATTTCTTCCCAAAATTTCTGCTAGGCAAGCTAAGAGTTGAAGTAGAAGCCAGGGATCAGTGACTGTTCCTTGTTTTTTGGTTGATGATTTTGACATGGGGCTCTTTTCCTTTCTAACTACGAGAAAGCAAGAATACCAAGTAAAAGAGATTGACTGGAAAACACCATCCATTCTTTCTGAGAACTAGTAGCCACACTATTTCTTGTAGCAAAAAAAGAGATTTTGGCAATGTTGATCTACTGGTATGTGCTGGGATTTTTTTTCCTTCAGCATGGCCTAGGAAGGGATCTTGGCACTAGAGCATTTCCCGTCAAAAGGAATTGGACCCAATCTTCTAAATTTTGTGATCTGACAGGTTTGTTTGCATTTTGCTTTTCCCTCTCTGTTGCTCTGAACAACATTTAAGATTGGTAACTAGGACCTGAACAGCCAGTCATTGTTATTCTGTATAGAGAGATGGGAAAACATGTTTTTATGGACTGAACTTCAAACAAGGGCATATGCACAGGAGCTCATAGCTCCTGTCCTAGCTATCTTTTGCCCTGCTCAGCTTCAGCTGTTTCGCACCATTTTTGGGGAGACTGCTGCTTCATTCTCTCTCCTTTCCCCTCCTCTTGCTTTGAAAAAGTGAAGCGCAGAGGGAACAACCTTTGAGACGTATTGGTAGGTGAGGTTGGTTGTCTCCTGTTTGCTTTTCAGCGGCTTTCTCTTCTGTGCTTTGGTTAAAGTGCAGTGCTATCATGTGACGAAATGGTATACTTCCTTGTAATGTCCAGCAGAGGGCAGATCATTATTTAAATAAAATGTCTTGGAGCTTTTAAGTAGGGATGTATAAGAAATTCATTTCAGTTCATTTTTGGCCAGAATTGATGCATTTCAGTGACCATAACTGAAATGGACCTGAACACAGTCAGTGGTCAAAGTTCAGCATTTGATGCAAATTGATGAACAAAGATGCATTTGAAAAGTACATACATCTGAAAAAATGAGCATAAACATGTATACTTTGGAAAAACAAGCATTTTAATCAATGGGCAAAAAATGTACACTAAAAATTGGCACAATTGATGCATACCTTTGAGGAAATGTACATGGAAGAAATGCACACAATGCTTGCTATCTGATACGGACATGATTTGGAGAGAGCTTCAAGGGAGAATTCACAGGGCTTTAAGAATCTAGTTTTGCTGCCTTACACATCCCTCCTTCTAAGTCCTCGGTTCCAGCACCTGCAGTAGCTAACGCGAAGCCATGTTCTGTCCAAATCCTAGATGACTGGTCTCCCATCTCTTCCAAGGAGCTTCCACAGCACTGTGGTTGCAGCCATTTAGGTTCATCATTTATGTCACATTGTACACTGCCTTGTAGAGATGAGGTGTTAAGGCTACTTGTGCCAAAGACTCCAAGCATCCTATAAAACATGTCCTACAAAATGTTTTCTTGGAGCAGCCGTGCTGTGTAAACATTGGCTCTGAAAGAAATGCAGGGCATCTACTCTTTAGGCTGCAGACCTTATGTAGCCAAGTGTCCAAGCTGTTTTCTAGTAGGAAGGAGCATTCTCAAAGAATCCAGGCTACATTCACAGAAGGAAGGAGACTTCGGAGATGTTACGATTCCTGCATTCTGTTCCTTGCAGTTCTTTGCAGTTGACCTTAAATAAATTACCGCTATGGTAGGATAGCCACTTTGGATGTGTACTGCTGTGGAAATCTATGTCCCTGTGTTGCATGCATACTTGTGAGTATCAGTGGGCCAACATTTTTCATGCTTTCCTTGGGAAATCAGAGTTGAGAAATCATGAAAACATACTTCCAATAGAAGGGGGCATAGTCTTGCCCTCAGGCCAAAAGCCAACCATGTTGGTGGGTTAGAGGACAGGGCTGCAAGTACATTTGGAGAGCCCCATCCAGTCAGTGCAAGTTATACTTGCTACTATTTCTAAATATTTGCAGTTAGACATGTATACTATTAAATATTTAGAAAAAAATTAATATATAGTAATAGAGGATCTACTCATAATGTGCATACAAACAAGTACACATTAAGCACAATGAACTCTCAGTGTGTAACTGACACAGAACGTATTTCTCCCTTTCCTATAGCATTCATTTTCAAATGAGGATGAAGAGAGATTAGATTTCCTTTCCTTGCATTCTCAGATGTGTGGGGCATGAGGCATATGAGACATGGTGACTCAGCCCTTTGAGGGAAGTACTGTAGTTCATGTGCCTTCGACTTTGCGCTTCCAGGTGAGCCTGGGAAAAACCTGCCCAAAAGCATCTGTGCACACTGAGTTAGATGCACCTGCGGTCTGACTTGGTATGAGGCAGCTTTCTGTGTGCATTGACACAGAGATGCAACGCAGCTGCACTTTAGTCTTCAATTAAATCTTCAGTTTGTTTTAACTTTACTGCACAGGGTCATTTAGCTGCAGTGGAAGGCAGCCACTGTGGAGTAGTGCCTTCCCCCATCTGGTGCTTGCGGATGGGTTGAGCCACAGCTCTCATCCTGGGCGAGCATGACCAGTGGCTGTGTTGCCTGCAACTGATGAGGCTTGTAGTCTAGTCTATCTGGAGGGCATCAGACTGAGGAAAGTTGTCCTTCCTGCAGGCATGCTGTAAAAGGGCCTTCCGTTACAGATCAGTGACTGGCAACGTTTGTAACCTCGAGCCATAATGTGCCACCTATGAATGGCCACACACATGACATACCTACGCACACTTTACACATTACATAATAACAAGCGAACAATAATTGCTGTGTGGGCCTTTCTGTTCAAACTGAAAATAAGTGCTATATGCCTGCCTCTTCCAGTTAAATCAATACTATACTCAAGACAGAAAAAAGCCACGGCACTGCATAAAAACCACATAATGCCAGGGTATAAAGTGACACCGTCATACCCCACCCCATGACAGCAAATGCAGTTTCCCCCACTGTCATGGAAATGCTTGAGTTGAATTTGTTGCCTGTTGGGCTCCACAAGCACCCTGCAAAAACGAGGGAAGAAACAGGTGCACTTGGATACTGGTTCTTAGTTTACCAGGTCCCTATACTGAGCATTTGGGTTGGAAAATGCTTTAGGGAGGGAGGGGGAGAGAGAGAGAGAGAGAGCCAAAAGCTCCTGGCAGAGCTAAAGAGTGAACCTGCTTCTCCCTTCGTCCGCCTGAGCCTGACAAAAAGTTCCTGCCAGGTAACAGTGGATAGAGGAAGGGGCCAGATGGAGGTAGCTTCTCAGCAGTGCCCATGGCTCCAGTTCCCTTCACCCTATCTGCTGATGCAGCTCCATCTCCAGCAAGATGAGGCAATTCTGTGTGTCTACCAACCAATTTACTCTCGAGTGATCACACAAATGTGTGTTCTTCATGCTCACCCAACTTCTTGTGCAATTGAGGGGAAAACCAGCTATCTCCCAACTTTCTCAGTGTATGCAAGTACAGACAAGACAAGGCAAGATATTACTGTTATTTAATCCATAAGACTTTCAGTCGTAACAGTTACCTTTGCATTTACTGGCATGAATGCAGGAAGATGGGTTCATGTTTATTTTCCGTTGAACAATATGGTAGAATAATTGCCTGATTGCATGTTCTTGCTTTTTTCTAAGTATTTGGGTCAGAGGCTTCCTGTTTTAATATGAAAGCTGAGAAGTGATGGAAAGCCCTGACCCATCTGACTTCATTGTCTTGACCCCTCATGGATCCTGGCTGGCTTCATATAGGGAGAGGTGTTTGACTCTTTTACCTCTCCTTTCTGACCGGTATCCCCTATTACATCCCTAAACCCCATACTTGTACACTGTTCACAATGTGATTCTATTTGGTATAATTCTCCATCAGAGGCTTTGCATAAGAAGAAAAAAATGGGGTTATTCATCTAAACACCACACACCAGCTTTCCCCAGGTAGGTGCCCTCCAAATTATTTGGACCAAAAGTTTCATCAGCCCCAACCAGCATGGTCAATAATGAGAGATTATGGAGATTACAGTGCAAACATCCAGAGGATGCCAGATGATGGAAGAATCAGGCTATGGAAGGGTCACACAAGCCGATGCTCTTGCTCCAGGGTCAGAAATTCACACAGGCATCCCATGGTGTCAGGAGCATTGGAAGGTATTGGCACAGTGGTGAAGTTCCACTCAATGTCCAACATGTTATAGCTAACCTGGATCTTTAACATCAAGTAATTGAATGGGTTTCATATGATTGAAAGTACCTTTGTGTTAAAAGCAAAATAAAACACTAGAAATGCTGCGATCCTATACATGCTTATTTGGGAGTAAGTCCAATAGACCTTGATGGAGTTTATTTCTGAATAGACGCATAAGATTGCACTGAAAGTACCCCCAGCTTGTGGTAAATTACACTTTAAGGAAGAAAGCTCTAGTTTTATGTAGACAGCTTAGTTTAATATTTGAACCCTATGCCTGTATTCTGAAGCAGTGTAGCCACAGAATCCATTTACGCTAATCACTGTTCAGTTCAGGAGTCCCAAAAGGGCTTAATCTTTGGGATGTCATTATAGTAGGTGTGGAGTCATGGAATAGGAAAATTGAATGTGGAAAGGCATGGAATAGGAAAGGATTTGATGAATTTTGTGGAGAAGTATGCCTGTCAAGATGGTTTAGTTTGAGTTTTGAAGGTGCACAGCAAATAGTTCTTTCTTGGTATTACCTGAATGATGGCCTCTGGCTTGGATGGCTTTTTAAACAGGACTAAGACATTTGTGGAAAATAAATCTCTCAACAGCTATTACTCATGAGAGGTAAATGGAGCCTCCATATACAGAGGCAGTGTACCTGTAAGTACCTTCTGCTATACTAGGGACAAAAGACCACTGGAAAGGCTGTTGCTTGGAGGCTTCCAGGAAACATCTGGCTGACCACAGTTGGAAAAAGTTGGATATCTGTTCCGAAGAAGACATAGGAATCTGGTCTGAATCAGCAAGGGCCATCCCAGAGAGCTGAAGGGCAGTTTAGAAATTCCATCAATAACAATTTGCCCACAACTGTTTTCCTTCAGGCAGGGCCGTCTTAACAGCATTATGGGCCCTGGGCAAAGCAGTGTACTATGACAACTACAACTACTGTTAATTTTGGAAGTTTTCCAATTTTCCAAGGGTTAATATACACAGATTAGTATGGGGCCCACAGGCAAGTGCCCATCAGACCCATGCGTTAAGACGGCCCTGCCTTCAGGTCTCACAACCAGTCTCACAATTTACTTCCCACAGGAAGTGCTTGGAGCTGAGGTGAGTGGAAGGGAAATAATTGTCCAGCTGTAAAACATGGTTTTGCTTTCAACTGGAGTTCCTGTTCATCATCTAGAAAACGGCCCTGTCAGGAGAGCAGCTGCAGCTTTATGAAGGGGAGTGTTTGCCTGCCAGCCTGCCTGCCTGCCTGCCTCTCTTGGGACAATGCAGAAATGGCAGCATGTATGAGGGCCAATGCAGTCAAAGTATGCAGACAGTGATGTGGGCCATTGTTCATTTGTCTAAAGCGCACACGCTGCAACCCAGAAAGAGCAGGTGCCAGCAAGTTCCTTTCTTGTGGGATTCAGTCCTTTTTGTCTGTTGCCCTGGGGGCTCATTCTTCACATGTGTAAATCAGCAACAAAGCCTGTTCTACCAGCCCTTCTGTAGTAATCTAGATTTGTCTATTACTATGGAAAAATGATAGATCTGATCCTTTACTGGTAGCAGGTGCACAGAAACATGTCTTAGTCCAAGTCAGACCACTGGTCCATCTAATCTGGTGTTCTTGATACTGACTGGCAGTGGTCCACCAGGTCTCCGGGCAGGGCCATTTCCTAGACTCATCTGGGTACCTTCCAGGGACTGCACCTGGGACCTTCTGCATGCGAAGCAGGTGTGGCTTAACCACTGGCTGTACTGTTGGTCCTCCCCAAGTCCCACCTCTCCTCTTCACACAGTGAAGAGTGGCTTCACTTTTGGGACCTTTCTCTCCAAGAGAGCTTATTTTCACACATTCACCTGTCCCTCCTAAATGGTGGTGAGCGGCACCAGCTTTAGTATGTAAAATGATTGTGTAGATAATCCAGGTGAACTATGTACTAACAGAAGAGTGCAGAAGATTAAACTCACACATTTTAATGCAAGGCATTCACACAATGTTGGGGCATAGTTGAAGGAGGAGAGGAAGTAAACTTACATGTACAATCCTAGAAATTTCTGAAGTCCCTGCTGAGTTCAACGGAACTTATTCCCAGGCATGTGTTTACCTCTATTCAAAAAGAGCAAAGCAAAAAAAGTTTCCATGTTTTACTGCTCTGCTGCAACAGTACTACACATCATTTAAGTCCAACATATAAAAGTAGAACTGTGTTCTTTTTCTTTTTGAAGTTCACAGGCTGGTATTGTCATGACGGATTGATCACGGCATTGCTCCTGACAGTAGTTCAACCATGCACAACTCAGCATTCACAATCTCACACATTGTGCTAGCAGGGAGGAGAAGCTCATTCCTTCTGTATTGTTAGAGTCAACATCTTTGTTAGGGTGTTGCGGGGAAGAACCACCAGAAGAGAAGAGGCCACAGTTCCTGTGCAGCAACCCCACTGTGACTAAGCAGATGTCATACCACCTCAGACTGGGACAGGATGTTTGCAGTTAGACTTCCTAAGTCTCTCCAGTGGAGTCTGGCCCTTTCCTCTTCATTCAGTGAGGATCTGCCTTCACTTTTTGGATCAGATGAGAGAGCCCACTTGGGCAACAGATCCTCTGAGCTGGACTGCAGGTTGGAACCGAGCCTAACAGCTGTGCTACTTTTTACCTTGTATTTGCTGAACTACCTGTGTTAATAATGGTTCTTAATGATTCTACCAATTAGGAGGAAGTGTGTCTGTGCACATGCTGCTAGCCAAGCTTGGCCAAAGTCTTCATGGGCTACCTACATGGCAGATGATAATGCCATGGGGTGCTTCCGGATGAGGTTTTTATTATGCGATTGCTCTACCTCATTCACAGAACTTTAAGGGTGTGTGTGTCTAGACATCAAATTTTATTTGCTGTCCTTCCTTGCTCCTTTCATCATTCTTGTAACCTTAGGGTGCTTCCAGATGGTGGCGTACAATCCTAGAACAATGAACAGAAGGCATTGTGCAGTTCACATTTTCTTTCTTAATAAACTTTCCAGGGCAAGAAAAAAGATGAAGAAGCAGTGGACAAACATGAGAGGACTATAAGAAGACAGTCTACCTTCCTCCATTCTGTAAAATCCCATGAATGTAGCCAGGTGATGTGCCATAAAGGCCTCATCTAGAAGGACCTAGAAAAAAATCCACGAAGGAGGAAATGATGGGCTAGTTTGCCCAGTAATTTTTGATTGGTAGCCCTAGGAAACACCCTTGGTCAAATGCTGAGACACCTGCTTTTTCAGGCGTGAAAGTGCAAAGTAACAGTTAACAAAAACAAAGGTCTTTTGATCTGTGCCTTCTCTCTCTCTCTCTCTGTCACCTTGCTTTGCTCCAGCCCTTCTCTGGAGCAGGGCACCCAACTGGGCACAAGTGGCAGGCACCCTTTGCATTTCACCCCGGACATGTGCCTCGTGTTGTCAACCCCACTCAGTCCAGCTTGGAACACTTTATCTGCTTCAGCTTCTCTTTGGTACAGCTGGGAAAGCAGCCCAGGGAGGGGAAAGGGGAGGGGGGAATTCTTGAGCCTTGCCAGATGTGGAAAAGGAGACTCCTGCGACGGGGGGAGGGGGGGCGAGCCTCTTCCCAGTCCAACAACAGAGCGGCTGTGCTTGCAAGGCTGGATCCTCCCACCGCATCTCCTCTCGTGGTGCCTCTGCCCCTGTGGGAAGGGGGAAGGCAAGCACACCCTTGCTCGCACGCGCACACGCAGAGGTTTTTCCACTCCTCACACATGGGCTGGGGGAGCTGAGCAATTTGAGCCCGGCTGTGGGGAGGAGTCTGTTCCCAAAGCTGTCCCCAGCCTGAGATCATTGATCCCAGCTCCCCTCCTCTGCCCAGAAGGAGCCCCCAGCTGCATCCTTCGTGGGCAGGAGAGAGTCCAGACAGTGCAAGCCATGCTCCAGGGGCCTGTGGGAGAGGAGGGCGGGCAAGCAAGGCAGGCGCTCTGAAGGGAGCATCTCTGTGGACAGCAAGACGCCTGTCATGTTCGCCGAGCTGCTCTTCCAGGCTGCTTGTGTGTCTGTGTTCCTTCAAGGGGCCCAGGGGAGAGTCTACACAGGAAGGAAGAAGCTTGCCAACTTCGCCGTGGAGAGGTACCCCCCATACCCATCCCTACACGGGGGCAGCCAAGCCCTCCACCTCTTCCGCCCCCAGTCTGCCCCTATGGAGTTTGGCTGCTGACCTAGAGACACCCCCTGCAACTGGGCCAAAGATGGTGCAGTCTTCCTGGTTGTGCCCCTGTGAGTGTAGAGGTGGGGGGCAGCTTGACTCGCCTGCGGCCCGCAGAGCTTTGTGCCTGCGTGGAGAGACCGGCGCGCCTGATTGGAGGGGCCTTTTGTCACCTCAGGATGTCCCCATCTCTTTCGACCCATTTTGTTCTGCTCCAAAGTACGTAGTGCTCTTGACCTGCTGCCTTCATTCTTAGCCTCTCTGAATGTGCAAGCTGCCAAGCCGTGCTTTAGTTATCCCACTTACTTTCCAGTTAGAGTCAGTTTACACAGTCATGGAAGTGGGCTGAAATGCTGGGCTGAGGGACTGAGCTTGGGCATGCAATGGGGTGGAGCAACAGGGCGCTCGCTTCAGGGGGTGCCCAACGCTGCTGAGTCTGAGGAGGGCCGATGGATTCTCCACACCAGCACCGATCACCTCCCACAGTTGCAGCTTTGCAGGTGGGACAGTGTGCGCAATTGCAAGTGGAGGTCATGGGAAGCCATTTAGACAACCTGTGGCTGCAAGGCCCTTCTTGAATGCATTGAAGCAGAAAAGAAAGATGCCCAGCCCAGGGTCACGGTAGTTATATGAGTTAGCTCTGCACAACATTGGTGGGGCTTTCCATGCCTTCCTTTCCGCATGGCCAGGAGGCAGCTTTTTCTCCATGGTTCTGACCACATCCCCTTTTCTTCCAGTGCGTATGACCTAGTCAGTATTTCGGGTCTTTGCACTGCTGACTGTTGCAACATTCTCCATCAGATATGCTTGCCTTCCTCAACCTGTGCCATCAGTGTGTTTTGAACTTCATTTCCCATGAGCCCCAGCCAGCCAGCCTAGCCAATGGTTAAGGATTATGGGAATTGTAGTCCAAAATGTCCAGAAAGCACCTTGCTGCTTATCCCTGTTCCAGAATAGAAAGAAAGGGTTCTTCAACAGTGAGAAAAATAACTACTTTTGGGTCTGTTCACAATCTGAGTCTGTTCACATCTAATGGGGGGCTAATCTTGGGTTAATTAATTTACAACTTGACATGGGGTATGTCACTTCAGATTTGCTGATCATAGGTTGATTTATGACATACAAATGTGAAAACTAACAGTTAACTGGGGGGTTAAATAACCCACAATTAACCTAAGAACTAATACATTAATTGTGGATTGTTTAATCCAGGAATAACCCATAGTGTCGGAATTTATACATCACAAATTAACCTATGATCAGGCCAATTAGAGGCTAATTGTGCAAAGCAGAAGTGGCATGCTCCCATTAATTAATCAACCCCCTAATCAATTAATCCTACTGCTACTACTAATAATGTTGTTACATGCTGTAAAGTTGTCTTTGACTCATGGTGACCCTATGAATGGATGTCCTCCAAAATGTCTTGTACTTACTGTACATTACATTTATATCCTACCTTTTAAATCTTGTGAGGAACCTAAGGCAGCTTAACTGTTTTTCTTTCATTCCATTTTTATCCTCCCAGCAACAAAACACCCTGTGAGGGTAGCTTAGGATGAGGAGCGAGTGACTGGCCCAAAGTCACACAGAGCTTCCTGGCTGACTGGGGACCAGACCCTGGGTCTTCTGAGTCCCAGTCCAACATTCTAATCACCACGCCAACTGACTCATTATGTGCAAAGCAGGTCATTGCCTCCCTGTGCTACAATCTGTATCCCCAGATGATCAGTACAATATAATTTGGGTCTTTCCTGCTTCTGTGGCTCTTTCTACCAGTTCAGCATAGCATTTGTTTGATCTTTGCTATAAGCTTTTACTGCCACTTCTGGCTTACAGCCAGTACTTGATGGCATTTTTTGTACGGTCCATTTGAGAAGCAGCTGCCTCATGTCAAATTGCAGTTTGTGCTTGTATCATGTAATCCAGAGAAATCTGGGCATGTACAAATCTAATCCAAGTCTGCTGTTTGCAGAAAAGGCATATGAAGAAACCCTCAGGTAGAGCAAAATTTCTTACACCAGGAAAGGCTCATCCTATTCCTTTTATTGCTAGACGTCGCATTGGACCACATGTTTGCCTTTCTGGTTTTGGGAGTGGATGCTGTCCTGGATGGATACCATCTCCAAGTAGTGGACAGTGCACCCTCCGTAAGTATCTGCAACTCTCTGAAATGCATCCACTTGCTCATCTTTTTGTCACACAAAAAGCTAAGGGAGCCATTTTGAACATTGGACAAAATCTGAAAGTCCTGTTAATGTATTACCTTTCTTAGGCCAACCAAGTGGTTGCTGCAAATATGAGATCTCTTAATCTCTTCACCAGGCAAGATGTTCCAAAAATAGGCTGAACTGGGGCAGATGGTGAAGTTGGCATCTGCATGAACACAGTAACCCGGTTCTCATGGCACAACAACCTACCATTAAATTTTAAATTTTCTGATACTTCAAAAATGTGCAGTTGAGGTAATCTTTTTTTAATTGTTGGTTTTTTGAAAGTGCATACATGTGCACTTATGGCTACCAGTATGAGTATTCACAGGATAGATTTGCTTACTAATCTGCACACAGCTGTAAAGAACCAGGGGAGAACTAGCAGTGTAAGGGAAAGGAGGGACACAGCTGTGCAAGTCAGAAGAACTGAAAATGCAGAAGCTAAAAGACTAAGGCATCGGAAGTACTGGGGCACACATGATATCTTCCCCTTCATAATGTGATCCTCTTGGTTTTAAGTATTGAACTGACACTTCTCAATGTCTTTTGCCTTTTCAACACTTTGCAGCTTGCAGCAACTCAAGATAAGTGTGGTATTAATTCTTCCCATTTTTTATTTTGCATCTCCTTTTTGGGGCAGTTTGCTCTCAGTTTCCTGACAAAAATGCAGAAATGTACACAAATGTAATGTCTAAGAAGTGCATGAAGGGAAAAAAGTGTGTTCTGTTGCTGCAGGGCTGCGCATTTCCACTCCATTTATTTTGCAGTCATTAGATTTATGCATATTTGTGTGGGTGTGGAACTGAGGTCACTGTAAGCAGTAAGTGATCTAAGAAGAAGCCGTTAAAAGCTGCAGAGGGTTGTCGTCTTTGCCCCTTTGGAGTAGCTGGAGACTCAAGGAAGTGTTAAAAAAGAGGAAGGTAGCAAGAACAGTCAGTTGCACTCTTAAAATTAAGAGGATTAAGGGGGGAGATCTCATCCACCCACATTTGCTGCATCTTTTTTGTCGCTGCCCTCCCACCGTTGCCGGTAGTCTTCTTCTGCCAATTTGGCAAAAGATCCCCACCAACTATGCACCATTAACCCAGATGCAGTTGCACACTGTCCGTTTTCATGTGTGTTATGTACTCCTCTTTACTGCTCTGTTTCACACATGAATCATACAAGGAAATGGATCAGGCAAGACTTAACCTATGGAACAGCTGGAAGAGCACATTTCTGAAAGATCAGCAGTACTAATAATATTAACAATAATACAGCAGTTAACATGATGAATGCAATAGTGCAACTTTCAGGGGCTGAAACCACAACTGCCCTTTTTGGAGGCTCCAAAAACAAGCAAACAAGCAAGCCTACGCAGTGGTGAATGAAAGGGGGCAGTGATCAGAGGGCAGGTGGGAAGGGACAAGGGTTCTGCCATGAAAACAACTGGGATAAATGTTAGAGCTGGCTGAAGGACAGACGGGGAGAACAGGGCATGGTGCCTGATCGTATGTAGGGTGCAGTGCTTTTTTTGTAAAAAAAAAAAAAGGTGCCGGAACTCACGTCGCCGCCGACAGTAAGCACTCAGCGTGCGGCCACACACACCAATCCCAAGCTGAGCAGCGTCCCAAGCCGGGTGGTGTGGACACAAAAGCAGCTCTCAGGCACTATGTTAATGATGTTTGCTGCTGACCTGCTACGCCAACAGGCGATTCAAAATCACTTCGTAAAATCCATTGGGAAAAAAGGTGCCGGAACGCTGTTCCGGTGCGTTCTATGACAAAAAAAGCCCTGGCTGGGTGTCTTCCGGGTTATTCACAGGGTGGTTTAACATGAGCTGTGAAAGGAGGAAAGGCCATTCAAATATCTAGCAGGTGGTATGATCTTCTAAGCGCAGACTGATTCCCAAAGGGATGAGATCTGCAGCAACAGCAGTGAATGCATCCACTGTGAAGCCAATGAGTCCAGCCTGTCTCACCAGGCTCTGTGGCAGTTTGGTGCGCAGATTAACAATTATTCTCTTGGCCCAGGGAACTTTGGGAACTGTCATGTTGTGAATGGGAGGTGGTGGATGAGGTGATGTATGTTTTACAGAGCTATCAGCACCTTCCTAGACACCTTCCAGATGCTTTGAACTTCATGGCCAATGGCCAGGAATTCTGAGAATTGTAGTGCAAAGCATCTGGAGTGCACCAGCTTGGAGAAGACGATCTGTATGGTGCATTTTGCCATCTGGGAAAGTGGAATTATAGCAGGGCTGCCGGCCCTCACTGCTCTTGCCAACACAAAGTCCTGCTCAAACTCTTCGCAGCACTGTTGTTCCCCGTTTTAGCTGCTCCTTTGTTGGTGTACACAGTCCAGCTGCTGAATCCTGCATGGCTCCTACCAGCTGCTCTGTACCGCTTCTGCCATCTGGCAGTGGGAAATGAGACACCAGCCATTTTCATCAGATCCCATGGATGGGTCGCAGTTGCCAAGCCTGAGCCTAGAGGGGGATTTCTTGGCCTCCTGTGTGGCAGGGCAGATTTCCCAATGCCCACGCAGAAGGAATGGGAGAAAGTCATTTTGCGACAGAAAACAGATAGGGCATCAGTCAATGAATGGATCCTTTAAAAACGCTTTTGTACAGAGAAAGGTATGAGTCACTTTTCAGCCAGAATAGGAAGATTAACAGCTGTCTGGTACTTAGTTGTTCCCAGTTGTCAGTGAAATCATGGCTGTTCTACATGAAGCATTTATTGTATTCTTGTCAATCCCTATTTACAATTGTTTCAAGGTTACTTTGACCATGTTGGGTCCTTCCAGTTTCGCTTCTGTGTCTAACCAGTACTGTAGATGAGGTTTTTTGGAGAACAGGGAAAGTTTGGTATTTAATTGGAAAAGTGAAAGAGAACATGATTTGCTGTTCAGCTATTCTGCTGTACCACAGTATTACATAGAGGAAAAGCAGGAAAGGACATTTTACTCCTTGTGTAGTGCTTGGGACTCTACTTTACTGACAGTAGATTAATGGCCTCATGTAGAAATGTCCCACCACATCACCTGGCAGAGTCTTGTTTAAATGTCTGTAAATCTTCCTCTCTTTATGATCTTAAGACTTGGAGTATGGAGACATAAGACTACAACATCCAGTCAGTCTTCTCAGATTCTCATGCTACAATAAAGCCAGGCATCTGGACTATGCAGGTTTTGAATGGGATGGGAGTCTTAGTTTGCCAAAGGAAACAGAGAGAGAATTCCCCATACCTTCACAAAATTACAATCTGAACAATTCCTTGGATGCAGTCATGATATATGATGATGAAAGTACAGAACTTCCTACAGAAGTAAAAACATTGTGTTCTGTGAAAAAGTGTTTGTGTTTGTTTGCAAGGAAACAGCATTGGATAGAGGGGGACTTCCTCCTGATTAGGTAGATAGTTTTGTGCACCGCTCTTCTCAGAGGACATTCCTCTATTTCAAGGACCTTCAGATAACAGTCCTCTATTTGAAGGTATGCTGTACTTGAAGAGCTGCCCTGTCTAATTCTGTTTTAAAAGGAAAGGATCATAAGAAGCCAAGAGAAATGGAGTGCTGAAGTTGCCCGTGAACAGTTAACACCTGAACAGGAGCAGGCAAGCTCATGTGTCACCTGGTCACAGTTGTCCCCATCCTCACATAGTGTATAGCAGTTTTTCTAAACAAATATATGCAAATTTTATGCAAATTGTGCCCACTTTTTTTGGTAATGCGTGTCCCGTGGACCGGGAATGTGTAAGGGGCTACCCTTTACATAGGACTGCACTGTAAGTCATCCTATCCCCTTTCGATGCTGGGGATACCATTCATGTCCCATCTCTTAGCAGAGGATATTTTCCACAGTGACCAAGAAGATTTTATTTTATTTACCAAGTTTGTCTCGCAATCCATCTAACTGGGGGAGGTGGGGAGGCAGCATGGTGCCTGTGGACACCAGTGTGTCCCCAGACATCTTTCTTGCCACCTGTCAGAGTGCCCCAACGCTCCCACTTGTTCATTTTGAAGCATCACGTTTTTAAACCAGTAGTTGAAATTGCTGTGCAATAGTTTTCCATTGATACTAAAAAGCACTTTAAGTACTTTAACAAAGAAGTTGTTAAATTTCTTGCAGCTCCGACCTCACCCCTACCTTGCAGAGACAGAAGCTGCTGTATTTTGGTCAGCGGCTTGTCTTCTGTCATTCCTCAGCTGGCAGCCATTTTGTGGTGGACACTTTCTCAGATTGCCAAATGTGTCCCCAGATCAACCAACCTGCCCACCCTTGCTCTAGTCCAGGGGTTGGCAGCCCGTGGCTCCAGAGCCGCACATGGCTCTTGAACTCCTCTGCTGCGGCTCCGTCGCTCAAAACATGTGCCGGCACAGCCGCTGATCTGCTCCAAGCTCCACTCAGGAACTCAGCGCTAGCTAGTTAAGTAAATCGTTACATTCCCCTGCTAAACAAGCTTCCTGCAGGTTCTCATGTTACACAAAACGAAAATGCTGCTGAAAAGATTCTCTTTGTCTCAATGTAATCATCTGAATGTTAAAAGCTGTGCTTGGGACCTGTCACAATTCATAGCACTTGACTGTTTATCTGCTAATCAGTCACTAAACACAGCCACCAATCTGTCCATGGTGATTTACTGAGCTCCCCCCACCCCTTAGGCCAACCATGGATAAATTGAAGAAAAGAAGTTTCTGAAGAACACCAAACGGGTAATGATACGTGGGTAGATTCATTTGCTTTTACTGCTGAGGAACTTATGGGGTTTGCAGTTTAATGCATGCAGCCCTTTAGCACTGACTTTGACTCTGCAGGAAGCTGTTCTCCTATTCAAAATATATGAAAGGAGTCCTACTAGTTTATAATGTAAGATTAAAAATGTAATCTTATAATGTAAGATTATAATGTATATAATGTACATTATAATCTATATAATGTACTTTATAATGTAAGATCACAGTTTTTAGTGACTGAACAAGAGCTGCAGCTAAATCATAATGAAGATATACATAGCATTCAGGTAAAAAACGATATATGCAGTGTTATCTTCATTTTAGATGTCAAAAGCATTTTGCGGCTCCCGGTGTTTTCTTTTGTGTGGGAAACGGGTCCGAATGGCTCTTCGAGTGTTAAAGGCTGCCGCCCCCTGCTCTAGCCCATCCTTCCACCATTACACCTGCCGTTGGAGGATGCTGTAATTCTGCTGCTCTCCTAACTAGGCTTCCACGTCCTTGGAATGGAGGCACTGGTGTGGAGGAAGAGCGTTGTTCTTGCCTGGCCTGACAAACGCTTTCTTGTCCCCCTCACAGCACTGTGTTCCTTTGGGTGCGGCAGCGGCCTGTGCATTGCTCCCAATGTCTGCTCCTGCAGGGACGGAGGGCAGGGCATCACGTGCCACGGTAAGGAGGCCTTTGTGGGAAGCTGCTTGATTCACTTTGCCATGGGGATTCTTGTGTGAACCCGCCCGGGCGGGCGGGAGCCCTTCTGATTTCTGGCTCTGGGGAGATGTTAACAGTCTGGAGATTAGAACAAGAGATGAGAGCCTGATGATTTTGCAGCTTTCCATATACTGATGGGGATGATGGGTACTGTGGTGCCCCTGGAGCTGGAGGAGCACAGGTTCCTCACCCCTGCCCCAGAGGCAGCACTGCCCAGATTTTAATCTCGGTTCGTTCTGTCTATGGGCTCTAGGGAGCTCAGGCTTTAATTTCCTCCTTCTGTAATAATAAGATACATCCAAGTCTCCTTGGAAAGCAATATAGAATGCTGAATGTCCTTGCTAGTGGGAAGCGAAGCTGTAAAAGGATATTGTTGTTGTTATTGTCCTTATTAGTCATTAAGTGGAGATTGCCTAAAGCTGTTTCACGCTCAGTGCAGCTGGGCCAGAGCGCTGGCTGGCTGGCTTCCTGCTGGAGTCCGTGTGCTTCGCATGGGGCAACTGAACAATAACCAGCATCTGTCTCTGGAGGATTGATCGCTGCGATGCAAGAGCCTCTGCCTTGCCATAAGGAACGGGGCCAGCAGTAGCTCTGCCCTCCTTCTCCCCACAGGCAGCTTTAAACCTTTTGGTGTTCCAGGCAGATGACGACAATGCCCTCCCTCCAGACCTAAAAGGAGGGCCCAGATTCTAAATGGCAGCTTTAGAAAAATGACGGGAGGCAGGAGAGGGAGGGAGTTCTGGTCAGGGGATAATGTGCGGGGTTCTCAGGGAAGGGATGTATCTAAGGAGGTAAATGAACATCCTTCTAATGGATCAGAGCAGGATGCAAGACAGCTGGTTGCCTTTAAGGAAAATGGCTCCATCTTATTAGCCATATGAAGTGAAACAATTTATGCCATGGGATTTTGAGAACGTGTTGTAACATTCTGGTCAGGTTTCAATTTATGTAATCAGGGTTCCAATGATACCCACGCGAAGCTTGTTATTTTCTCCTGTTTTAGTATTCTGCAGTGTAATAGTCAAGCAGTGGCTTTTTCCCTTTAAAAATGAACTGAAGAGCAGAACTGTTAAGAATCCCATTATGGGCCCTTTCCTTGCACACATGGGATGCTGCCTGGAACTCTTGGGCCTTCTGGTTCCTTCTCAGCCATCTGGCTGGATCCTGAGGCTTTCTGAATCCAGCAGGGTCTCTGGCCCTTTTCCTACAATCTTAGCAGGCATTTATACCTTTTGCTGAAGTATCTAGCTCAGCCCTGCCTCTTTCTTGCCTTCAGTAAGCCCTTTGCCTGGCCTGAGATGCCAAGAGGCTGCACATTGCTTGCCTTCTTTCTCAGTTTGGAGGATGCACTCTCCTGGCTTGTTCTTGCCTTCCTCTGGCATGGGACCCTTGATCCTTTCTTCCTACTTTGCTCTTCCTGAGCAACAGAAACCTCCCGGTACTGGGATATTGAGGGGTGGTGCTTCTCTTATTTCCTGGTGCATTTGTGTGATCTTAGGTTAAGTAGCTTTGAGGCTCAGCTCCATTAAGCAGCATCCATGGACAAGCCCTTCCAATCAGGAACATGAGAAGCTGCCTTCTGACCTTTGCTCCATCTAGCCCAGTATTGTAGGCACAGACTGGTAGCCACTCTCCAGGTTTCATGCAGGATACTTTTGCAGGTGTACTTTGAGATGTTGAGGACTGACCCAGAGACCTCCTGCATGCAATGTAGAGGTTCTGTCATTGGGCCATGGCCCTTCCTTCATCTCTGCTAATGCCTGCCTGCTAGGTTCCATCCATTTCCAAAGCTCCCCTTTTTAACTTTCCCCAATGCACCTGAGCTATTGCAGAAAATTAATATGGCAGCTTCTGATGCCATCTGCATGCTGCTGCCAAGTGCCACCACATGGTACTCTGGCCTGGGCCCCTCAGACCTAGAGCTGACCTTCTTCTTACCATTAAGGAGACCCTTGACGAGAAATAACAGAATCAAGCAAAGGCTTACTCAGGGCAGGCGTTTTGAGCCAGAAATCCAGGACTTCACTCAGCAGAGTGGACTCATTTCCATCTAAAGAGCACAAAGCTCACTTTAATGGGCCTCTAAGTCCATTAAGTTCAGAACCTAAAGCTATGTTGATCCCCTAAGTCCAAAGTCATCCCAAGACATCTTTCCACTCAAGGCAAAAGGATCAAGATGGCTCCCCTCCTGTGACATGTACAAAAACCGCACATGTCTTGAACACTATTTTGATCTTGGCAATGGGCCAGTGTCTTCCACTGATCCAGAGACAGCTGGCTGGCTCAGAGTACGCAGCCCCACGGCACATACAGCCCTGCCTGCCTCTTTCCATCCCCTCTTTTGTCCCCTGGCAGGGGGACTTTCTTGATTTCGCACCCTTTTTAGTGAGGTTGCCTCATCCCAGTCTTGCAAAACGGCCTTGAAATCCGCCCTTCTTGACTTTTCAGACTCTCCAGGTGCCTGTGGGGAATATGGCTGCGACCTTGCCTGCAACCACGGGGGCTGCCAGGAGGTGGCGCGAGTGTGCCCGCTGGGATTCTCCATGACTGAGACCGCCAATGGTGTGCGTTGTGCAGGTAAACCAGAACATGAGGCTTCTTTACAGCAGTTCAGCAGAGCGGAAGCCTCAGCATTGCTCCCAGGCATGTAGGGAACTCCCAGACTTGTATCCCACTTGCTTGCATTCTGTTGTCTCTGCTTAGGCACAGCTCCTTATCTAGGTATATCGTGTTATATTCTATCCATACTAGTGGCCATAACATGTCTGAGTAGGAGAGGGACCATGTGGCTAAATCATACCATTTTAGCAGTGAGTTCATGCTTTAATTTAAACTCATGTTAAATGTGCTTTTTTTGCACTTTTGCTATTGCATGACTAATTTATTTTTTTAACGTGGCTGAAATCATATTTTAGTAGAAATGTTAAAAATCAACCTAAAACAACCACACACTGCTAAAATGGAGCAGACCAGATAAATAATAGTGAAGGTGTGCCAAAATAAAAATGTGTGGCAAAAGGTTTCACTCAAACAAAACAACATTATATATGTCAGAATCATGCCTCCTAATAAAATAATAAGAATTAATAATAAGAATAAATGGAAGAATAGCACTAGGGCAGCTTACAGTTGCAGAGACTGTCAAGCGCTTCTGTTTTTCCCAAAATAAGGTCTGATTTTATAAACTTCCTCTCACCTTCCAAATAAAAAAAGAATTGGGAAAACACAAGAGAAAGACTAGTTAGCACTGACATCCCATAGGTGTCCCTTTAAAATGTCGTGAAGAAGTGGCGATTAGAAACTAATGTTGGGGCACTCCTAAACACCAGTAAAGGTTGCTGTCTTTGTTCTTCTAATTTGAGTAACTTGAATTATGGGAGCTGGTTTAGTTACTCCTAGTGGAAGGAAGAGATCAAAATATCTTGCCAATGTTGTTGGTGGTGACTTTACAGGCCCCGTGCCTCTTCCATTAGTTACGGACATGTAACGGCCTCCTTTGTGTTACTGCTGCCCAGCCCTTTGGCGCGGCCTGTCTCTTCCCGCCTTTGCATTCACTGGCCATGCCTGTCCACCTAGACATTGACGAGTGCCTGAGCGCCTCCTGCGAGGGGCTCTGCGTGAACACAGAAGGAGGCTTTGTGTGTGAATGCGGCCCAGGGATGCAGCTCTCCGCTGACCGCCACAGCTGCCAAGGTGAGCCTGACGGGGGCTGCAGGAGAGAGAGCGGAGGTGGGGATGGAGCGTGAAAAAACAGGGCGAGTGATGGAGGAGGCTTTGGTAAGGCTTGCTGGCTGGTTGGTTCTGTGGGGCAAATGAGACTGACAGATACTGTCACCCGTTTCTTTCTAGACACGGATGAGTGCCTAGCGACACCCTGTCAGCACCACTGCAAAAATAGCATAGGCAGCTACCGATGTTCGTGCCATCCTGGCTTCTACCTGCATGGCAACCGGCATTCCTGTGTTGGTACGTGTCTCTTCTCTTGCTGAGTAGTCAAGCAGATGCGGTTCCCTTCCTGTTGCAGAGGCACCCACATAGCCTTGGTGTTCTCCAGGTGTGGGCACCCTCACACCAGAGGCATTCCAGATGTGGCTGGACAGCCGCCTGAGCGGGTTGGCTTAACTTGGAGTCCTGCACTAGCAGGGTGTTTGGCCCGACAGCCCCCAGCTCCTTCCAGCTCTGCCATTTTATGATTCTATGATTGTCCAAATGAAAGGACCCCCCACCCGCCACTTAAAATGTCAACTGCAATGGATGGTTAAATAAAATCCACTGCAATTGACCCATCTCTGAAGTGGTGATTGCAATGGCGATCCAAACATCCATTTGAGAACAAAATATATTTATTTCATTTAATTTCCCAAGTGTTATCCAGGCAGCAGTTGCTTTCACTCACCATATTAGAGGTTGGTAGGTAATACATAAACAGTCTTCCTTAGGCCAGGCCAAAGCTTTGTAGCTCAGAGTGGGAACAGTTGTCAGAAGGGAACAGGATGATTTATCTGAGGCAGGATGTTGTGGGCCAATGCTGTAAATAGCTGCCTTCGCACAGCATGTTTCTGTCTTAGGGAAAAAGGAAGATTGAACCCTCTCCTAACACTTGTACAGAAGCTTGCAGATGGCTTACTTTGACACTGACATTGGGCCAATATCTTCCCTTGCACAGAGGGACAGCAGGCTAGCTTAGCGGGTGAAGGCCAGTCCACGTGGCACACACCCCTCTCTCCTCCAGCTGTTCTTATCTCCCCAGGCAGCTACCTCACTCTGTCTAACGGTAGGGTTAGTCCTGCCTCTTTGGGCACTCCAGAGCTATAAATATGATAGACAGGTCAACTCTTCATTTCTTTATTGAACAGCATTCCTTTGCCTACAACATGACAGATTGCTTTAACTCTATCTCGTGATAGCCAAAGTGTTCTAGGCAGCTCAAAAAACAGAACTAAAAGCCTTCATAAAATACTAAAAACATAAAAAGTGCATGAAAACAGTTTTAAAAATCCTGCAGCTGCAGAACAAAACCAAATAAGACAATTATACTATTACATAGTATAATTGTAATGCATCCATGCTGTGATGTGAGTACAGAAGTACACAAACCTTCAGTTCAACGGAGATAACTTTTCAGTTTTCACGGCATGCAGAAGGACAAAATCCCTTCTTGACTGAATTTCTGCTTGTTATGCAGTTGTTAAAGGCATAAGGACTCAGCCAGAAAAATATGGGAGCATTAAAAACTCCAGACTTTGTCACATATGGTGGGCTGCATAATTCCTGCGGATCTTGAAGCAAGGACATTGTGCTGTACAGATTACGGAAAATCTTCTATACTAGTAACTTCAGATATGTTCATGAACAATGACTATGATGAAGGAATACCTTTGGGTGACAAACCCTTCTAGATTTCAAGAAAAAGCCAACACAGGCACACCTGTGTGGCTGAGGAGCTCCCAGGTTGCAGCCTGGGGATGTTCCCTGTACCTTTAAGAGGGCAGCAGAAAGTGGCAGACTTGGGCTGCCACACTCTCCACTGCCTTTAACTCTTTCCTCTCTGCAACATATACCTTGAGATATCTGAAACTTTTTTTGCTATAGCAATTTAGGAGGCTGCTTTAAGCCGGATTAGAATCGCCTTGCTGCATTTGAGGTTTGCTTCTGTCTCTGCATTCCTATAACCAGCAAATACATAAAAGGATTTTTACATAAAAGGAGCCTCAAGGCTGTTCTGAGCCTCAAAGCTGTTCTAAGCCCAGATTTATTTATTTATTTATTCACTTTTTTTACTGTCCCCATAGCCCACAGGGCTCTCTGGGCAGTTTGCAAGTAAAATGTATAACAATGATAAACCAAGCAATTGCAAAACATTAAAAACCCAATCAAAACCAAAAACACAAAACTTGTCAACTCATGGTGGTTAGATAAAAAATTGATACACAGCACAGTAGTTCAGATAGAACCAACATTAAAACCAATCTGTCTTTCAAAATATCTGGTAAATAAAACGGTTTTGACCTGATGCCAGAAAGAAAACGACAGTTCTAGGCACACCTCCCTGGGGAGCATGTTTCAGAGCTGGGGTGCAACCACAGAGAAGGCCCTTCCTCTGTCACCCCCCAAACTTCTCTAGGGAGGGTTTCTGGAGAAGGACCTCCATGGAAGATCTTAAGGGCTGTGTGGGGACATGTAGAGAAAGGTGTTCCTTCAAATAGCCTGGCCCCAAGCAGCTTGGGGCTTTAACTGTTAGCATCAGCACTTTGAATTGGGGCTGGACTTCAAGAGGCAGCCAGCGCAGCTGAGAGAGAACTGGCGTGATGTGACCTCACAGGCAAGTCCTGGTTAACAGCCACGCTGCTCTGTTCTGAACCAGTTGGAGTTTCTGGACTGTTTTCAAAGGCAGCCCCAAGGAGAGTGCATTATGGTAATCCCGTTCTGATTGCCTGAAAAATGCAAAGCAGGGTCCCTTGCTCTGCAGCGCTGCTTCTCTGACCTTGTGTGGCCGAGCAACAGAAATGCCTGTCTGGCCACAAACCTGAGCTGACTCAGCCCCGATGCGAGTCTCTAGCACTCCTGTGCATCTGGTGCAGATGTGAATGAATGCCGCCGACCCAGTGAGAAGCGAACCTGCCAGCACTCCTGTCACAACATGCTGGGAAGCTTTATGTGCAGCTGCCGGCCCGGCTACCGCCTCAGCGTGGACAGAGTGTCCTGTGAAGGTATGGGCCCTCTCTCGGCAGGGAAACAAGTGCACCACAGTCTAGCTGTAGAGTCGCTTGTGGGGCGTGGGGGGGTGTTAAAAGGAGGCCTTTGGGCTATTGCACAAATGTTTGGCCAGATACAGAGTAGAAGCGCTACAGATAGGCCTACATATTTAATTATATTTAATGTTTATTCTGCCTTGGTGGTCAAGGAGCAGCAGGATCATGGAATATCCTAACTGGGCTTTCCCACTGTTTTTTAAAAATAAAACATAAATTTTCCTGCTTCTTCCAGCCTCTCAAAACCAGAGGTGGACAACCTGACCCTTCAGATGTTAAGGTCTACAATTCCCATGATTCCTCACTACTGGCTATGCTGGCTAGAGGTGATGGGAATTAAAGACTCCAAGTTGCTGAACTATGTAAAACCATGACAAAGCCTATTGTTGCTTTTAAAAGGCCAGTTTTAAACATTTCACTAAACTTGATAGGTGTGAGCAGCAGTTCTGTTCTTTATTAATGAGAAGGAATGACCCTGTAGGCCTCTCCTAACCCTTTGGGCATCCATGTTCCACTTGCTGTACTGGTGGAGGCCAAATTCCATGTTTCGAAAAGCAAACAGTTACTATTTTGCTGCTGGGAAAGTGTAGTACTCTGGATGGGAAGCACTACCTAGCAGGAAGATCCCTTGTGCTGTTTGGGTAAGAGTGCTACATTTTTGCAGAATAAAACGGTTGCCGGAAAGACCACAAGATTGGGAAATGCATGGGGGTATGTGTAAGACTGCTAAATGAGGAGACGGGGGCACAGGAGCACATTCAAAGTTATGCTGTTCAGGAGGGAGTGTTCTTGTTGGAAATGAGATGTTTGGTCAGTGGTCCAGCTTAGCGGGAGGCCAGTGTAAAAAGTACTATGGGGAGTGGCTCTTTTCTGAGTTGTAGGACTCCTTCACCACAGTGGCTAAATAGATGCAATGCAACTAAGGCATCCTTCCTGAAAGCTGGGGGTTGTTTGACTCCAGTGCCCTTCATCCCATGTCGGCAGGCTCAGTAGCTGCGCCAGCTGGGAGCTTGCAGGCTGTTCTCCTGCACCCCTGGAAGGCATGAGTTTGGAGAGGGAGGCGCCTTCCGGGGACTGTTGGACTCACTTGGCCTTTCCGTTTCCTTCCTCTTCCTGCAGGTTTTTCAAAGGCCAGCCTGGCCCCGTCTCCCATCCTGCAGTCTCTCCAGCACCCACCAACTCTGCTGCGCCTCTCTCCAGAAGCTCTGGCCCCCGCTCCACCGTCCAGGGGCCCACCTGCTTCCCGGGCCCCTGCTCCCCACAGCGTGCGCAGAACCCCCTCGCCCTCGCCGCTCCTTTCCACCCTCACGGTCCTTCTGCAGGCAGCCTCTCCCACCCCTTCACTCCCTCCCCCCAGATCCTCCCTTGGCTCCCCCTTCCTGTTGAAAACCACCAGGCCTGCCTTGCCAGTGAGCCCACTGCCTCCATCACTGCTGAGAGAGGGCATGAGGACACCCCCTCCCACGAGTCCCCTGGCCACTGCCACTTCCCCCGCTGCCCCGCCTTCTGCCTGCTGGCAGGGAGAGATCCTTCGTGCAAATGGCAGCCACTGGATAGAGCCGGGATGTCTGAACTGTTCCTGTGAGGTACGGGGTATGTCCTGGCTTCCTCACTTTCACTCTGGCCCCAGAGTATTGTCTCTGGGCTGCCAGCTTCATGAGCGTCTGTCTTCTTCTGCTGCAGGGTGGACAAATCCTGTGTCGCGCCGTGATGTGCAAGGCGGCTTGCTCCCACCCCATCCCTCCGGTGGAAGGGGAGTGCTGTCCCAGCTGCACAGGTGGGACCAGGATCCAGTCTCTGGATCAGGACTGCATGGTCACATCCAGCGGTGGCACAGGCGCATTCCCTGGTCCTTCCTTGGAGACCTGGTCATCATGCTCTCCACCCTATGCCCCAACTTGCCCCTGTTTCTCAGGGACCGTCCCTATTTTATGAAGCCTCTCCTTTTTGCTTTGCTGTCCCTCTTTTGTCTCAGTTTGGGCCTCTTGGGAATGTTTTGTTAAAGCTGCCTTAGTCGGTGCTCCTGGATTTGTCATTCTACAAGCTACAGCTCATTCCGCATCACTTCTCGGAGCTAGATCTCAGGGTGGATCTAGAACATGCACATAACGGCACATGCAGGAAGGCGCCATGTCACAGGAAACCAGTGATGATGCATGCCAGGGAGCCACATTTGGAATGGTTGCTGACAGGGGGCAGCTTGTTTGGTCAGGACTACAGGAACAAATGTGGCTTTGCATTTGAAATGTTACAGAAAATGCTATTATAGAGTCCATTAATAAGCAGACAGAGCTTGGCACTGTATAAAGGCAGGGGCAGTCTCAGACTGTTATTCCTGGTTTAAAGATGGAGTGGGGGGATTATGACAAGCAGGTCCTTATTTTCATCTGTAAAATAGTGATGGTAGGTGTCATTTGAGCAAAATCTTTAAAAATGACTGCCTTCAGGTTAGAGATGTGGAACCCCAGGCTCAGCAGCCAAATATGGCCCTCGGAGGTTCTCCAGATGGCCCCTTCCCCTGGCCCCACTTGCTTTTCCCCAGTCACCCATCATTTGGCCCCCTTCCCTAAGCACAGATTGTCTAGTGCAGGGGTCCTCAAACTTTTTCTCCAGGGGGCCAATGGAAAGGTGCCGGTGCTGGGGTCGGGCCAGAAGGGTGGTGCCGGCAGTGTGCGGGGGCTGGCGAGGGGGCGGGGGCGGAGTGTGTGGGTGCGTGTTGAGGCGGGGGCAGGACGCGAAGCAAGGCGTGCGGGTGGGTGCACGGTGAGGTGAGGCAGGGTGGGCACGCGCCCTGAGGTGGATGCACGAGGCAGTGGCTTGTTCGCTTGGAGATCATTTTCTCCGAGCGAGCAAACCGCCGCCTCCCCACGTGCAGGGTGAGGTGGGTGGCAGCGGGTGGGTGCATGGTGGGTCCAAATGGGCATGGCGGGCCGGATAAATGGGCGCGGTAGGCCGGATCTGGCCCATGGGCCGTAGTTTGAGGACCCATGGTCTAGTGGTTTCCCAGATGTTATTCGGGTTTTTCTGTTTGCAGAAATGGTGACCCACCTCTCCTCAACCTCACCTATTACTTTTAAGAGCTTTGAACAACATTAGACTGCTATTTGGACCCTTCCCTTTTTGCCTTCAAGCCCGCCCTTATTTGGCTGCACTCGCCACTGGAATGCAGCCCCTGGGGACATCTTTGGAAATGGGATTTGGTCCTCAGGCTGAAAGAGGAGGGGCACTCCTGGTAAAGGATAGTCCTGGTAAAGGGCGTCCCACGTCCCGGTTCAGAGTGGAAAGCTGAGGAGGCCCTTGTCTCCTCTGAGATTATCCACACTTCTGTCTCCAGCAGGCTGTTCCTATTACGGGATTCCCAGAACAGAAGGGGAGGTTTTCTCTCTCTCTGAGGAGAACTGCACGGTCTGTGTCTGTCTGGTGAGTCTCACGGAGCCTTCAGGGGGGAAGAGGAGATGCGGGGAAGCTGGCTTCTTGCTTTGAGAAGGGCATGTCACTCCATTGGCATCCTGCGCTGGAGGGTGAGATTCATATAATCGCCGTGCCCCTTGCTGTGGACAAGCCACCAGCACCATGTGGGACTCTGTTGCAGAGGGTGTGTGTATGTATGGGGGGCGGGGTAACATTTGGAGTTTGGTGGAAATGACTTTGGAGAAGCAGGCAGTACGTTGAGGATGGTGTTGAAGTTAACCGGAGCAGGTTAGAGTCAGTGCAGCGAAGGGCCACAAGGATGGTGGCCGGGTTGCAGGGAAAGCCGTATGAGGCAAGACTGAGGGAACTGGGTCTTTTCAGCCTGGAGAAGAGGAGGCTCAGAGGGGATCTGTTGGTGACATACAGGTATGTGAGAGGGTGTCACACGGAGGTGGGTAGAGACCTGTTCTCCCCTGCAGAGGAGGGCAGGATGTGCTCCAACAGAGTGAAGCTCAGGGAGCCAAGGTTCCATTTAGATGCCAGGAAGCACTTCCTGACAGTCAGGACCCCAAGGGTATGGAATAAGCTTCCACAGGAGGTGGTTGAGACCCCATCAGTGAGGGTGTTCAAGGATAGGCTGGACATGCACATGGTGGGCATGTCATGGCAGAGCCGGCTGGAGCCGGGGATCAGACTAGATGGCCCGGGAGACCCCTTCTGACTCGCTCTGTTTCTCTGTTCTATGTTTCTGTGTTTATGGTGCTCACCAGCTGCTTTGGATTTCCGCTCCCATCAGTCCCAACCAACATTGCTGATGGTCAGGAACACTAGGAGTTGTAGCCCAAAGTAGTTTGAGGTTTCAGAAGGCTGCTCTGTGGTTTGTTGAAGATAATGCTCATGATGATTGGGTCATCTGGGGTGAAGAAAGGAAATCCAGGAAGGATGAGTGTGTTGGGGGGAGGTGGCGAAAATCGTGGGAAAGCTGCACAGTAATCTCTGAGGGCTCTTGATTCCAGGCAGGCAACGTATCCTGCATCTCTCCGGAATGTACGCCCAGTCCGTGCTCCAGCTCCACTCACACTGACTGTTGTCCCTGCCAACCAGGTAGATCTCTCGTGCTCGCTCATGAAACAGGCTTTGAGGGATACCTGGGCACTCTCTTTTCCACAAAGAGGTACTGATTGGGTTCACGTGACATGACAACCGAGTGTTGACGGTTGTCTATGTTTGGTTGTTGTCTTGTGTGAATGATTGGTTCTCACTGCGGTTATCAACCATGATAAGAACCAGTGGTTTGTTGGAGGGTTTGTTTGACCCACAATGGGTCGTCATGTTTTCACAGACCGGACGATGAGCATCGTGCCCCGACTCCCATAACACATGAAATTTATTTATTTATTTATATTTATTTTTAAGCTATTTCTATGCTGTCCAATTAGATGAGCTCTCAGAACCGTTTACAGAGTTTGTGGCGAAATCCTTTGGGGGGGTGGCTGTCAGAGGCTTCCCCTGCTCCTTTCCACCCACACCAGCCTTCTCAGGCCTCCAGGGCTGGTGGGCAGAAGATGTTGCTCCTTTCTTGGCAAGTGCTGCTGACAGGTACCACTGAAGTGCCCAAGCAGCACTCGGGTGCAGATGTCAGAGGCTTCCCTGATCTCCGCTTGAGCTGGCGGCAGGGACGCCCCCTCTGCTCCGGGTGCCGCCCCATGCTTGGGGCAGTGGCACAGCGTGAGGAGGGCGCCCTCACCTGAGGCTTGAGAGATCGACTCTTGAGCTGGAGGCAGCGAGGCTCTTTGTGCGGGTGCCCTGTGCTTGGGACAGCAGTGCAGCGTGGAAAGGACATGCCACCTACAGCTCGAGAAGTGGCTCTCCCAGGTTTTTTCCTTGACAGAATTTCTGCAGTAAGAAAAAGGATGGGGAAAGTGGTGGACAAAAATGGGAGGGTTACGAGTGGACAGCACTGATGTGTGGAGCTCCTGTAAAATCCTGTAAATGAGGCCAGACAATGGCACAATAAAAGCCTTGTTTGAGATCACCCCAAGAAGACAGTAATAACTACCTTTTGTAAAAACCAAAAAGCAACACACACACACAAACACACACCTGCCTTCTCTACTGTCTTTCAGTTTTAACAACTTCTAGCTCAGCTTAGAAAATTCAGAATAGACATAATCTCGCAAGAAAATATGTAAGCAGTAACAGTAAATAGGAACAGATAAAAGAGCAAAAGCAGCAGCTAACTTCTCAACTATTGGGTTTTTCAAACAGCCTCTGGATAAATGTAGAAAAGGTCTTTGCTGTACCTAAAAGCCTTCTGATTTGACACCAGGCAGGCCTCCCTTGGGAAAGCATTTCATAAATGGGGTGCCAATGCGAAAGAGGCGCTGTAGCCCTGTCACTGGGAGTGCTCTTTCCCAGTGAGAGATGTTTTGTAACAGACTGGTGTTTCCTGCCATGGATTTTCCATAACAGCATTGACTTGCTGTTCTCTTCCTCTGCAGTGGAGTGCCATTTCCGTGGCCAGACGTATGCAGAGGGGACTGAGTTCAGCCTGGATGGTGAATGTACCACCTGTGTGTGCAGGGTAAGTGTTACCTTAGCCCTCCGCTCCCCTTGCCCCCAGTGCTCCTGATCTCAGAGGTCGAGCTGGTGCTCCAGCTTGTGCTTGCACAGGATGCCACCTCTCCACTGGAAAGAAGGGGGAAAGGGGTGTCTGAGTCAGAACATTGCGTACTCAGAAGCAGTCTCTTCTGTCCCTATGAAATTTTACCTGTTAGAAGAGAGGTGCACTGTGCTTTTCATTCTGCTTCTGCAGTGGAAATTTTACAAGTGTGTACAGATAAATTAGATCTACGTGTAATTTATGTTGCTTGCGGCTTACCAGCCATGGGATTGGCCTGAGTAACACTACATAGAGACACTCTTGGTGGTGGCCCAGGAGTTCTCTTTAGTGATGGACAGCAAGGGCAAAGTTGAAAATGCTAGTGAAATTTTGCATAGTCTTGGGGCTGAAAAGCCTGATTGATGATGAAGAGGCTGTGGAGAGCTGTTGTGACCCCACAGTTTCATTGTATGTAACAAGTGCCAACATGTCCTCCCCAGCAAGGTGAAGTTGAGTGCTCCTTCACTCCCTGCCCCATTCTGGAGTGCCCCCAAGAGGACTGGTTCCTGGCCCCAGGGCAGTGTTGCTTCACCTGCCGAAAGGCTGCACCCAGGACTGGTAAGATCTTCATGACTGGCAGAGGTGTGCATGTGCCATTGTGGTGTGAGGCTACATGCAAACTGTGGTTGCATCTTAGGGTGGGCAGACTCATAGTCCTACTTGGGTGTTGGTTTCCCTAGAACCCCAGGATCTGCCTATTAAAGACAGGTGTAAAAGCCATGCCCTTAGAATTAAAGAACAGGGAACTACTGAGAACTTTGGAATGAAGGCATTTGTCTTCAGTACCAGCACAGAATTGTCCTAGGGCACAAAAGTCTGATCCGGGTTTCCCCACACTCTCCATTTTATCAGCCTCATTTACATGAGGAACGTCACCTGTTCTTGCTATTTTTTGCACTACTGGGAATCAGAAACACTTGGAAATCTACCGCAATTCACCCAGATATTTCACCAGGAGTTCCCCAAACACCTTCTTCCCACTCATAACCAATTTGATAAATTTGAAAAAGATGCATGTCCAGTAGTGGGCTAAGCCAAGAAACATGCATGAAGGTATCCTCCATCCTCAGAACATTTGGTTTTATTGATTGATCAAGTCATCCATTCATCATCCCGTTCCATTCCTCTTCGTTTAGCTTCGCTTCTCACTCCATTCCATACCGTCCAATAGTGGAAGTTTTCTGAGCAATTTTTCAGATTAAGGATTTGCATGCTTGCTGAAATTACTGGTCTCTGTTTACACATCTTCATCTCATTGCCCCTCTTTTCATCACCAGGTTGCTTTGTGGATGACAATGGAGTTGAATTTCCAATTGGACAGATCTGGTCACCGGGTGATCCCTGTGAGTTATGCATCTGCCAGGTGAATGATAACCTGCTCTACTTCACTCAGTTTTAACCTTGCAATCTCCTGTCACAGATGATGGTAGTCCGTTGACCCTCTCCACTTTTTCCCAGCTGGGACTGAGAGAATCCAGGGGATGCTTTGAGCCACACAGATCTAATTCCAGTCCTATGTCTGTCTATACTGACATATTTTATAGAGATCCTGAATGGTATAGTTGCATCATTGTTGCACTTATGAAATTTGGGACATGGATTCCACCTGGCCATTGAGGGGGCCGAAAATAAATGGTTTTTATTTATAAAATAGGGTGTTTACACCCCACAGGCAGTGGTTGTCCCTGCACCATCACCCTGTGAAAGCTGCCCTTTGGACCTTAGAAGGAAAGGTGGTGTGGAAACCTTTGAAAGAATGCACTGCTTGCTCTCCGGCGGCCCTGAACTTCCCTCGTTGTGCCTTCCGCTTCTGTCCTTCTTGCAATCTGCTGCTCAGCCTGCCCACCCCAGCAACCTTGAAGCTACTTGCCGCCCTGCTTGGATACCCCCATGGGCCTCAGCATGCAGAGGTGCTGCCACAGCCTCAGTGGCTGCTGCTGGCTTAGCTGCAGCAATGCCAAAGCGGCCGGTCAGCTTCAGGCCAGGTCTGGCTGCTGAGTGTGAAGGCAGTTTCAGGAGCTTCAGAAGTTTGAATTCTAAGGTCTCGAGAAATGTTAGTAAGCTGAAATTGTAACGTGTGCCTATATGCCTTAGCTTTTGAAATTGCACCTTATGAGTGAAAAGCATTTCATAAGGCTGGACATCTTCATGCACACGTACAGAGGCAGATAACTGCTGCTTGGAAGACAGACACCCGTTTGGCAAATGCAAGTCTCTGCAGGGGTGGGAGGTCTTGTCTGCTTGCAATAGTCCAGTGGTTTGTGCTGTGGGTTTCTGTGAAGTTCTTTTCTATTGCAGGCAGATGGCTCGGTGAGCTGTAAAAGGACAGATTGTCTGGAGACGTGTCCTCATCCAATCCGGATCCCTGGGCAGTGCTGTCCAGATTGCTCAGCAGGTAAATGCCATCTTCTCAGAAATCCATTTCACTCTTTGGGAAGCCAGGTGTCGTCTTGTTCAACAAAACAGAACACCAACTGAACTCAACTTTTGCTGCAAATATTTACTTGCCAACTTTGTTTTATACAGAGATGTCTTTCTGCCTCTGTTCGTCTGTCAGCAACATGTGTATGTGCGCATGCCAGCCTCTCCTTTCAGCTCTTACCTCAGTCCTAGCCAGTATGACTAATGCTCAGGAATTCTGGAAGTTGCAGTCCAAAGCATCTGGAGGGCAGCAGGTTGAATCTGGCTCGTGTGTGTGTCTTTCTGTGAATGAGGCAAGCTGATTGCACCTCTGGTATCTGTTACAGCTTTAGGGAATGCAGATCATACCTTTTTCCTGCTTTGCTATATGATGCTCACTTTGGGTATATTGCACAGACAGGCACATCATGTGCAATTTTCTCTTTCCTAACTGAAGGTTGTACCTATGGTGGAAGGATTTTTTACAACAATGAGACTTTCCCCTCTGTCTTGGACCCATGCCTAAGTTGCATTTGTTTGGTAAGTTTGCTTCACCTTTCCCAGCCTTCTGGGAGTGTTTGTCCTGGGAGCAAGCCCTAGAGAGCAGGTGGGGAACATCTTCCTGCCTAATGGCCACATTCCATTCCAGAGAAGGTCTCTGTGGCCACCTTCCAGTCATGGGAGGCTGAAGCAAAAGGGGTGCCGTGCATTAATAGAAGAATTATTTCCAAATCCAAGACACAATAGATCCCCTATACTCTTCCCTAGTCAGACCAAAGAATCTAGAATACTGTGTCTTGTTCTGGGCACCAGGATTTAAGAAAGATGCAGAAAAATTAGAAGGGGCCCAGAGGGGGGCAACAAAAATGATCCAGGGTTTGGAAACACTGCCCTATGAAGGAAGACTGAGAGAATTGGGCCTTAAGAAGAGAAGACTGAGGGGGGGCATGATACCACTCTGTAAGTATCTCAAGGTCTGTCACAAAGAGGAAGGTTAAGATCTTTTCTTGCTGATAGCAGACTGTAGGACACAAAATAATCAATTCAAGTTGTGACAACCCAGATTCAGGCTGGACATCAGGAAGTTTCCTCACTGTCAAACCCATACGACAGTGGAACCAGTTGCCTGGATTGGCCGTGGGCTCTCCCACACTAGAGACATTCAAGGCGAGACTGGACAGCCATCTGAGTGGGATGGCGTAAACTGGTGACGTGCAAGCAGTGGGTCGGACCCAATGGTCTTCTTGGCCCTTTCCAACTCTACTGTTTCTTGAATCTATGAAAAAAAAACGAAAAGTTAAACATGTGACCAGCATATTTTACCTTAAATCTCTAACTGCCAATAACTAACAAGAAGTATTTCAACCTTTCAGAACAGGGAAGAAGCTGCACAAAAACAGGAAGTCACTCATTGATCAGTGGTCTGGGGAAAGTGTTTGTGGCCATTTGAGGGGCTTTGGAGGGCTGGATTTGGGACCTGGGGTGGGGGGGGGTGGATTTGGCCCCTGGGCCTGGGGATCCCCACCCCTGCTATTGGGCAAAAAGTAAACAGCTGCTTCTTCAGAAGGTAAAGGTAGGTTCCTTAGTAATAGGTGTACTTGCATATGCTTTCATCTTCATCATCTAGAAATGTGTAATGAACATTTACAAAAGAGAGAGGTGATTGATACTGTGAGTTTGCTGTCTGAAGGCTAAGAATGAGTCTGGGGATTGGGCAGATATGTTGATGGAAATGACTGATTAATGCCTCTTAATGATGGGTGGGTTTCCCTTGAATGCAAGCCAATGTTTGGGAGACATTCACAGATCTCTTTGAAATCCAAAAGTCAGCAGGTTTGGGAAGGTGCTGTCTCTCCCCTCCCTTGATTACTTTTGTTCTCTGTTGTAAGAGTAACAGGGGTTTCCTTTGGAAAAATCAGAGAAATGCGGATTGGGAACCATGAGTTCTGGAAGTACCAGATACTATTTTTAAAAAACACCTGTGAGTTCTCCTACAGAAAGGAGGCATCCCCTGGGGAACTCTGCCCTGGGATTTTTTTTGCTACTTGGGGAAGTGGGGAACATGTAACAATATTGTGAAGAACTTTGAACATGGGAAGAGCTATATAAACTGATAATGATTATAATACATACTTATTAAACATACCCTATACCCAAAAGATGTTCTCTGGGGTCTGAAAGTACAGAGGAGCCCATCTCAAGGTGGCTGAATCTGTTGGTTTTGTTTTAACACAGTGTGAAGAGTGAAAAGCAGAACCTTCAAGAGTCCGCTGGGGGTGTACAATCAAAAGAACATTCACCGTTCATTTAGACATACAGGAAATACATGTGGCATGTAGGCAGCCCCTGGAGGGACTTCCAAGATGGAGTCTGTACAAGATGATTTTATAGGCTATTGGTTACCTACACAGTTTTGGCAGGGTGGGGAATCAGGTGGGGGATCACATAGGCAATATGCTAGAGACACAGTAGAATAAAACTATAGGGTTGAACACAATGCAAAGAAAGGAACCTTTAGGAAAGGCAGACATTAGCACATCTAAGGTGTGCCCCAAAGGACAGGACTCTCAGGACAAGGGCATTAGTATTTCTAAGGTGTACTTGCCCACATTCATTCATTCATTCATTCATTCATTCATTTAGAAGGCTTCTATGCCTTAAGTCTAAAGCTGTTCTTACAGTGTCAGGGTTTTGGCAGCCATATTATGCCAAGCTTTTGCTCATCTGGTCCTGACAACAGCTTCTCTTGAATACCATCCTTTGTTTCTTTCCACTTCAAGTTTGTGAACTTGGGGGATAGGGTGAAATCAGCACAAAAAGGTATATGCATTTCCATATGCATTTCCCCAAATGTACAGTACCTATGGAGAGAGATACATTTCCTAGCATGTAAACTTTTAGCAATTGTGTCCCCCCAGTATAATATGGTTTTGTGTGTACTTTCCCCAGTAGACACATTTTTCTAAATACTTTAACGTGCACATTTTGGTATGCATTTTTGAAGTACTCGGGAAGTGATGCAAGTGCAGTCTGCTGCATGGGTAGTTTCAGGAGATTCAAAGTGGGTCAGTTTGTATGGAACAATGCGTCAAACCTATTACTGCTCTGCCAGTAACACAAGTTTTTCCGATGTGTGCTGTCGCATCTTGCAGCTGGGCTCTGTGGCCTGTTCTCCCGTGGACTGTATTGTGTTTTGTACGTACCCGTTCCACCCAGAAGGAGAATGCTGCCCGGTCTGCCATGGTAAGCATCACCGCCTCAGGCCTTCTCTACACGAGGCATTTATGATTCCTCAGTCATGGAAGTTTGTATATCCCTTTCACAAAGTTATTGTCCTTCAGGGCCTCACCTGGGCTTTACAACCATTTCTGTGTTGTGTTGTGTTTTGTTCATTATTATGTATAATTTAAGGCATTTTATACCATACCTTTAGTCAAGCAATTCTCGGGACTGTTTGCAACACATTAAAAGTTTAAAACATAACATACAATGTCAAATAGATTTAAACAATTCCGAAATAAAACCAATAAGAATATCAATAACAATAAAGCAGAGTATTAAATCCAAGTATATAATCTATTGAGAATAATTATTCAATTAATTAAATCATAAAGCAAATTAAATGCCTGCAGTGTCATATAGAATAAAATAGGCTAAAATATAAAATTTTAACAATTTAAAATGTTGAGAAAATAAAAAGGTTTCAGCCTTGCACTAAAAATGTTTAACATCGGCACCAGGCTCATCTCTCCATTGCGCAAGGAAAGTTTGCTACAAGCAGGAAAGTGCATTGTAAGAAGCTTGTGCAATTTTTTAATTCTGGTATTTCAGTGCCACCTTGTAGTTGCATAATGGATGGTACAAAGGGAAAAACTTGGGTGTGGGGCGGCATATGCAAAGGAGTTGATCTTTATCCTGCAAAGCATCCAGAAGTGGAAACCTTGATACAGTGATGGGTTCTCATATGGAAAACTCTGAGCTTTTCCAGAAGACAATTGTCACACTGAAATCCGCAATTAAGGCTGGAATGATCAGTTTCTTGTGAGGGCAATTAGGTTTATTTACAATTAAACACATGGATCCATGGGTGCCCAAGACAGGAACACCCAATGCTAATTCCATTAGGGTTATATAGAATACACAAAAGGGGAGTGAATATAATACACAGGAAGGTGATTGGGTACTTTGATATGGATACGAAAGTGATTGGATACACACCACAGCATCATAAAGGAAAGTTACATTTCACTCTAATTAGATACCTTTGACAGGCCTTCTAAATTAAAGTTACCTTGAACAGGCTGGCCAAGTAAATAAAAAGGTGAACTTACAGGATTAGGGAGGCACTTTAGCAAGTCTATAAAATACAGAGATTACATTTGACAGTTACCTGCTGATGAAGTGGGTTGTTTGATTTTTACTACCAGACACTGAGGCATCTTCCAAGACCGTGTATCGAAGTATTTATTGTTGGGCAGTGGGGCAGGATGGCAAAATCTGTTTTTCTGAGTACACAATTCAAACTGGATTTTTGAAAGCGAGGACTAAATGTGCAGTATAATATCTGTCCGCGTTATACATGGGTGGTGTGGCTACAGACAATCTACAGATAAGCATCTGTTTGCAAGAGTGCAGATGCTTTCCAACTGAGGGTTTTAGGTGCTACCAACTAGAAAATATTGTTAGGGAGTTCTCTCTAGCAGATTTGGGAGGTGGCAGGGAGCAGCAGGAAGAGAAGAAGGGGAAGTCCTGTTGCAAACTAAATATAACAATTCTGATTTGTATCAATCCTTAGTATGGATCTTTAGTATTCTGGTTGGTAGCAGACAGTTTGGTGCCCTGTTGCCATCTAACCTGCCTGAGAATGCGTTAATATCAGGCTTCAGCTAACCTGTACAGTGGAGCAATATTCAGTGCCTGTGTTGCTCCACTATTTTGTGTTGTTTTTGCACTGTGGTGCTTGCTAGATGATGTATTCTCTGTATTTCTAATCTGTCTGGTCATTTCAAATGAGACTTGGGTGAAAGACACTGTCCTTAACAATTGTGTTTCTTGTGTTATCCTCCTTTTGCAGACTGCAATTATAAAGGGAGGAAAGTAGTGAATGGACACAACTTTGTACCAGAAGGTGAACCCTGCATTCACTGCACCTGTCAGGTGAGCTGTGAGGTTCTCAGGTGGGAAGTTTTGGATGATCCACTGTTGTAGTTCAAAAGGGCCTTTAGGCCTCAGAAAAGGTTTCTGGATGTTGATCTGTTGGACTTCATTAAGGAGATCAGGGGACCCATAATGTGCCAGTAAGCCAGAAAATAATAAATAGTTTATTGTAACTGGAATGCCGAACTCCAAACTTTCTAGCAAAGCTGTGCAGAGGACCACGGAAACTTCCACAGAGAAACCATGGTTACATAAGTTAGCTGTCACCAGCCTCAGGCTTGTGTATTCCTGTCCTTTTACATGGGGCCAGAGGAAGAAATCAGAAGCATCCACTTCCAGCTTTAACTTGACCAAGTTTAACTTTAACTTGTTTTATTTTAAAGAACAGTTGTATCCCAGCTCAGTGTCACTAAAATAATGCAATCCTGGGCAGGCCACCTGGTGTCCTCCAGATGCTTTGAATGTTGATTCCCATGACTCAAGAACACTGGCCAGGTAGTCGGGGGTGATGGGAATTCTCTCCAGAACACCTGGAGAGCATGAGGTTGTCTACTCCTAATTTAATCGAAATAGAGTTTCCCAGGCTTGACTCTTACATGAAACCGTGATTAGTTGAAAACCAGAAGAAGCTTTCCATTTCCTCCCTCGGTGCATGAGAGAGGAGAGTGGAAGGGAACGTGCAAGTTCAAGGTTCTGAACAGTTCATTTGTAGCCAGTGCTTTTGTGCTACACCTGAGCTGAGCCAGCATCTTTCATCTTTTGTGTTCTGCCCTCTCAGCTTGGGGAGGTGAGCTGTGAGAAGAGGCCCTGCCCAAGCATCTGTGCAGAGCCCCTTGCGCCCCCGATACAGTGCTGCCCAGACTGCCAAGGTAATGAAGTTACAGGTAAGCATTCTTGTTGGCCTCTGTTTGATTCAACACCTTCAGATCTCACAGGAAGGAAGCACAAATATGGGAACAGAAATCTGTGTGGTCAGAGTGCGTTACACACTTTGTACCTATTCCTAGCTGCCTCTTACTGTTATATCCTATGGTCAGATACCTTCTGTACGTGTACATTGGCTGAAAGCTCCAGAGTTTATCACCCACTTCCCAAAGTGTCGGAGTGTTATGCTGTATCCAGACTCTCCCAAAGCCAGGAAACCTCAGACCTTTTCCTCCACTGTGTGTGTGTGTGTGTGTTTGTGTGTTTGCATTTCATAGTGTGATACACCAGAAAGAAGCAAGTTGTACATGTGCCTTTGTGTGTTTACACACACCTATGGTCACTGCAGGGAGGGATATGTATAGTCTGTAATACAGGCTGCAAGCAGAGGGTTTACTAGAATAAGCCTTCAGAACAATCTGTGCCTAATCTAGTCTGCTGTCATTTCACACCAGATGACCTGGCCTCACGGGGAAATAATTTAGCCAATGCTCACTTGGAAGATGGAAAAGCAGAGGCAGACTTGCAGACCTTACAAAGACGTTCCATGGCCCTGCTGTCTGACAGGAACTGCAGCCACTGCACTGCCGCCCCGGCCCCTGCCCCTGCCTCACTGGGTCCGGAGTTCCGTCTTGCAGAAAGAGACCCAGGTGCTTGGGAGGCTGCACCTATGAGCCCGACTGCACCAGGGAATGCTGACTTCCCCCAGACCAGACCGGGAGATCCCCTCAGGCTGCTGCTTAACAGACCACCAAGTGTTAAGCCCCCGTCTCCTTGGTTAGGCCATTCAACAACTCAGGGAAGACCAGGGCCCACCGTGCCACTTCTAAGGCCTGAGAGCATCCAGCCTGACTTCCCTTCTTCTCATCATATTCCCCCTTCTCCCACTGTAAGGAGAATGGGAACTTCAGTGTCCTCCACTGCTGCTCATCCTTCCACTCCTCTTGCTACTGCTCACCTGAGAAACTCCATAGCTGCTCTTTTTCAGCCTTCAGATACTGGCAGCCTTCCTCTGCCACCAACGTCGAAAAGACTTCCTTCTTCAGCCAGCTCCGGGCCAGACTCTCCTCAAGAACTTTCTGGGAGCTCATCTCACATCACAGCGTCACCCACAATGAGCCAGCAAACCATGGGGAGCAATCCTTCATTGTCCTCTGATGGTGAGAATAACCTCAGGGGTACTGCTCCATAGATTATGCAGAAATGCCGGGCCTATTTGGGCAGGAGGAACTTAACCACTTTAACCTCATAGGTGGAGAGCATCTATAAAATTACCACTAGTGGTATGAGCTGGCCCTGCCACGACTCTATCCGTGGCAGTAACCCCTTTCTGTTTCCTCAGAGAACAGGTCTGATTAGTGGAAGCATTCCTTCAGCCCTGGTGTAAAGGATATGAGGCCTAGCACGCTTTCCTAACCAATATCTCCTTAACCTTTGAACACAACAGGACAATGCCATCTCAGCAGAGCTTCCTGTCTCTTTGGAATGGAATTGTGGGAGGATATGTTGTGACAAGGGCAAAGGCTTGCTGGCCTGCTGTCGGCAGGGGAAGTAACCTCTTGTCTCTGAAGTCACACAGGAAATCGCTTCACCAGCTCTTACACAAAAATCCTGTCACTGCTTGTGGGCTGATATGGAAATGTCAGGGTTGATCATGCTGCAGAAAAATTGGCCAGAGTCCCTGGAAACAAAAGTGTATTCTGGCTAAAACCTATTTAACAGAACCATACTCTGTAGATTCATTGGTATGTACAAATTTGATTCTAATACTGGAGCAATTCCACTAAATCCTTGCTTTAGTACTGGATCTATTAGTGCATATAGAGTTCTGAAATTCAGATCATATAGTAAGCTGGAACTATATGAACCTAATATACAGGGTGGGCCAAAAGTAGGTATACAGTATTGATCAGGCCATATTTAGTCTCTTAAGCACTCAAAATATCCTCCATCAATGTTGCAACATTCCCGCAACCTATCCCTGTCCCTGTGGCTCACATTCCGGTTAGGACCAATGTCAGTAAATGCTTGTGAGATGAACTCCTTCAGTTCATCTACTGTGTGAGGGCCTCCATGGCCTGATCATTACTGCATACCTGCCCTGTGGGTGTGTATGATTTGTTGTATTTAAAGGTAAACATGCTTCTTCTAGTCAACAGGAATTTTACTATTAGTTTCTTTCATGAAGCATGCTAACTACCACATTCTCTGGAAGGGGGTTTGGTCCTTTAAAACCCTTGGATTTGTTTTAGACTTGGAAGGGTTTGTGGACCACTCCTCAAACTGGTGCAAGACAGATTTTTTCAACTACCTCAGAGAGGTGTCTAACAATGGTACATCAGCATTAGGCATTTGAACCAGATTAGCAGCCGTGACTTTCACTCTCACTTTCCCCCAGACCTAGACCTCTGAGAACAGCCATTTTGTGTGGCTGCTGAGAATTCTTGATTAGGCATTCCTAATTCTTTTCTGAAAGGACACTTCTGAACCTTCCTTGGATGGGAGTCATGGTTGTTCATTCGGTCTGGGTGTAATATAAACGGAATGTGTAGATGTGCCCCCTTGGAGACACCCACTTGGCAGCTTGGACAGCATTTGGAAGCTGAGCCAGTGCATATCTGGCCTCCACAGTCCCTGCTCATGGAGGCATCATGCTGCACCGGATTCCTTGTTTCCAGAAGGAAGCTGGAGGCCAGTGCATTTGCAACAGAGGCTAGGTGCACTCCTTGCTGTTAGCTTCTGGAAATCAGCATAGTGAGTATCCACAGAAGGGGCTTTTCTGTGTTTCTCTTGGATATTTTCTATTCTTCCAGTTTGGAGCTCAGAGAGTACAGGTCCCTTAGAGTATAGTTATTACTGTATATCTGCTATCTCAGTCATTAAGAATCTTCTCCAGTCCATTCATTTCACCACCAGCAGGACATTTTGTCTGATTCTCATCTACACACAGAATGTACTTATTATGAAATCATCAACAGAGCAATCTGCATGGAAGGAAACTTTGATTTCTGCAGGTGCCTAAAATCCCTCCTAGCGAAATGGCATGAGAAAATTATGGTGTGTACTCATTTATTTGGACTGCACTCTTCCTTCAAAGAGCTCAGTGGTACTTACATTAAGCTCTTCGGGCAGCGTCCCATCACCTCCCTTCAGCAAGGGAATAGCATAATGTGACAAATTGCAAGCAGGTTTGAAGCCTGAGTTAAAGGCAAGCAACTTTTCCATAGGCGCAAAAACCTGCAGTTGCTCAACAGAAGAATCTCTCTGTGCAGGCTGGAGAGTCCATATGGTAAGAACCTGTTTGGGAGACCAGGATCCTTGGCACAGTTCTCTGCTCTGTGGTAGACCTCCTCAGTAACCTTGGGCAAGGGCCTCAGGGTGTGATCTGTAGCATGGGTAACTCCAACTACCCTACTTCATAGGGCATACTTTCATTAAAAGGTAAAGGTTTCCCCTTGACATTAAAGTCCAGTCATGCCTGACTCTAGGGGGCAGTGCTCATCTCCGTTTCCTAGCTGAGGGAGTTGGCGTTTGTCCGCAGACAGTCTCTGTGGTCATGTGGCTGGCATGACTATACACTGAGGTGCATGGAACGCTGTTACCTTGCCACTGAAGGGGTACCTTTTTATCTACTTGCATTTGCATGCTTTCGAACTGCAAGGTTGGCAGGAGCTGGGACGGAGCAACAGGAACTCACCCCGTTGTGCAGATTCGAACCGGTGACCTTTCGGTCAATCAGCCCAGCAGCACAGCAGTTTAAACCACTGTGCCACCTGCATCCCCTTATATTTTCATTACAACCTATAATAGTTTTATATATTAACCATGACTTCCTCCATGACCTTTTAGAACTGTAGTTGAAAAGGGTGCAAAGAATTCTCTGTCAGAGATCTTTATTCCCTTCACAGAATCATAGAACAGTAGAGTTGGAAGGGGCCAGAAGACCGTCAGATCCAACCCCCTGCGCAATGCAGGACACCAAGTTAAACCATTCATAGAGTTATATTTCACAGAGATCCCAGCGAAGGAAGGAATGACAAGCCACTGTAAGCCTGAAGCATAGACCTGCACTTGAAGTGCCTGGCAATAACCGAGCAGTGTAGTGGTGTCTCCCTGCCGCCCCCCCCGCGCTCTCTCAGGCTCCTTGAATCCATTTTGCAGTCACGGCCTTCCCAGTGTAGCCCAGGTTGGCACAGTCAGACTGGCACCACTTGATGACATTCCGTTGGCAGTGTGAACTGTCCTGCATGGAAAATTACTGTATCTTGAGGTGATGTGTGTACATAAGATATGAAGACTTTCTGTGGTGTTTGATTTGTGATTTTCTTCATACAGGCATGTATACATGCATCCACTTGAGTCAACAACTGAACATGCTCGTGTAAATTTGCTCTTAGTTGGGGCATGACATGCTGCAAGGTGTCATTGTGCATATTGTGTGCATTTTGGTGTAAAATTTTGACATTGCAATGCAATGAATGTTTCCATTTGACAAAAGGGAACTGTTGTTTTTTTAAAATCAAAGCTTATAACAAATAAATTTAACCAGAATTTCCTAAAAACTGCTATATCTTGAAATGAAGCATTCAAATGATTGAAGTGAAGTTGAAGAATGAAAAAAATCTGCAAGGAATAACATGCTGCACAAGTTGACACAAGTACTTGTCTCTTTGGGAGGCTGAAACAGAGCTTTAGGTTTTGATACAGCACCGCTCACCGCTCAAAGTAATTTCTTTGTGTAGTGGAGTAAAGACTCTCAGATATATAGTGGAACAAAGTTCTCAGAAACTGAGAGCCAAGCAAGAAAAATAGTCTCTTAAAACGCCACAGAATCCCAACTAAGGACAAGATCTAATCAAAGGTTAATATTTTCAGTGGGGGCAGTTTTGAAGTCTTACATGAAATGAATGAACAGAAGTTGAGCACAGAGTTCTGCTGTGCGCTTAAGTGAGGAGAATAAACTAATAACCAGAAGATATATAAACTGAAAAGGAACCCCTTCCCCTCCATTTTTCTGTTCATGGTATCAGATCAGGCTGCTACATAAAACATACAAAACATTCCTTTGCTTTTACGTTCCTTTATTCTACTCTTCTTAATGTTACAGTGTGTGGAGAGGGATTAAATCTTGTTCCAGGAAATGGAGACCATCTGTAGGAAATGGTTTTTGATGGCGGATGCTGTCATGCTCATGCCACGGGGGCCAGGCCAACCTGGTTGTTTGCTCGGTCAAAGACACTGTAGTATTGACGGATGAAGACGTCACCGAGGATCCAGAGCTCTCCAGACTGAGTAGGAATGTTGATGCCCTGAAAGCCAGTGGTGCAATAGCTTTGGCCCTGAAACAAGAGATACCGGCATACAATGAATGGTGGAGCCTGTGTACCTGCTCTGCAAATGGAGTGGTATTCCTGGTGTGGGAAGGCCTCTGCAGAGTGTGCAAATGCTAACATGGCGTTGGCAATTCAGACTCGGAGCCGTAAGTACATGGAAGCGCCCTGCTGGTTCAGGCCAAAGGCTTATCTAGGCCCGTATTCTGCTCACACAGTGGCCAGTGCTCTTGGAAGTACTCAAGCAGGACGTGACTGCAGTAGCACCCTCCCACTTGTGTTCCTAGCAACTGGCATGCTTTCCCTGTTATTGGAGGAAATACATCGCCATCACTAGTAGCTTTTCTTCAATGGGTTTATCTAAGCCACTTTCAAAGCCATCCAAGCCACATCACTACATCTTGTGGTAACAGATTCCAAAGTTTGACTCCATATTGTATGAACACACACTTCCTTTCGCCTCTCCTGATTCTCCCACCATTCAGCTTGAAGGAATGATACCAAATTATATTATTATGGGAAAGGGAGAAAAATGTCTCGCTACCCACTTTCTCCAAATCATGCCTTATTTTCTTCACCTGTGTAATGTCTGCCTGTTCTAATCTCTGTGAAATCTTTGATGCAGTAACATTGATAAGCAGAGAGCTTTGTGTTTTTGTGTCACACAAAGGGCCCTTTCTTTGATCAGGCTAACCTTGGCTTGAACACTTGCGCATTCATGGAATGGTGAGATATTCTCATAACAGGCACCCATCCTGCAATGCGCATTAGGCGTGCAATACTGTACACTCAAGTCTAGGGTGAAACTAGTGTGTGATGGGACATTCCCTACTGCAAAACAGTCCCTACTGCAGCAAGCTGAATGTTGAGGCATCTTCTCCCAGAAGTGAGCTGAGATCATTCCGGAGAACCAAGACTCTTACCTGGATTATGTAGGCGCTTGGGGGCAGAGGGAACCCGATGCCATTGATGGTAAAGACAACGTTAGGCAGACTGTTGATGGCATTGCAGTTGATCACATACTGGCATGGAATAAAATGCACAGAAACAAATATTAGTCACTTGACACTCTACATCAGACTTGAGAGCCAAGGAGCACGCTGTAGGATCTGGTCCAGTCAGAAAGGCTTGGGCAAGGACGTTAGGTAGTATGGGGACTCCTTAAATCAGCTAGTTGTAGACTCAGCTGTCACCCTCAGCTTTCGCAGTTCTTTTCTGTTGGAACAGAAGTGTCTTACTTAAGGGAGCCCAAGCCTTACCCAAGTCCATTTTAGCTTTAGCAGATAGCTACAGCATAAGAACATAAGAAGAGCCATGTGGGATCAGATGAAGGTTTCTTCTAGATCACCATTCTGTTCACACAGAGGCAATCGGCCACCCATAGAAAACCCAAAAGCAGGTCATGACCACAAGAGCGCCTGTTGGGTTGGTGCTTCAAAAAAGCCACAGGCTCGGGGTCAGAGTCAGTGTCAAGGCACTGCTGGTTAGCCTTGGGAACTTCTGGAAGCCTCTGTCCTTCCTTACCTCACCATTGGAGGCCTGGCTGGCACCAATGTAGTACTGAAGGTTGGCAATGCCGTTAGGAGGACCGGCCAGCATGGAAGTGCCGGTATCAACAATGGCTTGACAGCCACCAGAGCAAGCAACAGACTGGCCATTCACGGTGATGCTGAAAAGAACACAATCAGGTAGTGAGTGGAAGAAAGCAAGCATGGTCTTTTGCCCACAGTGTACTTGCCTGGAAATTTGGAGCAAAAATTCCTAGAGGTCCATGAATCTTAAAAGATCAAACATTCCTTCTGGGCCGCTTTATGGAAGATAATACACACTTCCCTCCTCGGCCTCTTTAAAGAGTAAAGCCGAGCTTTTCTCTCAACCTTTCCTGGATCCTGTAGGCATCTCAGTTCAGTCCTTGCTTTTATTTGCACTGCACTAAAGAGGAGTTAGCTGAAATTGTGGAAATGTAATTACCTGTCCACAGTGATCTGCCAGTAGGACTCAGAAGAGAGAGGCACCCAGTTGAGGCTCCCAGAATAGTAGGATGTGTCGACACCACCAAACATCACAAAACTCCCACCCTGCTCATCGCTGGGAAACGAAAACACAGAAAATTGTTTCGTCACAGTTTGTTCCTCTAGACCTGATACTGGCTGGCCTCTCAGATGTCACCAAGAACATACCCCCACCCAACACACCACCTTCCTTGTACTTTAAGGATCACCCTTTTTATAAAATCACATTTCTCTGAAATTTCAGCTGGTTCTAATAAAAATATTACCCAACCATAGATTTGGATTTTAAAAATATATGAACAAAAACTAACACGGGTCTTGAAAAACTAGGAAGAGTTGTGATCAAAGAGCTTAACTGCTGAGGGAGTGTTCATTTTGCAGGTATTGCATGCCTGCCATTCATTTGTGAAGCAGAGGCCACCTCTGACAGAGGGGAGCTTTAGAACAGTTTTGCCTGAGTTGGTGTCCTACAGATATTTTGGACTTCTGACTCCAATTGGCCTTAGCCAGCATAGCACTGTTCAGGAACCCTGGAATTTGTAAGTCAAAACATCTGGAAGGCACCAGGCCAGGTGTAGTTGCTCTCTGATGAAAACCAGGGTGGCATGGGGGCTAGAGTGTTGGACGGGGCACCTGGGCTCTAGTCCCCACTCGGCCGTGGAGCTCACTGGGCCTTTGGGCCAGTGACTTTTCATCTAACCCAGCACAGGGTTGATGTGAGGATAAAATGGAGAGAAGAGACTGGTAAGCTCCCTTGGGTTCTTTGCCAAGAAGAAAGGTGGGATGTAAGTGTAATGTAATAATGGGATAGGCAGAAAATAGATTTCCAAATGCTTTGGATGTCTGCATCCAGAAGCCCTTGCAAGCCTAAAACTTCTGTAAATATATTTTCTGCTCACTATTGTTCTATATGATCTCTTATCAAGTCTATCATGCATAAAACCCACTTTGCAGAGCTTCTTGTCCCAACTCTGGAAACCTGATACTAGTCAGAAAAGGGGTAGCAGGTTCCTGGTCACAGTGAAGCAGTTGTCATGCATATTTTTAATTAATTCGTTGCCACTAAAAAAGCCCTTATATCAGTAAGTGATGCAGAGGGCTGGAGTACTACAGAAATAGATTTGGCAGATTGCTTCATCCAGTTCTATCCTAGCTGGTCCTGGCCCCAAAACATCCTTCAGCTTGTGTTGATCCTGCAACTGTTGGTGAGCTATACAGTCAGGATCCAAACACTTTAAAGATATAATTGCTGAGCCCCAGCCTATTCAAACAGGACCAGTTCTCTTGCTGCTGACTTTCTAGAAACAGGGTGGCTGACGCGCATGCCCTGATCTGCCTGTGAAGAGCAGATGGTTACTGTATACTGTACCAGGTAGAAGTACAAATAGATCAAACTTACCTGCTCAGGAAAACAGAGAAGAGATCCTGGGAAACCAAGCCCTCACTCATCATGTTGTCAAAGACAGGAGTAGCACCGGAGGAGGAAATGCTGGGATAAGCCAAGCCCAGGATGCCATCGAAGGGGGCATAATAAAGGAAGCTGCCGGGCTCAGTCTCACTGAGGCCAAAGATCTGATTAGTGACCTGAATATTTCCAACCTAAGTGAAAGGACAGAGACAATCAGGCACATAAGGAAACTTGCAGAAGAGGGTTGACTTCCTAGCCAATAAGTGTGAACGTGGCAACAATGGCTGTTATTCTAAAATTATAGCTGATGACATTAATCCTTTTTTGCATCCTAGTGCAATAGGAAGGATTGCCCACTTTAAGCCCAGCCCAGCCCAATATATGAAATATAGCCTTAGGATAAACCACTATGCCTGGGCTCACATGACAGAACAACACATTGAGGGCCCTACTCACAATGGGTTGTCATATTGGGCAAACCCAGATTGACTCCCACAAGGACTGTTTGAGAGCAACAAGCTACTCTGACAGTGCTGCCATTGTCCTAGGGGTTAATGTACCCCCAGTGGGTTGTCAAGTCATCCAGTTTGTGGGCACCAGTGACTGGCTATCAGCTTGCTTGGCAAAAGCTGTAAAAATCGGTGTTGTTCTTGCCAAGCATGCCCAGACACCAGCCAATGGCAGCTGCCCCAAAAGTGCCCAGGCAGCACTTGGAGCACCTGGCACTGGCCCTCACATGGGGATGCATTTCAGCCTCACCATGGGTTTTCCCACTTTATTTTTTTACAAACTCTGTTGACAGCTACAGACAGTCCCTTCAAAGTGTTTTCAGCACCACCATGGGGAGGCTGCCCATGGTTGCCAACATTTTAAAAATTCCACCTCCTTGTTAGGTTTTTATGGAAAAAATATACTTTTCGACTTCACTTGTATAACTGTGGAAGGTCACAGTTGCACAGTTGTAAGAACAGGGAGCCCTGGGTGGGCAATGCACAGAGGGGTGCCTGCTGGTGAAGCTCAGCAGGTTCCCAGCCTAGGCATTGCCTACAGAGGCTGCAAGCAAGTTTATTTCCCCTCTGGTTCGATCTGAGAGCTGTCAAAAGTAACCGAAGGCACAAGTAATCTTTGTTTGCAGAAAGGGAGTGGCAACTCATTCACTCTCTTTTATTTTTGGAAGAGAGAATTTACATGTCCTAAGGATGCCCTTACTTTTGCACGTGTTCCTGAGATTCTGCCACCTTGGGCAAATGTAAGATTGCAAGCCACCGCATTTGCCGGAGTAGTTACCTTTGACAGCTGTCAAAGGCAAAGCTCCATCTTTCACATGGGACTTTAAAAAGATTAAATAAAACTTGCAAGAAAATGTGTGCGTGTGTGTGTGGTTTATATTGTGTGTGAGAGAGGGATTGTGTGTATTGCTTTCCCTTCTAGCTTATTCATACCCAGTATCTTCCATGCCTCTCAGTAAGTGCCACTCTTGCTTATCCACCCAGGCCCCCATGCTGACTTGGTTTTAGTTTCTAAATTGACCCTTAAGTTTACCTGGACAGTGTCATAGCCGAGGATTCCAGTCATGCTCCCAGTGCCATATGTAATGGAGACACTCTGGCTGGTGGCCTGGAAGGTGGAGGACTGTTGGGGGTTGAAGAGGTTGTGGTTTGCTGCAAAGCAAATAAGTTAGTCTGTGGTGGTGTGGCACTCTGGTTTAATTAAACAGGTTTAATGTGGAAAGAGGGAGGTGCTGGGGTTTAAGCCACCTCAGCACACTCTAGTGTGAAACAACTGCCCCCTAATCACAGCTGACTGGAAGCTGCTTGTCACCATGAGGGGGAAAATATCTGGCCAACACTCAGGACTTCTGCTCTCAGATGGTCCTTTACTCCCTTTTATTGTCATTTCTGAATGCATCAACATTATTATTAGCACCTTCATCATTATTATATCATATAAGAAATTGCATAGACATCATCCAGTACATGATACCCTTCAGCAAAAGTTCAAGGGATAGAAAACAATGAAGGCAGACAGATACTATCACTAAATTTAGAATACCTCATTAAAATTGGTGAAAGCATCCATCTTTCCTTAGATGCCTTAAAACATTTATTCTTTTCTAGCCTTTGGACAGTATGTTAGTTTCATCGGTATTCAAGGCTAGTACTTCCTAAACCAAGCAGAAATGAGCTGAAGCTCTCCATTCCAGAATGGGCTGGTTCAGGAGAGTCAGCAGAAAGGAGCACTGCTGACAAGTCCCATCCCATTCCAGAAGCAGGTGTTTCGGCTTGTTTCTGAGGTTGTTCAAGGAAATGTTAGCTTCCTGTTGAACTAGTGGTGCATCCTGCTACTGCAAATGCTCAATAAGCATGCAGCACTTCATGCGCCCATAATTGTGACAATATCTCAGATCCTGAAAAAAGAATTAGAAAAAGGAGAAGCAGGTCCCTTTTTCCAAAATGAAACTATTGACATTCTTACTAATGACAAATGATTAATAACCAACTCCAGATCTGCCTCTTCCACATTATCTTTTTGGTGTCACTTCTACATACTTAGATCTCCAAAGATGGATGTTTGCTGGAACCTGAACCCCTGTGCTGTAGTTCTACACTGATTTCCTTTACAGCCATCTTCCAAGGGCTATTCTAGGCAGCCACCTACTCATACCCAATGACTGGGTTCAAAATATGATAAGCAACACTCAAGGGTTGCATGTGTTTGAATATGGGTTGTTGTTGAACTGTGGCTTGTTGTTGAATCATGGGTTACGCTGTCATCTGAACCCAGCTCAGCTAACAAGCCATGGCTTGTTAATCATGAATAACATGGTTTGTGAGTGGGTTGCGAAATGGTATTTGGATGGGTTCAGACAACAAAATAAGCCACAATTCAGTGACAACCCAAACTCAACCTTTCAGTGTGGGTTATTGGGTTGTCTGAACCTAGCCAGTGAAAAGGAAATTCCTGAACATGGAAATAAAGGATAATCCAATTCTTCTGGAAAGTGACTGAGACTACTTACAGCAGGCTTCACTGGAACAGTATACAGAAGGGACCCACAAGTTGGAAGAGCCAGTATCAAAAAGAACAGTAAACTGCTGTTGTGGAGTACCAATGTAGATAGTGCCCATGTATTCAAGCTGTGGCAGAGGACAGAAAATGGGGTATTGTTATTATCACAGAAGGTGTGAGAATAGTTTTTCTGTGTACACATCCATTTTTGTTCCATTGTCACCCTGGTCAAACAGGCTAGTAGGTTTTTGAAACAATGAAAAATCTGCAACAATAGTTTATATTAGGACAGAGTAAGTTGAGTGTCTATTCCATGATCCCAGATAGCCTCCAATATTTTTTTTGGCGATCTGTCTGCTACATCTACAAAGATGCAGGGGATGCCGTATGAGGCGAGACTGAGGGAACTGGGTCTCTTCAGCCTGGAGAAGAGGAGACTCAGAGGGGATATGTTGGCGACATACAGGTATGTGAGGGGATGTCACACGGAGGTGGGTAGAGACCTGTTCTCCCCTGCAGAGGAAGGCAGGACGCGCTCCAACGGAGCAAAGCTCAGGGAATCAAGGTTCCATTTGGATGCCAGGAAGCACTTCCTGACAGTCAGGACCCCGAGGGTGTGGAATGGGCTTCCACAAGAGGTCGTTGAGGCCCCATCGGAGCGGGTGTTCAAGGATAGGCTGGGCATGCACATGGTGGGCATGTTGTGAGCGGAGCCGGCTGGAGCTGGGGATCAGACTAGATGGCTCGGGAGGCCCCTTCTGACTTGCTCTGCTTCTATGTTTCTATGGTTTATTGCTGTTCAGGCCAAGGAGTCATGGAGTAGGTTCAGCTTGTGCTGGTGCTTTCTTGGCCTTATCCAAAGGCTGCTAGGCTAATTTTTGCTTATAATTCCCTGCTCTTGTCTAGCCCTGAAGCTCACCAAGTGCAGTAAGTATGATGGGAAGGATCAAGCACAAGAACCTTGGTGCTCCTGCTCTGTGCTATTCTAAATCCATTTCATCCGTCCTCAGGAGGCAATTAAGGACATTTTCTGGTAGCGAAATACTGAATGCCTAGATGGAAGCACATCCCTGAAAGGCACAACTGGGTGGGAACTTGCAAGCAAACTGGGAATGCTTAGATACTGAGAAGAAAGCGTTCGTTTCTGGAAGACACAGATTGCGTTCAGTGCTTCCCAAGAGACAAGGGAAAGATTGGGAGTGGCACCTATCAAATGGTTTAACTGACATAGAATGGACAGTGATTTTGTCAGCATAGAGCCCTGGCTAGACCCCTTTCCACACCAAAATTTAGTGCGCCAGACTCATGCTGGTGCATTATTTCAGACATCTCTCCCAGATAAACCATACTCACATCCATGTAATTTTGCAAGGGCTCGGTAGCATATGAGTTGCCAAATCCTGGGAAGTACTTTGTGCCCAGATTGTAGGGATGTTTCTCCAGGTATTTCTCCAGAAGTCCATGTTCTTTAAGGTTTTGCCTCATGGACTTCACCTTCTTCAGAGGAACCCTAAACAGGAAATCATGGTGAAGAGAAGAAGGAAAGGTGAAAGGGAGAAGATATCTGAGCTTAATTACAAAAGCTGGTGGAGTAAATGTGGTTTTAGGAAGCAATTGCATTTGCGTTGTAGCTGGCCTTGGAGATGCAGGTCAAGAACGACAGCTCTGTAAGGTACACAAGTGCAAAGAAAAAAGGCACTTTCTACCCTAATGTGTGGTGCAGACAGAAGGAAGAATTGAGATGCAACAACCCTTTCTGGCTTGTCTAACATTAGAGAGAGAACATTTGCTGGAAGAGTGGATTGGAATAATGACTGAAGAGAAGGTAAGCGGACTCTGAGAGGACTACACACCAGCCTTCTGCAACTTGGCTCCCTCCAGATGTATTGGACTTCAGGACCCGTTACTTGCTGGCTGGGGATGATGGAGGCTGTAGTCTAACACATCTGGAAGGCACTAAGCCGAGATGGCTGCTGTATATGCTTTCTCTAAAGAGCCCCCCAAGCCCCATACTTACTTGGTCACTCTGCACTGGGACAGGGCCACCAAGCCCAGAAGCAAAAGCCACTTCATGGTTTCTTCTGTATCCTGGAGCAGTTGACGAATGTGAAGAGTGGGTCCCGACTGTAGAGCAGCACAGAAAGGCACCCTTCCTTATATACATCTCACTCCAAAACTTTCGTATCATATTTGTGAGTCCGATAAGAAAAGCACACTTTCCTGATATGGTATTTTTTCTAGATGTCCTTAAAGAAAAGTCTAGGAGAACTTTCCAAGTTCATCCCTTTCGGACTGAAAAAGGGACGCAGGCTCAGGTGACATTGCAGCCCACCAGGACACATTGGCAGGTACCTAAGGCAGGAAGCAGGTCCTTCCAAATACCTTTTCCTTGTGCAAACTTTGGACAAAACGTACATTTCTTATTCTATTACTCCAGATGGTAGCAGTCAGCAAGCTGTCTTTCCAGACTAAAGAACGCAAGGAACAGTAAAGATAATGCCATGTTTTATTTATGTATTTATTTATTTATGTATTTATTTATTTATATTTAAAACTTTTGCATCCTGTCCCATCACTGACGTCTCAGGACGGTTCACAGCAACAGTTCATGTACCTCACTTTGCAGAAGTGAGACGTTTTAGGAGTTCAGTGCTCACCCAGGGGTCCATTTCCTTTCAAAGAAGGCCACAGAAGATGCATGGTGTTTTGTAATGCTTGCATTTATTTACAACACATGCCAGCTGAGCACAGGGTGGGTGCCCACAGCACTAGGTGCATCAGATGTCCCTAAGTTCGCTGCTCTCCAGTCCAATTTCTAAGGGAGCAGAGCTAGCCACCCAAATGTTGCTAGTTTCTACGGCAGGGGTCTCAAACTCGCGGCCCGCGGGCCCATTGCCAGGAGGGGCGGGGCACGGGGGAGGGGCCCTGCGGCCTTCGAAGCGCCAGCGGCGCCCGGGCCGGCCGTGGGATGAGCGGCCCACCCCCACCGCTTGATGCGGCCTAGCCTCACCCAGACTCTACTTGCAGCTGTAGTTGAGTTTGAGACCTGTGTTCTAAAGACTGAAGCTCAGCCTCTCCGAGTGCCTCTTTAAGCCCCAGTCCAAAAACGGCAGGGTTCTCCTCTGGCTCCTCTTTACATGCAAATCTGACAGGCAAGCCACCCTCTGCCATTGGGAAGTCATCTTTATACACCACCAATGTCTTCTTGGGCCATCTTAGTTCCCACTATGGTCCATCACTTCACCAGTGCTTCTGGTTCCAGATTCTATATCTGCTCACTGTTTTTGAAGGGCAGTGGTTTCTTCTCAGCCTTTCTGCATGTTCTACTACATAACCTCTAAGTTGCATTGTGGTATAGCAGAACTGCACAACTACTGTTTAATTCCAGCATTCCATAAAATGCCACATTCTCCCAGTCAATACCTCCCTCTCCAGATAACACTTGGCAAGCCCAGAAGAGACCTTGAAGTACTGATACCATCTGAAGCACCCACAAACTACTGCAAGTGCACCGTAAGCACCTCATCAGAGGTCTGACAGCGATCAACAGTCCTTTGTCAAAGCTCGAGAGGGGTAGGCTCAGGGCATCACACTGACCTCTCCACTCACAGAACCATCCTAGATTTGGTTCTCGGGTTTCCTACAGCCCACTGAGGCCTGTAGTGCATGTTGGCAGGTGTGGTTGGCCACCTGGGTATTCACAATGTGATGACACACAGACCCAGTGGCGCAGGGAGTGTTGGGATGGCTAACAAACCACCCACAAGCCTAGAACAGTCCATCAGTTCCGGGTGGTTTGTTAACCATGCAAACAACCCACCTTCTGCTAGGTGTATATAATATGACAAAACATGCTTGCAACTTGAACATTCAAAATGGCCACCCCCATGTACCACTAAGTACTGGGTTAATAGTTAATTATCCCATAGAGGTTTGGCATGATGTCTGAACAGGGCCTTAAGGGTCCATCACGAGTTTGTCCCTTCCCTTCTCGCTCTTAGGCTCCAAAACACCAAACTGTTCCTTTCCAATGCAGGTCTTTCCTGGCACTTCCCACTGTAGGGCATACCTGGCTGGCTGACATTAAGCTGGGGCAGGCTGGCTGCATCCTCAAGTGTTATCAGTGAAACTGGAGCCATTCACATGGCCAAGGATTAATGAAATCCCTTGCCAGGGTTCCCTGCCCAACCCCAGGTAATCCAGCCTCCCAGGTAAGCACAGGAACTGCCTGAATTCAGATGTTCCAATTGGCACTCCCAAGGGAATTTTGAACCAATGGACATCTGCCATCATTACCTGGACAGCAAAGATACAAAAGATGCACCTTGCGCTCCCGGTTTTGCTGTGATTGAACATATTGAGAATAAAACATAGTTTTGTTCCTCTCACTCTTGTTGTGCTTGATTGGGTGGATGTGCCAAGTCCAGACCCCTTGTGTCCTTCACCAGCTACTAGACAAAGTAACTCTAAAAGCCTTCTAGTAAGCTGGAAGATAAGTCTCTGCTCTTGTGAACAGCGCTAAACACAAATAGGTAACTTCTCCCCCAAATTCTTCCATTTCAGTAACTCTGTGAGCTCCACCCTCAAGAATAGCTTCCACTGATGAAGGACCAGCTGGCAAGGCCTGCACAAGCCTTCTAACTGGGCAGCTCGCCTCTCCGGATGGGGCCAGGGACCGGGCAAGGCAATGGCTCTCCCTCTACCCCTTCTCAGACTTCTCCCATTTCTTCCCAAACATCTCTGCTCTGGAACTTTTGGGCAGTGACCCTGAGAGTGCTTTAAAGGCTTTTGCCTCTCCCTGAGTTTCCACCACTCCCCCCACCTAGTCTTCCACGTCTTCTTCAGAATCTTGGTTGGGATGGCTCTGAGATGCCCTCCAAGAGAGCGATTGGGTTCACTCACAACTGAGTTATGAATCAGATCTGGAAAGGATCTCTTAAAGGGAATCCATACTGATCCTCCAAAAAAAAGTATGATATAAGGTTGCAATCCTAATCACCAGCCTTCCCCGACCTGGTGTTCTCCAGATGTTCTGGGCTACAACTCCCAGCATTCCTGACCACTGGCCATGCTGTCTGGGGCAGATCAGAATAAAAGTCCAAAATATCTGGAAGACACCAAGATGGAGAAGCCTTCCCTGCACCTTCAACGGGCACTAAGTCCCATGGAAGTCAATGGGGCTTACTTCTGAGTTGAAAGTGCACAGTAGAACTACTAGCATTGCATTGCAGTCCTATTTTCTACTGCAAAGCAGTAACTTAGATGAGATTAACTCAACTCAACTGACCTGCAGGAGTTGTTGTGTCAGGGCAGAGCAGCCAAGGAGTAGATTATATCCATACTGCTGCTGGATCTAGATGGGGCAATTACAAAATAAGAGCTTAGAAAAATGTCCATCAGGGTGTAAATCTCCACTACTACCTTGTGAGTTTGGGATATGACATTTGTTTTCCATTTAACATTATCAGGGTCATGAACTACTCAGGACAAGCAAACACCAGTGAATTTTCATGTGGCTGAAATGAAATTGTCCAAGATCTATGGGGCACTGAATTAATAGTTCTGTTTTTGTGTTGGCCTGATACTGCCATGCTGCCCACAGAAGTATATCTGATCCTTGATTATCTACAGTATTGCAAATAACCTTTATCAGCTGTCTCCTGATACTCTGTGTAATTTGTTAATAAGTGGAACTCATGTTTATGTCTCTGCTTGAGGACTTCTGGAGAAACACCAAACAAGCTTGGCTGAATTCAGTGGTGCCTTTGCACCAACAGACTGGATACCAGAGAGGGCCTGGATTTCTCTTCCCCCTGCAGCAGCCTGCCATGACTCAGATCTGTTTCAGAGGACTGGCAGATCCTCCTGAGCTGAAGGTGAGGAGGATGAAAAAGGAATAAACCCATTTCATGGGCAGTAGTATACTCCCTTCTCACATGAATTTGGCCTGATGTTGAATATTTTATTTATTGATCTATATCCTGCCTTTTTCCTACAAAGGGCTCAAGGCAGCTCACATCTCCTCCTCCAACTTATCCCCACAATAACAACCCCATGAGGTAGGTTGGGCTGAGAGTCTGTGACTGGCCCAAAGTCACCCAGTTGGCTCCATGGCTGAGCAGGGACTAGAACCCAGATAGAACTAGAATAGCATCTGCTGGGGATGTATTGTCTTGAAGTGACCCCAAAACAACTATCTTGTGCATCTCGGATGTCATTCTCTGTGGAGGTGCTACTCAACATGTAAACAAACCACACGTTCAGGAGCAATAAAACTAAAGTCTTTTATTGCTACTTGTCTACAAGATTTACAACTCTATAGATAAGCTCTTCTGTTGAGGTCTTTGGAATGCAGATGTTAATCCTCTAATGGTGTCTCTCCCCAGCCCACGTGGGCCTAGCCCTCCTGGTCAGGCCTTTCTTCCCTCTGGCGTAACAAGCTCTGCCTTTGCTCGTATCCTCTAAGAATTCTACGATTGGTCGCTAGAGAAAAGTCTATTATGCCCCCTGCGTCTCCTGTGTCATGTTCAGGAAGTTCAGCATCAGTAGGAGGAGGGACAGCCCGCTCTGACTCCTTCAGAGTAGAACTCGTAGTGTCTTTTCTCTCGGGGCTCTCCTGCTTTGATGTGGGCTCGGGTGTTTGCTCAAGGGGCAGGGAGGCAGGGAGGTGCAGCTATCTGCTCAGCCACCCCCAAGCTAGGTTGCGGGGTTGGCTTTTGGATACAGGGTCCTAAGCACAAGAACTCCTCGTGAGGTGTCTCTGTCGGGGCTTCAGGCATGACATTCTCACAACTATTAGGTAACATGGTAGATGTTGGCAGGATGGAACCTTTTTCGTCCCGAGAGCCAACCTGCATTTTGGCCCTTCCAAGGGCTGCACTCCAGTGGGAAGCAACCGAGTGCATATAACTGTCAGCACATTTTAACTTAAAGCTCTTGTAGCCAGTATCTGAGCCTCAGGAGAGGCATTTCAACATTTTTGAATAGGGGAAAAACAGCACAAAAGCCTTTAAACTACTGGCATCAGGGAAGGGAGGTGTGGCTGCAGGGCTACTAGGACCAGCAGGGCTAAATTCAGCCCCTGGGACTCGGTT